ACGTTTCATACCATGGACTATATGAGCAATTGCTCGCATAGCAGTGAAGACCGAGCGTGCGAAGATGATCTCAGTTAGAAAAGCGAGGAAATAAATATGTGGATTTGTTTAAATAAAAGAAAATGCACTTACTACACGCATGCGAGTATGGGGGAATAATCCAAGAAATGGGTTACCTGTAAATGGAAAAACAAAATATCTTAAAATCTGATACCAAGAGGCAGACAGTCTTGTTGTACAGACACAATGGGTTTGTCATGTCCCGAATATTTTAAAATCCATAAAATAGGGAAGAAAAACGAATTCCTGTAATTGTAAGCGGTCTGTGTACTGGTCTGTGATAAGTAGAGTTTAAAACTTTCTCCTAATGTATGCTCTGCAAATGTTCTGCAAAACTCCCTAAGAGATCATCATCACGCAACGTTCCGTTGTTACGGGTGTGATAACAAGTTGTCCTGATTAAATTTCGAGATTAAACATACACAGAAAATATGAATAATATGGATCCAGATGAGGAAATGCTATAAACATATAATGCTAATAGTCTTAAAACCTACTTTGTTATTTTCGTGATGTGACAGTCCTGGGACTTACGGTTACGGTATTATACAGGGTGTCCATCAATAGTATACCTAACTTCAAAGACTTCTGCACTGTGCCAAGTTTAGAAAAAGTTCTGTAATTGCATCCTTACATATAAAATAAATTACTGTAATATTGAATGTACTCTGGTTGATCTGCAACATAATTTGATATGGACACTTATACGATAATTAACATGTACTTAGGGTGTCGAGTGCAAATGTTTTTAATGTTCAAATATGTTGTATCACGAAGTAAACATTACTATATAGCGAATTTATGTTTGAGATAGACAGCAGTTCGACTTCGACAAGGGGCCCGGGCAACGATCTCCTGATGTCGCAAAATCCGACTTAGCGACGTCTCAACATATGGAGTGTGTTATTACATGGTTGTACATCTCTCGTCACAAGAATGCATGGCTGCATGTAAATTGAACAATAATATATGCGATATGGCAAAGTTTACAGTCAACGCATTTGCAACATTAGAAGAAAAAATAATCTTTGGAGTTATTGCGGGCGTAGGATTTGTCGGGAATCTTTTGGTTATATTTGTTTTTCTCAAGTCCGTACAATTACGGAGAAAACTTAACAATATGTTGATAATATATCAAAGCTTAATCGACTTGTTGGCTTCGTTAGTTGGGATATTAAACAAAGTATTTGATGGTATGGACTGGATTAAGGAACAAGGTCCGTTTGCAAATTTCTTCTGTAGATTTTGGCTGTCGGAGTATCTACTTTGGATGTATTTAGCTCTCTCAACATTTAACCTTGAAGCATTAACTGTAGAGCGATACATATCCTTGGTACACCCACTGTTCCACAGGAAACATGTCTCCAAGAAACAAATAAGGGGAGTCATAGTCATGCTTTGGGTGATAGCGATTATACATGAAAGCTATGAAATTGGAAGTTCTGTCTTAGAAGGAACAACATGCTCATTGTGGACAAATTGGCCGAGTGAACAATTCCACTCGATCTTCGGCATATACATCATTGTTGTTGAATTTTTCATGCCGATTTGCATTATGATAATTTGCTACGGCAGAATTGTATATAAGATTCACAAGGGATCAAATTCACAAATTGGATCATCACGTCATGAGCAACAAATGTCGAAAAGCAGAAACATGGTTATACGCACATTGGTATTTGTGTCTTTTGGATTTCTCATATGTTGGGGACCAGCACTGTGTGAAATAAAGTAAATACCACTAAATCCCGCAAATAGTTAGTTGATTATTAAACCCGAAAATCGCTTTAATGAACATTAATGGACACGTCTGTATTTATACGTTTATATCTATTCGGTTATTTATGCGTATTTACCTGATTTATCAAAATATCATCGATGAGTTAGGTTATTTACTGCTTATTTCAACCATGCAATAATACCTCGTGGTATTTATCTGATTTAGGGAAATCACTTAAATCCATTTAATACCCCATTGGTTATTTATGATATATTTCTGTAAATAACCATTAATAAAGTTCAAGCGTATCAGTAGGTAGAAGTATCAGATTACAAGTTCCAGTCGGATGTCTAAGTAGGTCACAATGCTAATGTATAATACACAGTCATGAAGATTTGAAATAGTTTCAGTTAAGATGGGGAGACGTTTGGTCTTGTTTTTCAGTTCCGAAAACGGGAATACACATAATATCAAAGATTTTATGTTTGCACTTTATTACCACACCATTCGTGCTTCGAAATCCGATGCTATGAAATATTTGATGAATGATGTATACATGGAATTTATATTCATCTTATACGTAAACAGTAAGTATTACCATTTTATAAATCTTGACAATATAAATAAACCGTCTACAAAAAGTCGATTGCAGTTTGATTTTCAGTTTAATTATTCTTTATCTGTATTTAGTTTAGTTTTGTGCATGTATTTAGTTTGTTGCACGATCCCGTGGTAGTAGGTATGTACACACCTGTGGCAATACGTAGGAACAATCTTGTGGCAATTAGAAGGTACAAACCTGTGGGAGTAAGTAGGTACTATCTTGTGGCAATAAGAAGGTACAGACCTGTGGCAGTAAGTAGGTACTATCTTGTGGCAGTTAGTAGGTACTATCTTGTGGCAATAAGAAGGTACAATCCTGTGGCTATACGTAGGTACAATCCTGTGGCTATACGTAGGTACAATCCTGTGGCCATACGTAGGTACAATCCTGTGGCTATTCGTAGGTACAATCCTGTGACTATTCGTAGGCAGTGGCGTAGCGTCGTTTACGCAAAGTACGCAAATGCGTCCACTGGAACAATCCAATGTTTATCTGAATATTTGGAAATTCTAAATTTCTCAAGTTTTAATAAGCAAAGCCATTGTTCAACCTTATCATTTCCTAAATAAATTAGCTAGATTTCTCCATTCATTCTTAACGATACATTAAATATTTTTGCTTGAATTTCTACAAGACTTATAATGAGTACTTATGAGTAAATTTCAAGTGGAAATGAATGCGTATCGGGTAAACCCCCCCCCCCTCCATCCCAATTTTGGAATTTTGCGTCCCCTAGTAAAATTGCCACGCTACGCCACTGGTAGGTACAATCCTGTGGCAATAAGTAGGTACAATCCTGTGGCTATACGTAGGTACAATCCTGTGGCTATACGTAGGTACAATCCTGTGGCTATACGTAGGTACAATCCTGTGACTATTTGCAGGAACAATCCTGTGGCTATACGTAGGTACAATCCTGTGGCTATACGTAGGTACAATCCTGTGGCTATATGTAGGTACAATCCTGTGGCTATATGTAGGTAAAATCCTGTGGCTATAAGAAGGTAAAGACCTGTGGCTATACGTAGGTACAATCATGTGGCTATACGTAGGTACAATCCTGTGGCTATACGTAGGTACAATCCTGTGGCTATACGTAGGTACAATCCTGTGACTATTTGCAGGAACAATCCTGTGGCTAAACGTAGGTACAATCCTGTGGCTATACGTAGGTACAATCCTGTGGCTATATGCAGGAACAATCCTGTGGCTATACGTAGGTACAATCCTGTGGCTATACGTAGGTACAATCCTGTGGCTATACGTAGGTACAATCCTGTGGCTATACGAAGGTACAATCCTGTGACTATTTGCAGGAACAATCCTTTGGCTATACGTAGGTACAATCCTGTGGCTATACGTAGGTACAATCCTGTGGCTATATGTAGGTACAATCCTGTGGCTATACGTAGGTAAAGTCCTGTGGCTATACGTAGGTACAATTGTGGATATACGTTGGTACAATCCTGTGGCTTTAAGTAGGAACAATCCTGTGGCTATACGTAGGTACAATCCTGTGGCTATACGTAGGTACAATCCTGTGTCAATAAGTAGGTACAATCCTGTGGCTATACGTAGGTACAATCCTGTTGCTATACGTAGGTACAATCCTGTGGCTAAACGTAGGTACAATCCTGTGGCTATACGTAGGTACAATCCTGTGGCTTTAAGTAGGTGCAATCCTGTCGCTATACATAGGTACAATCCTGTGGCTATACGTAGGTACAAACCTGTGGCAGTAAGTAGGTACTATTTTGTGGCAATAAGAAGGTACAATCCTGTGCCAATAAGTAGGTACAATCCTGTGGCTATACGTAGGTACAATCCTGTGGCTATACGTAGGTACAATCCTGTGGCTATATGTAGGTAAAATCCTGTGGCTATACGTAGGTACCATCCTGTGGCTATACGTAGGTACAATCATGTGGCTATACGTAGGTACAATCCTGTGGCTATACGTAGGTACAATCCTGTGGCTATACGTAGGTACAATCCTGTGGCTATATGTAGGTACAATCCTGTGGCTATACGTAGGTACAGTCCTGTGGCTATACGTAGGTACAATTGTGGCTATACGTAGGTACAATCCTGTGGCTTTAAGTAGGAACAATCCTGTGGCTATACGTAGGTACAATCCTGTGGCTATACGTAGGTACAATCATGTGGCTATACGTAGGTTCAGTCCTGTGGCTATACGTAGGTACAATCCTGTGGCTATACGTAGGTACCATCCTGTGGCTATACGTAGGTACAATCCTGTGGCTATACGTAGGTACAATCATGTGGCTATACGTAGGTACAATCCTGTACCTTAAGTAGGTACAATCCTGTGGCTATACGTAGGTACAATCCTGTGGCTATACGTAGGTACAATCCTGTGGCTATACATAGGTACAATCCTGTGGCAATAAGTAGGTACAATCCTGTGGCAATAAGTAGGTACAATCCTGTGGCTATACGTAGGTACAATCCTGTGGCTATACGTAGGTACAATCCTGTGGCTATACGTAGGTACAATCCTGTGGCTATACGTAGGTACAATCCTGTGGCTATACGTAGGTACAATCATGTGGCTTTAAGTAGGTACAATCCTGTGGCTATACGTAGGTACAATCCTGTGGCTATACGTAGGTACAAACCTGTGGCAGTAAGTAGGTACTATTTTGTGGGAATAAGAAGGTACAGACCTTTGGCAGTAAGTAGGTTCAATCATGTGGCTATACGTAGGTACAATCATGTGGCTATACGTAGGTACAATCCTGTGACTATGCGTAGGTACAATCCTGTGGCTATACGTAGGTACAATCCTGTGGCTATACGTAGGTACAATCCTTTGGCAATAAGAAGGTACAATCCTGTGGCAGTGAGTAGGTACAATCCTGTGGCAATGAGTAGGTACAATCCTGTGGCAATAAGTAGGTACAATCTTGTTGCAGTGAGTAGGTACAATCCTGTCGCAGTAAGTAGGTACAATCCTGTGGCAGTGAGTAGGTACAATCCTTTGGCAATAAGTAAGTACAATCCTGTGGCAGTAAGTAGGTACAATCCTGTGGCAATAAGTATGTTCAATCCTGTGGCTTTACGTAGGTACAATCCTGTGGCTATACGTAGGTACAATCCCGTGGCAATAATTAGGTACAATCATGTGGCAATAAGTCGGTACAATCCTGTGGCAGTAAGTAGGTACAATCCTTTGGCAGTAAGTAGGTCCAATCCCATTTCATTCCCAGGGGTGGTAGTAGGTAAGAGCTTCAATATTGCAGATGCTAATGTAACACATGCATTTTATTGTTTTAGACTAAACTATGGAGAGGAAAGGTGGCCAGTGAAGGAGACACTGAGTTCCATTTGTGGAGTGTTGGAGGGACAACAGAAATAATGTCCGACGAGGAGTTCGACAATGAAACAAAGACGGTTAACTTGAGAACTCCACGATGGAGAACAGAACATTTCAACAACTACATACCTTTTCATATTTTAGCAATATGAAAGTAGGATAACGACAATCAAGTTCTGAAAGTTTCGTGACTCTCATTCAAATTATTTGTATTATTTTCATAGCCTTTCACAGATATGTTCGATTTCATCCACTTCCTGTAAATGCATGACTAGCTACTGAATGTAAAATCATTATAGAGATTAATAATAAAAGCTATTAAAAATTGAACATTTTCGCCTTATTTATGAAAGTGAAGCAAGGTCATATCGTATTAATATGCTACAATATTATAGGCAGGACAGAGTATATACCACAGCGCCCCCCCCCCCACTATCCATAAAGAAATCCTATTATAAAACGTGATGATCAGATAAATACCTCATAATTTAGCGCAAATGCATTTAGGTATTTATGTCATAAATGTCGACAAATGGCCCAAATGTCCATTGATACCCAGTAAAAGCCAATCGGAGTATCAACGTTAGGTTATAAATACCATAAATACTCATTGATATTAGTATAAACAGAATAATATGTATTGCGTAACTCGGGTCACATGGCATTAATACCCAAATAGATACCCCTGTGTATTTACATGACTTTGATAAATACACATTAATAAACTACTAATACATTCCAAGCAGTAAATAAATACATCATAAATAACCAACACTATTCATGGGTTATTTGAAAAACGGTATATGACTTAAATACCTAGTTGGTATTTAGTGATATCTATCTAAACGATAAACAGTTATTAACGGTGATTGTTGAATTATTTTTCCTTATAATCAATAAATAGTTTATTAATCCCATAGAGATTTAAGTGCCTTTGACGCAGTGCAGTGTATGCATATGTGCTTCTTTATCGTTTAAAAATCGTTGAAACCTTAGCAGGAACGGCGCACCAGATCTGTGGCTATGTGTCATTTGCAAATTCTAGCATCAATCCAATTATTTATTCGTTCACTCACACAATGTTTCGAAAGGAGATGAAGAGTATTTTCACAAATGGAAGAAATCGAATTCACACGACCGATACAGAAGATCAAACACTGAATGATATTAACAGTTCTACAGTTACACGACAAAGGAGGTCAGTAAATTGTCAGACAATAACATAACATATATGAAATTAAAAGACAATCTGAGTATACATACTTGTCGCAAAATAGAAGAATTGAAAGCAAATATATACACTGTCGGACCATTAATGGCAAAACGAACGACGAACGACAAGGACACTACGAAGTGTTGGTTGAAAAAAGTCTAGATTTTTAAAGGCAGAAGCGTTTTGTCGTTTTGTCTCAAAGTTACAAAGGGGGAGACTCGAAATACTTTTTCATACAAAGGACTGCGAGTTGTATGTAGAATGAATTGGGGGAGTTCATTCATTTTGCTAAAGAACATGGAACAATATCAAAATTGTCCAAAGCAGGCGTATCGTGCAATAGACTAATAAACTTCGTTCTCCAAACCGAGAAAAGTCTTTTGTATTGACTATGAGGTAAAATACCACGTAGTATGGCAAGTGATTTTATGACGGTCATATCTTTCACCATGAGTACTTGCTTGGCATAAATACAGTGGTTTTCATTAAAACAATATGTTTTCTTTCAAGTGAGGTACCCATGATGATAAAACATATCAATCGAACAATTCGAAAAATTATGAATAGGGACCCCATGTCAACATTTTTTTTAAATATTGAACTTAATTTACTCAAAAGAGGATCTCCCTTTTCTGATTTTTATTGCATGAAAAGATTATTCAACAAGGGGTCTAAAACATCCTCAAAAATAAAATTTTATGGAAAGTCTAGTTTTGAAGATATCAATTTACGATGGCCAAAATCATGCTGAAAACAATGGATAGCACGAGTTTTCCCAATGGGAAAATAACATGGGATATGTGGTTTTTAACTTTAACGCATTTCAATACGCATCCCCTTTTCAGAAATTGTTCATATAGTGTAGAAGAAACTTTTGATATGTTTAAATTGAGAAAAGCAAGATCCTCTTTTTAGAAAATAAGCCTAACATTTTTAAAAAGTGCCAGGGTGGGGCCCTAATCCATAATTTTTCAGAAAGTTGGATTGATATTTTACTATCATGTATTGTACATATTGTTTTAATAAAAAACATTGTTTTTATGGCCAGAAAGTACTCATGGTGAAAGATATGACTGTCTAAAATCACTTGCCATACTGCACATGGACCTTTGTTGAGAAGTGAGTTGGTGTAAATAGTTCATCTTCAGTGCACTGCATGTAACGGGCCAGGTACAGTTTAAAATTTAATTTCTTTTGTGTTTACTATTCAAATATTGAATAAATGAATACGTGTCCTAGTTAAGCGTTAGTGCACTGCATGTGACAGTCAATAGTCTTTTATGCTACACTGGTTTTGAAAAGCTTGCCAAGTGTCAATTCTTTAAAAACAAAATGCATTCTTCTTTGTTACAACTGTATATTCCTTTAAATAAACTACAGTTCTTTCTATTGTGTTGCTACCCAAGTGGGGTTTAAGATTTTAGAAAATACGAAAAACAGTTTACCTTACTCGTACACCTTATGTATTGATGACATACCTCAGGCATCAATGATAGAGACATAATGGCTAAGTATGGGACTGTTCATATAGCATTTGGTCTCAAATGATACGGATCAGTCAGTCGTAGCTATACTCCATACACAAAGTTCCCTATATTGGATCACTTATAAAACCATGTTAATCTAAGTTTGTTTTATTTATGTTTTATTTTCTAAAATATTGTAATTAAGAAACAACATTTTACAAGATTCAAACACTATATCTAACTCAGACAAAAACAAAACAGAAGTTTTCATTGGATAAATGTGAGAAAAAGCGACATCATTCTAACAACCCGGTTTTATTAATGCATATCAATTACAAGGAGCGTAAGTTGCATCTGCATTACAACAAAGATTGTTTGGTGGATCGAACTGGGAGTCTGCGAATGTGTACCACGTTGGATCCAATGTGATGCAGCCTGCCATGCGGGAGAATGCAAACACAGGATATCCTGGGAAACCAATGGGCATTTCTGTTGGATCGTTATCTGCAACACGTTCACACATGTGGTCCCCGTATGTTTCGTTCTGAAATTAGATTTCAGTGCATGCATTAAATTACTATTCAGGTGTGGGAAACACTTTTTACATGTGATGAACCTTCTCTTAATACGCAAAATAGTGTCATCTTATGTCATTAACCAGAGGCGGATCTAAGAACCAATAAGGGGGGGGGGGGCATATTTCAAGTCTAAAAATTGGGCCCAATTTTTTTCTGGAACACCCAAGGGGGCGGGCCGCCAGATCCGTCAGTGTTAACTGCTCTTTCTTCAAAATGGTAATACTGTATCTCAGGACGTACACCAGAGAGGTAAAATGATTAATATTACAGACAAAAGTTTAAATCATATATCATTGGAAAGACAATTCGATTTCCAACAAAATGATATATACTTTATTTCAAATAAATAAGAATTTGTTTTAAAAATAACTTTTCGATTACCACAGGGGTCAAATTCATGATTTACCAAGCGATTGCTGAAAACGGAATGCTAAAAACTGAACAGACAGATATAACCCCTATGTCAGCTTATAGAAGGTCAAGATTGTTGATTTATGTATCAAATGAAAGCAAATTAATTTACAAATACAATATAATTGAGTTATTTTACCATTTTGATATTGGTAATATTATAGCCTAAGTAACGCGGAGAAATCTCCATCAAATAGTTGAATATTTACTCATTTCAAGATTTTTTTGAGATAATGCCTATTAAAGGCTAAAATTATCATGAAATGATCAATAATGATGTCGAACTTGTATAACCTAACTGACATTTTAGTGGCAGACAATGCAACTATAGACACCAGAAGAGGAAATAATGGAAAATTCCATTGCGTGGGTTATGCCAAGGCTCAACTGCGTTTCTTTGCAAAATGTGTTTGAAGCAAATGTCAATTACCTAACTTTATCACAAACTAATTATGTATAAAAATAAGTTCCATGCTTATTTTTAGAGCCATGTACAATGATTTACAAACAATAAAACTCAACTCCAATCACTTTTCTTCATATGTAAAAGCCTAAAAGTGTTGATTAAGCAATGCAATATTATGTATTAAGCTCAAAACATATAGCAACATGTTGTTTTCGACTGTTACTACCCCATGATACGGAAATGACCATGGAGTCACCAATAGCCATTCATATTTTATGAATCATATATCACTTTGTTGGAAATTGAATAAGCATTCAAATGATATATAATTTATGGATATTCTAACATACCAGTGAAGATGTTACAAAAATGGACGTTTTTATTGGCCCACCCTGTATATAGTCTTGAAAACGTCCAAATCTGTTTTTTCGTGAGATTTTAAGAGATTTACAGGGTGGTCCAAAAAAGTGGACCCTTGCAACGAGCTCCATCTCAGTTATTACTGGCATTCATCAGCTAATGTTCTCACATGTTTAAGAGGGCGGTCTAAAGTTTTGGGTGATTTTTTATGGTACCCACAAAACTCTAATCCTTCCTCTTTAAAAACATGTGAGAATATTGGCTGATTAATGCGAGTTATATGTGAGATATAGCTTGTTGCAAGAGCTCACTTTTTGGACCACCACCCTGTACAATTAAGCCTCTTATGACTTACTTTTCCTTCTTTTGATAGCATATTTGAATTTAGTGAAAAGTTTTCCACAACAATAATTTTGATTAATGTTAAATCTTTATACAATGATTTTTCAAATGATCTTGAAATATGATCCTGGTTTGATAGTTTTTGATATAGCAGGACAGACGTACAGGCGGATAGATGGATGGAATGGTGGGCGAATGAGAGGTGAATTACTGATTTTGCCCTAATACTAGATATCATCAGGCGGACCATGGTTTAGGGGCAATTCCACAGACTAATGCTCTAATACAATCCAGTGGGAAAATGTTGAAATCTTCGAATTGAAAACGAGGATTTTCGGTACCTAACCCCGTATACCACGGTGTATAGCTCCATATGTCCCCTTCAAAACCAAAAATGTTTTTACATAGAAAGGCCATTAAAATAAAAACATATATGACCACTGTTTCCGCCATCTATTCAAATTTTGAACTATTTTCGATAAATCTCAAACTCAAGACCACCACATGATCACAAAGTCAAATATCTGAAATAAACAGAATCATTTCGTAATACCTTTTGTAAAATCATATACACAAGATAAACAAAACATATAGAAAGTCTGTACATTTTCACTAGTGAGTGCACTGATAAATCTTGATTTCAATCAACCATCATCCCAATTTTAGATTTAGATTGTTTGTTTCAACAGCGACATCTGTGGAATTATCCCATACTAAAAGCTGCTATAGATTTTACTGTGTGATGTCAGCCAGATGAAAGTGAAGTAGCATTCGCGAATTCAATTGACGACTGACGGATTAACCTACAATCTCATGGCCATGATCTAAATATCTGATAGAGCCTTCCACTATTTGAATAAGTAAGCCATAAAAAGTAGGTTAAACCGCCAGCCGGTAGTTGAATTCGCGAATGGTATTACAAATCTAAGGTACCATTCACGAATTCTGCCGGCTGTCAATTGACGGATTAACTGCTAGTTTCGGGCAAACTCATTTGAATTTTGATGTGAAGTAGTGTAGCTGGTACTATTCTAATTCAAATCAGATAAAAAATGAAAATAAAAATAGCGTTTAATTCGTCAGTCTACAGCCGGCAGTTGAATTCGCAGATGATACCTCACTTACCGAGTGTTCTGTTCCATCTCTAACAAGAGTATAGAAAGTGTAGTTTCCATTGATCTCTCCCTTAATCTGTTGTCGACAGTATTGATCACACATCGTTAAATCCCCGTTATTGCATTCTAAACGACTACCAAGGTTAACATATCCCCCTGTAAGGTTCTGAAGGTTAGGTTCAATATTTTCCAAGAAGCCATCTTCTCTGAACAGAGCACATTCACACCTGAAATTAGTAAGTTGTTTTGATTTGGACCGGTGGTGTATTATTCGTGTGATGTGCAACTGTGACGTGCCCCCTCAGTCGGCGAACCTTGAGCTGTTTATTATCCGACTTTCTGATCTGTTAGAACAGCCTTTCATGTTCCTTATCATTCGCTTCAGAATCGTGAAAAACTGTAATCAGCTGCTCACTTTTTATGTCCAAATGTTTTCTACATAACCGTTATCCGTTTGCGAAAGTCTGTGAGCACTCGGCTGCTTCTGTACCGATCAGGACTTCTTTTTATCCATCGAGTAGGTATTCTCTACCAAGAAACCTAAATGGCTGTTTTGACGTGAATTCACGAAGTACCGTTCAAAATCCCCGTAGATTTCCAAATCTTAGCTACAGTAACATGCTATGAACCTCATTAGGAAATCTCGTGAGTCGTGTGGTGCTTCGTGAATCTTCGTGATCCTTCATTTAGATTATTTGTAGAAAAGTTAAATATCCCCTCGAATCGATAAAAAGAAGTCTTGATCGGCACAGAGGCAGCTAATAACTTCCACCATAGTTTCATTAAGGCAATTGATGTAGTCAATTTTTCAGTCGTCACGATTCTGAAGCGGATGATAGATCCCTCGGTCCAATATTTCACTATATTGCCCTTTGAAATGACGTTATTGTACTATTAAAAGGCAAATTTTCTTCTTACTACAAACAGACAAATTATCTTAGTTTTGTTTCTCGTCGATTGCATTCTGTGCATTATTTATGCCCCGATAAATTCAATATTCCCTGTTCCACAGCTGGATGACTCTAACTGCAGTTAGTTTCATTCAAGATGGTTGCCGAAATTCATTCGTTAAGCTAATTGCAGTTAGAATCATCCAGCTGTGGAACAGTGAATATTGTGAAAACCAAATGTTATCTCGGAAAATCCTAAAAAACTACAATAGATATTATTTTATATGCACATTTCTTAATGATAAGTCATGACATCTTAAGATTAGGGATCTGCTATTACATGGATTAAACAATGTTTCCAGTTCTAAATTATAATATATTTAAAAGATCCGAACTAGCAAATAGGCAACAAACAGCCCAATTCTAGTTTCGGCTTACCATTCTACATTATTCTGTGCATATGTGGCTCCATATGCCAGCAAAAGTACTGCTGCAAATACCTTCCACATGTTCTCGATACTCCTTCCTTAAAATAAGTGACGCTTTAAAAAAACATGTACGTGAGTTATAATTAAAATAAAGGCCTTTAACTTGACGCCAATCCCTTTGTGTGAACTTGAGATGGAGTTACCTTGACTGGGTGCAAATGAACATATGTTTTTATATGATTTTATTACACTTTTTAAATCGTGATGATGATAATAATGTACGTCTAAAGCATTTTCTCGCCGGGGATCTTGTAGCTCTTCAGCACTCAGGAGACTTTCTCCATGGCATCTTTATTTTTCTTGTGTTTGTTTTTTCAATTCTGTGTTATGTGTTCAGCAAAATTTTCGCTGACCCGCATATCCGAACACAGGCTCATCAAAATTGCGTAAAAGGCAATAAATCTTTAAGTTAGTAATTTGTAATTATTGTGATATCGAGTTTTACGATTGATTTTTACACACATTTATGTCACTCGAATAAGTATTTAAAATAGACGAAATGAATATCATTTTGATGTTTTAGTTCCATGAACAATGTGTTTTGTGCATGAAGAATTTCCTGCTTTTTCATGTCTTGGTATGTTCAAAAATGTGAAAATGTGAAAACGAATAATGTGAACATATTCCGAAAACCTGAGAAAAATATAATGTATGTTTCTAGTATTATAGGCAAATGTGAGGTAATTAAGAGTAAATGATGATGGATTTTATATCATGACATCGTTAATATTCAGGGGGAACGTATCATTGTGTGGAATTTGCTACTAGCTCTAGGAAATTGCAAATATTTCAAATTAACGTCTGATACTGAATTGCACTGTGTGGTAATATTGAGTCGCCAATCCTTCTTATCGTGTGAGTTCGTTGTGGAGTTACCTTATCTGGGTGAGAATTAACATATGTTTTTTCAATACATCTTTCCTGTGGTTACTTTTTTAAGTCGAGTCGATCATGACATCATATACAGGTCTCACAGTACTTTTTAATTGGTATTTTGCGGCTCTTTGGTACTCAGGAGGCTTCTAGTCTTTCTATGTTCCGAAAGATGTCAGCGGCGGTTGAAGAATCAAACAAACAAGTCAATGTATTGTGTCTATCATGACTTAACAATAACTATATACCACCCTTGGTATACGCAGCTAACGAAAATTGACCGGTACCATGGGCGTAGCCAGGATTAGTGGCGGTAGTACGCGAGGTCGTAGGCCGAGCCGCGAGGCCGCAGGCCGAGCCAAACTAGGGATTTTTGGGCTTATTTGGCGCGTTCTGAGCGATTCTAGGTGCTATTCTAAAGTATTGAAAATAGTGTTTGAGTTGTCGTAAAAGATTTTCTCGTAGATTTCCAAGCCATGAACTCCAGGTACAAACAATAAAAGTAGAAAAACGTACGTAATTATTCATCTATTTCCATTTTGAAGTTTCTACAGCCGGGATCTACAGACCCTAGGACAATACCGAGTCGCCAACCCATGCTATGATAATTATTTGAAAAACACCTAAACGAGTTGTTTAGACTCGTTGTTTATGGTCTTGTTCCCGGGACCTTGTTATTTAAAGGGTCCGAAACGTTTAACGTTACTTGTTTTGCGTAATTTAGACTTACAGTATCTTTAACTGCTTTGAGTTGTAACTGGTGATTTAAATCCTCTGGTGTAAATCGAGAATAATTGTACGTACTTTTAAGTGTTAATCTATCCAATAAGTGATACAAATACTGAATTTTGAATCAATCTTCTTTATCTTAATCAATCTACGTTGTCATGTTCGAGTGAGAGTATGCTTGACGATCATCCATTCTCTCACTTATTGTATCGTTATTGAATACATTTGTATTGCATCTCTCACCTACCGGTCTAAAAGCTTTTAAATTGTATCATTATTGAATACATTTATATTTCATCTCTCACCTTGTCTAAACGCTTTTGAATTGTATCATTATTGAATACATATTTATATTTCATCTCTCACCTAGTCTAAACGCTTTTGAATTGTATCATTAGGTTTTGAAGGGAAGGGGACGAGCAGTAAGTTTACCTTCATTTAACCTTCTTTAGGTCTGATTTGAAAGAAAAATTAACTGTACAGCTGTACAATATCGTCACTGCGAAATTTACAAAACAAAAACAAGTTTGTTTATTTTGCAAATAATATTAAAATAAGAGCTGATTTCCGAGACTTGAAAAAATGTGACGCTACGATTTTTACCCCAAATTCCATACATATCAATTTTTACTAACGCCATAAGTGGATATCCTGACCGTGTTTCAAAATTCAATAACATTTTACTAGAAATATTATCCTCGAGATCTTGCTACCCTGTGAATTTTATCATGATTAAATAAGGATAAAGTATTTCATTTTTAGGTTGATTAAACTTTTTAAAAATGTGACGCTTGTCGTTTTGACGTTGTAAGGCTGTTTGCGCCCTATTGTTTTGTTTTGGTATTTTGACGCCATAATGTTACGCTAAAGCATTGTCCCCATTTTCGTGCGACGTGTATTACCCGTTTTCAATATAGTTGCAGACAACGGAGAAAAGTGCACCCTCGTTAGAATGATATGGTCTGGGGATATGACGGGAACACGCAGTCCATCCTCACAATAGCCCCAAAAAGATGTTTGCATAGGGTTCAAAGGCAGACTGGGCTTAAATAAACTCTTGTAATCACTTGTTTGACAATTTAAAACATAACAACATAACAACTGTTCGATTAAAATAAATGATTTATTTCAATTTGCACTTTTGGTTTCTGACTCTCAATAGTACGCGGCTGCGTATTCTGCGTATATGTGGCTACGCCCCTGGGTACGGGTCAAAAGCTGGACCGGTACGGGTTAACGGTTTTATTTGAATTTAAAAAAGCCATAACTTGCTCAATATTGACTTCCTCGTGTCTAGTTTGAAATATATGATGCCTCCCGATGCTTTTAAGTACCCCAATTTTTTACAGATTTTTAAACGGACCAAAACTCTCTAAATGCGCATTTATGCTCTTTTCTCTCGAGAACGACTGTCTCATTTTCACGATAACTTTTATTTAGTACTTCTAACATATAAGATCTATTTTTCCCCATCAAGGTATGATGTAAATGACATGCTATTTACATCTTGTGAGTTTCAATGACGCGCGTTTAATTTTATAAAAAATGCCAAACTTGTGACAAAGAATTTCATCAGCTATTGCCCCGAACCGGTCCGTCTTCTCGCTACAAGCAGATTGCCCCGAACCGGTCCGTCTTCTCGCTGCAAGGTCTTGGCCATTAATACGAGGATTTTAATCTAAAACATGTTAGCCGACAAAATGGTCTTCAGTTTTTTACATTTTACCACATAGACACACAATTTGAGATTTTAGTTTTTGTAATTTGGAAAAGTGTTTCCTGAGTTCAGGTAATTTTGTGAAACATATTGTACAGCTAGTTTTCTAGATTAATAGGCCAAGCAAATGGGCTCATAAACGGCCCGAACATCCCAAAAATTGCAACAGTTTTTAAATTAGTCTTATATTATGTATTGATATCAGTTGAAAAACATATCAAAAATATAGAAAAATGTATGCAGTGGACAAATATGAAATTTCACTTCCTAGGTACCCCCTACAACCCTACCCAAAAATTGAGTATTGGTAGGAAACAATTTTTTGTTCTCAAATGGAATACTTTAGTCAAGTATTCAAGCTTTATTACGATAGATCACATATTCACAAATAATTAAAATATCGTTTTGATCATTTTTGAGACCAGTAATTGGTCATTTGACCCCAAAGTATAACAAAATAGGCCACAAAACAGGCATGTTATCACATATCTATTTAAATATTTTAGGATCAGTTTGTCAAAAAACCATGAAATAAATAATCATGGTGTTACATATTCATATGAACTTTATATTTGGTGAGTATCAGACTTCTAACTTGTATACTTAGGAAGAAAAAAATTATTTCTTTTTCATAGTTTTGCCCCGCCCACTAGGGGAGACTATAGTTTTGAATATCTATTTAGATATTTTAGGATCAGATTGTCAGAAAAGCATGAAAAAAATCATGGTGTTACATATTCATGTGAACTTAATATTTGGTGAGTATCAGAATTCTTACGTGTAGACTTATGAAGAAAAAAAAGTATATTTCATTTTCATAGTTTTGCCCCGCCCACCATATGGGAGACTATAGTTTTGATGACAAACTCCCACAATGCATGTCATTCGTATTAGAGTTGACATCTAAATCATTTATATAGGCTTGTCATCATCTAAAATACAGGTTTTGTGAAGGTTTATACCTTATTAGTATGAAAATAGGAATTATTAGTTGCACCAGGTGAAATGTTAAGGTGACCTCACTTTTAATTGATGAATAATTACATATCACCACTCTGATATTAGGGTATTTGGTAACTCACTGGTGATCCACTCGATTACGTTGGTTACCAAAACGAATCGTTTTGGTAACAAAATGTCGGAACGTCGAAGGCACGATTTTTCTTTTTTCCTTATTTCACGCGTTGTAGGCAGAATTTCCACGACGTTTTTTCTCACAATTACGTGCATCAGTATCATATGTTTTAAAAAATCTACACGTTTGCGAAAAAATAGCTCAGAGGACAACAGAATCGTCGATTTACTTCCTCACTAAAGTTACATAAACGGTTTTTCGAAAAACAGTTAAGATCTGCACTTTTAACCCAAACCGTTTATGTAACTTAAGTGAGGAAGTAAATCGATGATTCTGTTGTCTTCTGAACTATTTGTTCGCAAATATGTACACTTTCTTAAACATATGATACTGATACACGTTTGTGTTAAAAAATGTCGTGGGAATTCTGCCTACAACGTGTAAAATAAGGAAACGAGAAAAATCGTACCTTCCGGATGTTCCGACATTTTGTTACCAAAACGAATCGTTTTGGTAACCAGCGTAATCGAGTGGATCACCAGTGTAACTGCTCTATACTAGGCTTATCTAAATAATGTATTGTAGTTTCTGTGGAATTTAATATTGTTTAAATTATCAATTACAATCCGCAATTACAAAATTTGCATATATTTAAATTCATCAGATAAATAAATCATTACTTAAGAATACATTACTATGGAACTGGATGTATAATGTTGTAGAAACGATTTTATGGTTATTAAAGGTAATTTAAACTGATAGAGCACATTTAAATCTCAGATATCTGGGGAGTCTTTCATTAATATAATTTCAGGAATTTCAGTGCGTAGGAATGATGGTAATTCTGTCTGTCAGGTTGGAAAACATTGAGTGTACATGTGCTACACATTCAGAATCGGATGCAGATATTGTGATTGTGAAGACTGCAATCCAAAGTGTTCCAACCTCAAATACAGTACTCATACAGTTCTCCTTGTGCTTCTCATTTATCATGCACAAAACACAAACTTCAACATTTTCTTCAAACCTGAACCAAAAGCAGCAACCCAAGAAACAAAATGTTGGATATAAATGAAATAAGATTGTCTTTGGGAAAAGTGGTCTGTGACAATATTTTCTTTATCCATGCTTTTCTGGGGTGTGACACCTCATTCTGGTTATATATGGGATTGACAAGAAGCTATCATTGAGGCAGATAAAAAAGAGTGAGTTCTTGAGAAGACAAGCGGTCGTTTTTAAATTACCAAAAGCACTGGTGATCCTCTCGAATATGCCCGTTTAGGTATGACAAAATGTCTAAACGTCGAATGTGCGATTTTTCTTTCACGCGTTGTACGCAGAATCCCCACGATGTTTTTTTCTCACAATCGTGTATCAGTATCACATGTTTTAGAAAATGTACATGTTTGCGCAAAAATAGCTTAGAAGACAATTCTTGATTTAAAGGTGCAATAATTAGTGCAGAGGGGTCATTCAACGTTCGTGGACAAGTGTCAAAATATATTTAAGTTTGGATATTTCATCAAAACTAACATCTATTTTTATTATCTACAAAGAAACCTCCTAGATAAACATTATTTTAGCTGATATTCCTCTTGAAACATGGTGGATCTTAGAAAAATAAAAGTGGAAGTCCCCTTTTTGAAGCTTTGAACTGAATTTACACTTCTTAATGCTGAAATTGATAATTTATCCATACATTTTAAGAAAATAGGTATGTCAAAGAAGATGTTTAACCAAATATTGCCTTGATAGCTCAGAAAAAATGAAAAAACTTTCCTATTTTCTCTACAGTCCTTATTGCCCCTTTAATTCCTCGGTTTGGGTTAAAAGTGCAGATCTTAACTAATATCGAAATACCATTTATGTAACTTAAGTGAGGAATTAAATCGACGATTCTGTTGTCTTCTGAACTATTTGTTCGCAAATATGTACATTTTTTTAAACATATGATACTGATACATGTTTGTGATAACAATGTTGTGGGAATTCTGCCTACAACGTGTGAAATAAGGAAAAAAGAAAAATCATAATACAGGGTGACCCAAAAAAATGCAACCCTCCTTTTCTTCAAAATTTTCCTTAAATGGAGGTTAATCGCTCTGAAATTTTGCACACAAGAACTTCATCCAATGTGGGATCCTCTGGCAAAGTTTCAATAAACATAGTCTTATATTGATAGAGCTATGGTCGTTCCAAAATATGCTCCAAATGTCGTCCATTTCCAATGTTAGGTTTTCAGATGAATCACATTCCCTTCTTTCTGAACATGTAAACTCAAGAAATAATGTGTTCTGGGATCACAAATTCCAGATGAAGTGCTTCAAAGGCCCCTTCATTCTTTCAAATGCACAGCTTGGGCTGCCAATTTCCAAACATGAAATCATCAGCCCCTTTTGGTTTGAGGTTGATAATGCCAACAATGTTACTGTTAACACACAGCGCAATGTTTGCGCTCCCAGGATGTTCTAGGCAGTTCTAGAGTGGCATAGAGGCTTCAATAGACAAGAACAGTGGTTCTAGAAGAATGGAGCTTCTTCTCACACTTCTAATGATAGCATAGCCTGGCTCACTAGTCCTTTCTATGAGAAGATGATCTTTCCTAGGACGGAGAACCCATGGTCATCCCACAGTCTTGATCTCAATGCCCCCGACTTCTATATATGGGGTTATTTAAGGGATAATGTGTATGAAAATAACCCTACCGCAATTGCAGAACTCCAATAAGCAATGGCTGCAAAAATTTGAGCCATACCCATGGGGAAGAATGCATCTGTGCTATGAACAGTTTTCCTTGAACATCGCAAGTTTGTTTTCAGCGAAATTGACGACATCTGGAGCATATTTTGAAACAACCATAACTCTATAAATATAAGACTATGATTATCAAAACTTTGCCAGAGGATCCCACATTGAATGAAGTCCTTGTGTGCCGAATCTCAGAGCAATTTATCTCCATTTAAGAAAAAAATTGAAGAAATGGAGGGTTGCATTTTTTTGGGTCATCCTGGTACCTTCGATGTTCTGACATTTTGTTACAACGTACTTAGGCTTCAAAAATTCTATTAAAAGAGAGCAGCAAGATCTGAATTATTGCAGCCCCGTGTTCTTCCTCCAACGTCTGATGCTGCGGGATATATACCACAGTTATAGAGCGTACCTTCAGATCCAGGAGTGGAAGGGAAATAAACTGCCTCAATACAAGATAAGATAATTCAATTTTTGTGATTTTGTAACATGGGGTCTATGGGGAATATTTCAAATATGACATCATTTTGAATTTTGAATATTTAATGAATATTTGTACTCGTATCTAGTCTATTGCCTACCTGCAGCTCCCCTCTCTTAGAGATCATCCATTGTGTGTGTAAGACAGATTGAACTTCTATGAGATGTACTTGCAGAAAATGGAATAACTGTTCTATGGCATGTAAGGTATGCAAAGGCATTTGTGCAAGTACCTCCATTATTGATCATGAAAATAATGATGACTAAAAAATGAAGGCTGGTGATAGGCATGGTTGAAAGTGATTGTTGTTACAACATAAAAGTATTAAGCTTATTTAATCAGCATTATTTTAAGACACATATATGTAAGTTAAGATTACAAAATGAAGGCAGCATTTTTGATAATGAACATAAGGTAATCAAACCATGCCCTGTATAAAGACCAGGGATTTACTTTGCGTTACACTAGTTAACTCAGTATAATTTATTAGCGTAGAAACCTTTTCCTCATTTTTTATTGAATTTCATCTTGAAATCCAACATTCTACAGTTGAACTTCTTCATTTCAATTCTCATTATCACAGTGTGGTTAAGAACATCTCTTGTTTTAATGTTTCAAGGGTTGTTAGTATAGAAAATAGGTCCACAGATAAAAAGCTGGTGGTATTGATGTCCAGTCATTCAGGCACATTTCGATATTTTGAGCACATTTTGTAAATGGCCATAAAATCGTGACTATTAAGGATAGATCAATGACACTTAGTAGAATGAAAGAACATTGAACAAGGTAATTGTGCAAAATATGATGTCAAATCCATGCTGAATGACTGGGTTATTAACAAAAATTTGGTTGGGTTACCTTTTTTGGCTCATATTAATAACCTGATGTCAGGGACAGAGATATTTAACATTTTTTTGTCTTTTCAAGGATATTTTTAGAACACTGATTGTACTTAATTTCTAACAAATCGTTCTCTGTTTTAACAGAAAATGTATCAAATTGAATATAGTAAGGGCAAAACATTTGATAATTTAGCAGTTATCAACTAAAAGTAGGGCTTCCCCTATATTTCACCTGGCATTTGCAGTTTTTTCTACTTTTTTACATAATCCTTCCCTGAAAACATATCAAATTACTGTTTTCAGGACAAAATAAGCCTTTACAAATAATTTAGTTGTGCTATTGAGTTCAAATATGACATATCTTGGAAGTAATTAAACAAAAGTAAGGTCACCCGAAAAATTGGTGTGGTAAAATATTGAAATTTCAAATATTATTATCACCCTCAATATTCAACCAATGACCCTGATACTGATCAAATACAATTTTCAGGTATACATTAACTCCCTTGATTTTTTTCATGCAATTCTCATGAATTGATACAGAAATAAATACATTGTTATATTAAATTCGGGCTATTTGATGGCCTATTTTCAGATATTTGGGGCTAGAAATGCCAATTATTGCACTCAAATAGTTGGTTAACAATTTTTAGTTGCTCTTATGTCAGTAAACTATCATAATATTACTCATTTAGTTGACAAGAGCATTTCATTTTGAAATTAAAAAATATTTACAATCCCATACTCAAATTTGGAGGGGGGTACCTAGAATGTGACATTTCATATTTGTCCACTGCATATATTTTTCTATATTTTTGATATGTTTTTCAACTGGTATCAATATACAATATAAGCCTAATTTAAAAACTGTTGCAATTTTTGGGATGTTAAACTTCCATTTGCCTAGCCTATAAGCGACAATCGAACTCCAGTAACGATGTCCTTATGGTACAACAGCCAGGTAAATATTTTTTACTGCTTTCGCAATCATCATCAGTTTTCATTGACATTTCATTAAACTATATTTCCTCCAAAACCAGAAAAAAACTTACACTTCACAATTTAAAAAATGTTATTGTTGTTGTCAAAATAGGTTACTTTTGCCAGTGATGTTAAAGTTGTTCTTAGGAGTATGACAAATGACGGGAATGAATGTGAGGCTAATATCCCATAATGCACTTGGATATGAGCAGACGACTGGGCCATCCCTGGTGTTAATTCTTAATGTCGTCCAACTACTAATAACAACAATAATGCTGTGACACATGACGGGGTTGAATGTAAAGCTGGTAGGCTATCCCATAATGCACTTGGACATGAGCAGACGACTAACCCATCCGTTTCTTCAATTCTTAATGTCGTTGAACTACTAATGACAATGATGCTATAGTTAATCCAAGGAGTGTGATAAATGAAGCTGTAATTGATGATCCAGCGTTGCAATTGTCCGAGTTACAATAACACTCCGTTGATGATCCGGACGCTGCAGTCTTGTGAATGCAACGTAATTTGAAATCTTCCTTTTCGTCATCGTGGATTGCAAAGCAGCCCCTGTACACAACCTTTCCAGCTGAAATGAAGAACTCCAGAGTTTCAAATTGAGGTCCATCGGGGAGGACACTTCCCAAAATGTTATCTTGTATAGTGTAAACTATAAGAATACAACACTATAGGCCTAATTTCAAAATCATTATAAGATAATCTAATTGAACTGACTAAGGGAGGAGATGGTGAAAAATTGAATGATTTTGAAAAAGATTTTGGCCAGGGGGACAGTTATACACTTGTAATCAATATTCATCGTTTGGTACCCCCCCCCCTCATATAGGTTGTTCTCACCAGTTGTTGAGTATGGTAGCTCAGCGCCAACATATGTATACTCGGCAACGACCTTCATACACGCAGCACTCTCGTCCTCCTTAATTGTACACTCGGTAGAGGTAGTGTTGGCTGCAAATGGGTCATTGCAACCTTGTTTGGTAGTTGTGTTTTGTGTGTCGCATGTGTAACAGGACAGACCTGCACCTGTAACACCAGAAAATGACTTAATTTATTTAGACTCGTACTTATATAGGCAATGTTAAATAAGGTGCATCTATAGGAGATTTTACACTTGGTGTGCATAGTTATGAATATAAAATGTTTGGTCGTTGTGTTCTGTGTGTCGCATGTGTAACAGGACAGACCCGCACCTGTAACACCTGAAATGAATTAATCTATCTAGACATGTATACTTATATAGGCAATGTTAAATAAGTTGCATCTATAGGAGATTTTACATTTGTTATGCATAGTTATGAATATAAAATGTTTGTTCGTTGTGTTCTGTATGTCGCATGTGTAACAGGACAGACCCGCACCTGTAACACCAGAAAATGAATTAATCTATTTAGACATGTATACTTATATAGGCAATGTTAAATAAGGTGCATCTATAGGAGATTTTACATGTGTTATGCATAGTTATGAATATAAAATGTTTGGTCGTTGTGTTCTGTGTGTCGCATGTGTAACAGGACAGACCCGCACCTGTAACACCAGAAAATGAATTAATCTATTTAGACATGTATACTTATATAGGCAATGTTAAATAAGGTGCATCTATAAGAGATTTTACATTTGTTATGCATAGTTATGAATGTAAAATGTTTGGTCGTTGTGTTCTGTGTGTCGCATGTGTAACAGGACAGACCTGCACCTGTAACACTAGAAAATGAATTAATTTATTTCGACATGTACTTATATAGGCAATGTTAAATAAGGTACATCTATAGGAGATTTTACATTTGTTGTGCATAGTTATGAATGTAAAATGTTTTGTCGTTGTGTTCTGTGTGTCGCATGTGTAATAGGACAGACCTGCACCTGTAACACCAGAAAATGAATAATTTATTTAGACATGTATACTAATATAGGCAATGTTAAATAAGGTGCATCTATAGGAGATTTTACACTTGTTATGAATAGTAATGAATGTAAAATGTTTGGCCGTTGTGTTCTGTGTGTCGCATGTGTAACAAGACAGACCTGCACCTGTAACACAAGAAAATGAATTAATTAATTTAGACTCGTACTTATATAGGCAATGTTAAATAGGGTGCATCTATAGGAGATTTTACACTTGGTGTGCATAGTTATGAATATAAAATGTTTGGTCGTTGTGTTCTGTGTGTCGCGTGTGTAACAGGACAGACCTGCACCTGTAACACCAGAAAATGAATTAATTTATTTAGACTCGTACTTATATAGGCAATGTTAAATAAGGTGCATCTATAGGAGATTTTACATTTGTTATGCATAGTTATGAATGTAAAATGTTTGGTCGTTGTGTTCTGTGTGTCGCATGTGTAACAGGACAGACCCGCACCTGTAACACCTGAAATGAATTAATGTATTTAGACATGTATACTTATATACTAGGCAATGTTAAATAAGGTGCATCTATAGGAGATTTTACATTTGTTATGCATAGTTATGAATATAAAATGTTTGTTCGTTGTGTTCTGTGTGTCGCATGTGTAACAGGACAGACCTGCTCCTGTAACACAAGAAAATGAATTAATTTATTTAGACTCGTACTTATATAGGCAATGTTAAATAATTGCATCTATAGGAGATTTTACATTTGTTATGCATAGTTATGAATATAAAATGTTTGGTCGTTGTGTTCTGTTTGTCGCATGTGTAACAGGACAGACCTGCACCTGTAACACCAGAAATGGATTAATTTATTTAGACATGTACTTATATAGGCAATCTTAAAATAAGGTGCATCTATAGGAGATTTTACACATGTAATGCACACTAGTTATGAATGCATCATGTTTGGTTTTGCGTTCTATGTGTCATGTGTAGCAGGGATCACGTGGACAGACCTGGATCTGTAACACGTGGAACATCAAAAAAGGAAGTGTTTTGGGGTGTTGTGAGTTTACTGTTGAAGGTTCTCCGATACGGGCCGGTTTAACCATCATCCTAAGCAGGTATCAAGAATCCGTGCCTCTAAGACATTCTGGATTTTGTAGCCGAAGATGGTTTTAACTGATCTCAAGGAGTATGGAACTTATGGGGGTGTTGAAGGGGGGAATAATATTGGCTTTGCTCGGATAAAAACACCTAGTTGTTTTTGTAATTTAGAACAAGATATTGTGTCAAAATTAAACATAACTTTTTTCTTTTCTAATTGACATTTACACTCTCCCAAAAATGTGATAACAAAACTTGTAAGCCTTTTCTCCCTCAAAAACATCTTCGATTCAACATACATACTACATATCGCAATATCGTTATCATGCGTATATATACAATCACCAGTCTCACGCACAACATTCAATAATTATTAAACAACACGATATCTGTGCGTTTTGCTATAATTTAAAGACTGGGTAACTTGTACAAAGAAGAGCAGAGTGATCCTGTCCATATAAACAAATAGCATCTTAGATTATGTATGCGTTGCGTTCTGTTGGAAAAAATAACCTAAAGATAGACAGTATGAATAACAAATTATTTCCGATCAAAAGTACAGTAGCTACTAGTAGCTTTAGCTAGGCCTCGAGATGTTGATAGTTTAACATTTGCCTGAATAAATAATTAGATACCTTTCCAATATTTTCATTTTGTTTGTTAAGAAAGAACGTCGTAGCATGTATTAGAGTTTTAATGTTATATCCATGCAGTTTAGAAGATTTAATAAACTTTGATCGAGAGCCTTTGCGCGCGTCCTTTGTCATAGGGATGAACTAATTACAGTCTTCGAGTTCGTGGAATAAAGGATGAAGAAAATAATTTTTCCTTGTTTCGGTATTTCATTTATTGTCGTCTGATATTCGTACTTCGTCGTGTGTTTTTGAAGATCCGCATTGTTAAATGTAAATTTGTTCGTTTGCATACCTTGTTTAGCTAATTCCTTTAATGTTTATTTCAGCAACGTGTAAGTAGAACCTAGCCCGTAGCTGGCATTAGGAAATACTTCCCAAAAATCCAGGGGGCACATTTGAGAACTTTGGCCCAAAAAGCGGCATGACTTTGAAATAGTTTTTGGCAATGGGATTCGCTCGAACACCCCCCCCCCCTCTCCCCCTGGCTACGAGCCTGTTAGAACCTTCATATATTCTTATATATAAATTGATGGTCTTCTTTGAATTCTTACGATACTGTTATATATAGGAACTTCTTAACGTTAATTAAAACACCCTGATTACTATGGTACTATAAATATCATGAGATGGATCATCTTGCATGAATCAGGAAAACGATTCCATATGCGATTTATCTTGATTAAGGGGAATATCTTGCAAAACATTGTGTTTATTAAACTTTTTTGGGTTATCTGATTGATTCGATGGCATGTCCGAAACGAAGCCAGGCTACCAAAGGAGTGAAATTAAAAAGGATGGGGGGGGGGTATTGCAAACACTGCGACCCTGGTAAAAATTAGCGCCGCGTTTTGAATTTGAGACTCATTTTAAATGAGGGTGGGGCACGAACGCTGTCTACGGGACTGTTATAGCAGGCTTTACGGACAACTTACCCCTTAGTTATTTAACACCTAGATAAACCATTCCAGGACAACTCATCTCCTGGACTACTCAACTCCTATACAACTCATCTCCCGGATAAGACTTCATTTGTGAGAATTTTCTTATAATATTCATTCAAGTTTGCCTTTCAAATGATTTCAAAAAATTCTATCTGTGGGAATATTCATTTTTTACTTTTTAAATTGAGGAGATTTTACACAATACTAGATTCAAAATCGTATGTTTTTTTATATTAATTTTCATATTTAAGACAGTGCTTAGCATGAATGTCTTTTAATTTAATTTTTAAACTCCCATAAGATAGCTCTGAAAATGAGTTGATCGATTATGACTCATTGGATTTGCCATTTGTTTTAGCTTCAAGTAAACTACTTAAAATGTCAGTTTTTGTTGAAAATATAAACTTTGCCAAAAAACAAGAATTGTCAGTGCGACCGACTCTTACATGTCGGCTTACATTTCCAAGTGGAACTTCAATTTTGTGTCAATTAAGCGAGGATTATGTTTCATTATGAGCAACTCTAAAATAATGTATTTCCTATAAATGCAGTAAACATTTCATTTTCAGTTAACATGGCATGGAAAGTTTTAATTGTCCTGTAGGGGATGAGATGTGGCACAGGGGTTGAGTTGTCCAGGGGTGTAATTGTCCAGGGGTGTAATTGTCTACGGGCTGTAATTGTCCAGGGGCTGGGTTGTCCGGTTTCCTCCTATATAGCATATAGTTTTTGATTTGTGTTCTTCAAATATGGCCACTGGTGCTTTTAGCAACAATCGGTTGTGGAACCTTAGGGTGACTTACTGTAGTGTATCATCATTAAAGATAATTACCTTTCCCAAACTTAATTTAATACAACCCCCCCCCCTCCCCCAATAATGAACAACATGAACTTGCGAAGTTATCAAGCAATCAAGTTCTCTTCTTGGCCTTGATCATGTACAGTAAAACCTGTATATGCAAAATGCTCTTATCTGAACGCCTCTCAATGTGAACAGTTTTCAGTCCTATTTTTAATATGCCATAGACTCTTCAATGTTTAAAAAAGCTTCATCGGTGAATACCCGCAAATCCTAACTCTTTTGGTAGGTGGTCCTATCAAATTTTGGTCCTACTCTCTATTGATTTATATGGTGACCTAATTACAATTATTTTCCTTATTATTTACACACAGTCATGGCCAGCAAGGGCCGTAAGGAAAGGGGACCATAATCCCCAGGGGACCATAATTTCTTTTACATCGGTCCCATTGGCATTAAGACTAAACAGTTACAGCATTTTAAAGGTAAGTAACACCTGGAAATCTAAACACGTCTCTAACATGAACACCTCTCAATATGAACGTTTTGGTCCCATTTCTAATCTGCCGATAGAACTCCATGTTAAAAAACTTCAAAGACACCTGTCAACCATAACACTTTTGTCGGTCCAAGTGGCTTTACAGGTTTAATTGTAGTGATGACACAATCTAAGTTACTCGGTCAATTGTTGGCTTATGAATCGTCTACAATTTCAAGTAAATCTACCAATTGTAGCTTGATTATTTCCATAATTTAATTGTACATCTACTTACTTTTTTCTATGATAGTCCACAAGACCAGGAAAAAACCAAACGCCCTTATCAACATCGTTCCTGTTTAGAAATACCAACGCTGCAACTTGTTGAGGAATGAAATCTATACCCAGTACTTCTGAGGCCAGGAAACTACACTCTCCGAGTGCAATCAGGGGGAAGTATCACAACTTGGAGAAAACTAACTCGGATAGTTCCAACACCTTCAAAATGTAATTTAAGCTTGCGCAAATTAAAAAAAAGATAAAGGGCAAAAAATGCTCAACACACTGACCCCCCCCCCCACCATAGGGCCAGGAACATGTATAATTATTGCAGAATCGAAGTCTGTCCAATTGGAGCCTGATTCTTACGGGGACAATCATCTCCGATTTTGGACAAACTTAGATTCTGCATTAATTACACGAGTTTCCGGGCCTATGGCAACCCCAATAAATTCAAATAACCGACAAAACTAGAATTCAAAACCATAAACCAATTTCTGGCGCCAAAATACAAAACTGAATTTTAAGATTTTGACATGGTCCCAAAAAAGTTTTCTTTACGCTGCAGATTTGTTAAGTGGTACATAAAAAACGATGCATTTGGAGAATGTAAAAGCTGGGTGAGATAAAAGCAGAGCTTGAGGTTTACAGCTTGTATTTATTGCTGATAAACTCTCCCATTTCTCACATACTTGCCTAGCTGGTTCTAGCTACTTCGATAACTGGACAACATGGCTTAATGTTTAGTATTTTCCTAGTTTTGGTTTATCTACTACCTAGATACCAACAAGCTATGAAGAGGGTTAAAATTAATAACTTTATAACATTCATCGTTGAGTATATTGTGTTTAAATTCCTCTCTAATCCTAACATTAATTAAACAATGCAACTTTCGATGTACACGCTTCTTCGGTCTTATTTTTCATGTTATATTTTTTAATCCATCAAATGTAAATAGGCAACAATTTGAAATGTGAATCCCTCAAATGTGAATACCCAACAAGTTGAAATGCGAATCACTAAAATGTGAATACCCAACAAGTTGAAATGTGAATCCCTCAAATGCTAATACCAAACACGTTGAAATGTTGAAACTTGAAAATTCCTCAAAAATGGATACCCAACAAGTTGAAATGTTTATCCCTCAAATGTGAATACCAAACAATTTGAAATGTGAATCCACCAAAATGTTAATACCCAACAAGTTGAGATGTATATCCTCAAATGTGAATACCAAACAAGTTTAAATGTGAATCCCTAAAATGTGAATACCCAACAAGTTGAAATGTGAATCCCTCAAATGTGACTACAAAACAAGTTGAAATGTGAATCCCTCAAATCTGAATACAATATAAGTTGAAATGTGAATTCCTCAAATGTTAATACCAAATAAGTTGAAATGTGAATGCCTCAAATGCCCCAACAAGTTGAAATGTGAATCCCTCAAATGCTAATTCCAAACAAGTTGAAATGTGAATCCCTCAAATGTGAATACCCAACAAGTTGAACTGTGAATAGCTAAAATGTGAATACCAATCAAGTTGAAATGTGAATCCCTCAAATGTAAATACCAACAAGTTGAAATGTGAATCTCTCAAATGTGAATAACCAAACAGTTGAAATGTGAATGGCCTCAAATGTGAATATCCAGCAAGTTGAAATGTGAATCCCTCAAATGTGAATACCAAGCAAGTTGAAATGTGAACATCCAACAATTTGAAAAGCGAATAACTCAATGTGAATACCCCAAAAAAGTTGAAATGTGAATGAAAAATATGAAACTTTATCAACAAATTCCAAAGTGAACATAAAAACAACAATTTACTGTTATTAAATGACAACATTATTTAATACAAAAATACATGATATGAATTGTGAGTATATCTACACATGACTACAGGTACATATTGCTGAAATGTGTGTAAAACAGATATTATTCGATTTATATCTTTTTCATATGGTAATAACAATATTCTTCTGAAAGAACCACATATAAATCAAACAATATTTGCTTTTCACATATGAATATTTACAAATCAATATTATGCATTGGAATAATTATCAATTGCTTAGCCAATTATTCATCATTAGTGTACTCAAATTTTAGTACCTCAAATTCATATTGTGTTTATTAGAGAAATACTTGGCCCTCATTGTCCAGCGTATATGTGAATGTCTATGGTTACCATTATACTGCATAAAAGTCCAATATAAGATTCATAAAAAATCGAACATCATCAAATCACATCAAATAGCTGAGCCTTAAGATCGTTTTGTCCTTCTTACAAAGGTTTAGAAAAAGATAAAGATGGGGGAGAGTCACAAGAGACAACCAAACTTAATATTGAAATGACATATAATCCAATATTTTTCTCCACCAGATCACACATTATCCTTCTTCTTTCCTGCATCCCAAATTCTAATGATTTTCCACAAAAATAGGTAATTTTTCATAGTTATCTTCAAGCATATAATTCATAGCTGTTTCATAAAGTACTAGCATTATCCCGCTAGTCATTTCTAGTGTTTTAAGAAAGGTTTGGACAGGAATGGCTATCTGAGAAACTTCATTCAAGCACATTTGAATAGCCAGGATCTAACATTAGACAAGGCAAAAAAAAAAGTTTGGGCAATTTTAGGCTGAAGGAGGTATATTAGTACATTTGAACTCCAGTTTTAGTCGCTGATATCTGAAAATATTATCTGTTAAGTACTGGTGAGGTAGTTGCCAGGATGACTTCAGTATTTCAATAATCCACAGCAATAAAAAATTCAGTTAAAGGCACACATTGTTGAATTCAGTACTTTTTCGTACTTTTTCAGAAACTAGAGATTCTGTAATTATATTGCTGCGCCGATAAAATGTTTGATTTGAAAATGTTTGACTGGCACCAAGCTAACATCCCATAACATCTATACAGTAGTCATTTTCCAAATCCAAGCTTTCTGCGGTGTCCGTTTTATTAATCTCCTCTCCATCATTCAGAAAAGTCAGTGTGTCTAGAGGAACTTGAAAATGGGTTGAGAATTTCTGCATCATAACCTCTAATGGTTCATACTGGAAAAAATAAAGTGAAAATTGAACAGCAAGATATATCAGTGTTTACTATAGGCAAGCTCACTATAAGAGAAACTTATGAAGGACATTGCTCAATACATAGACCAATTACTTGTTGAGACATGCAAACTACATAAAGAAACAAACTACCTGTATATACTATAAAATATGTTCAATAGACTTTTTAAATTAATCTTTATAACTAAATACTATCTCTCGTAAATATGTATAATGCCTGATTTATTAGATCCTGAACATTTGAACCGCAATACAGTGAATACACCATTTTTACGAACATAAATTACACTGGCCCAAAATTTCCCAGGGATTTCTAAAAAATTGGCGAAGACATAAATTGTCAAATTTTTGCTTTTGCCTAATTAAATCAGTCGCCAAATTAAGTTGACAAACAGTATATAAAAACAGATATTTCTTGCTTACCATATTAACAGGTATTGTAAGTTTCTGCTTTCTGTTCTGGCCTTGAAGGTGTAGAGATATGACAGATGGATCTAAGCTGTTATTCAATGACGTGTCCTGGTCACCACGTTGAGCAATTCTGTATTCTAAAAGATAAAAGCATGGCTTTAACAGGCAAAATACTGTTCTCTGATTGGCTAATCATACATGGGGGGGGGGTTAGAGGAGTGCAAGCAAATCCTCTGACCCCCTAACCAAATATTGTTTCAAATCGTGCATTTTTCACCATTCTGAACACTTTTCAAGTGATTGTGGCCAACATTTCAAATTTGAACCCCTGGAATTTTTAAAAAAATGAACCCCTCTAAGCAAAAGCTGGCCTGTAGGATCTGTATATTCTGGTATGTACAGTATATTCAAACATCTCTCTAACCTGAACAAAAATCAATGTGAAAGTTTGTTTTCTGACCCAATTTTAATTTTACTCTACATAACAATGTTCAAGAAACATGAATATGAACAAACGTCAATCCAAACACTTTTGGTTGGTCTCATTGGAGTTTGATCAGGCATAGTAATTGACTCGTCACTGTTACTGTAAATACATTGTAAATAAGTTGAACATTTACCTATTATATCTGTAATTTTTAAGTTCAGAGATTTTGGAGAATCGTAACTCTGAACCGTTCTGTCCCCGAGGAAGACAACAACCTCATCCTGAGAGACGCCATTTCTCTCACATATGCACTCGAATACAAGTTGAAAATTCTGCTTCTGCAATCATATATTCAAATATTCGTACATTGTTAGAGTTCCATGCCCATATTACTACCTCAAAAATCCTTCGTTGGTATTTCTAAACAGGAACGATGTTGATAAGGGCGTTTGGTTTTTTCCTGGTCTTGTGGACTATCATAGAAAAAAGTAAGTACAAGAAAAGCATGGAATTTTCAAGCTACAGTTACAATTTTTTAGTCTTAACAAAGCAATTAAACCCATTGTGTAACTCTAACCACAATGATTGAAGATGGATGTTTGTACAAAATCAGGATGAATGTGCACAAAATGTTGGTACCTAATTAGTATTGAATTATTAGTGAATGAGTATTGCAAAAGAATTGCAAAATGGAGGTGCTTTGAGAACAAAAAGGATCTAGTGCACCCGCCATTATGATCTCCCCATGAACAAAATGAATCATTTTTAGGTGTAACATAAAGAATACAATGTCACATAATACTGTGGAAAATATTTAAGCGTTTGGACCCACATGGGCTGAGGTTGAGGTCATTAAGTTCAGCAAGGGTGTATTGACTTGCCATTGGATGTGCTCCATTGACTTAACATGTGGATATCATCAGATTCCAATGGAGGCCATTGGTTTCTATTGATTTTCACAAAAATACCTAAAATACACTATGACCTGAATCGATTGCAAATTAAATAATTTCACAATATGACACAAATGGTATATCACATCAGATGTGCAAATATAAAGTTTGCAATCGATTCAGGTCATACTTCAAATTAAAGGATTAGACATTTTTTTCATCATTTTTTTCCTACAAGATGACTATAGGAAAATGCTTCAAAAGCAACTTTTACACTTATGAAATCCCATACAACTTTGTAAATCCAAAGATTATACTGTTATGTTTCATTAATTAATAACATATTTGGATAAGATGTAGGGATGTGTAGGATGCAAATGGATTTTGACAGACACAAAAACACTTCCTGGTTTGGCATCTCGACCCCTGTACACTTTATGATTGAATATTGGCCCTTATAATGAGTGGCCCATTCATCAATACAGTGCTGAATATAGGTCAAAAAGATACTAGTGTACATATAAATGTAATAATAAAAGCAGTATTTTTATTTTGAAAAATCAGATGAATTATTTTTTTCTCATGGGGAGACCCCAATGGAGGGTATATAAGGTCCTTTGTACCAAGGGTATGAGATATTTCTATGAAATATATTTCATATCCCAACCTCTCAGGTTAATGCTTACATATTTCATGGAATAACGTTCAACTCCTTCCCTGCCTTTAAACTTGACATCCAAGTCTCGTTCATCCGGGTCCTTCATGGGGGACTCAACTGCAATGATATCAGATGATGTGTTCATGTCACCATTAGGACCACAGGATGGATTGGTGTTTCTCAAACTTGTTACTTTATCAATTGCACTGGAAGAAAAGAGTTAAATTATTGAGCTGTAAATGAATGATAAAAACATATTTTCAAATTTTGCATGGAGCCATTAATGGCATTTTTGTGAACCAGTGATCTATCAGCTATAAGAGCAACTGACTGCTGATCTGTGTTGGAAATGTTAAAATTTAGTTCTGCCAATCTGTTGAGATCTGTTGATTAGTTTCAATTGATTATCACACAAATACCAAAATACGCTTATGACCTGAATTGATTGCAAATTAAATAATTTCACAATATGCCACAAATGGTATATCTCATCAAATGTGCAAATATGAAGTTTGCAATCGATCAGGTCATACTTTAAATTAAAATATTGTTTATGCTGTACCCATACCTTATTGCTTTTGTCAGCTTCTTTGGTATATGCTGCCTGGTCTGCAATCCCATGTAGCCTGAGGGGGGTGAGGGGGGTGGTGGGGGTGAGGGGGAGTCTCTTAACTCCTTCTGTCGAGATACACTAAAATAAAAAAAGAAGAACAAAATCAATGCAGTTTTTTTATTTTCTTAATATTTAAATCTGTGGCTCAGTCAATTTGACATTATGAGCCATTTTTACAGACATATATGAATTGACGTAGGGGGTGAGGGGGGTGATGGGGGTGAGGGGGAGTTTCTTAACTCCTTCTGTCGAGATACACTAAAATAAAAAAAGAAGAACAAAATCAATGCAGTTTTTTTATTTTCTTAATATTTAAATCTGTGGCTCAGTCAATTTGACATTATGAGCCATTTTTACAGACATATATGAATTGACGTAGGGGGTGAGGGGGGTGGTGGGGGTGAGGGGGAGTTTCTTAACTCCTTCTGTCGAGATACACTAAAATAAAAAAAGAAGAACAAAATCAATGCAGTTTTTTTATTTTCTTAATATTTAAATCTGTGGCTCAGTCAATTTGACATTATGAGCCATTTTTACAGACATATATGAATTGACGTAGGGGGTGAGGGGGGTGATGGGGGTGAGGGGGAGTTTCTTAACTCCTTCTGTCGAGATACACTAAAATAAAAAAAGAAGAACAAAATCAATGCAGTTTTTTTATTTTCTTAATATTTAAATCTGTGGCTCAGTCAATTTGACATTATGAGCCATTTTTACAGACATATATGAATTGACGTAGGGGGTGAGGGGGGTGATGGGGGTGAGGGGGAGTTTCTTAACTCCTTCTGTCGAGATACACTAAAATAAAAAAAGAAGAACAAAATCAATGCAGTTTTTTTATTTTCTTAATATTTAAATCTGTGGCTCAGTCAATTTGACATTATGAGCCATTTTGACAGACATATATGAATTGACGTACATAGGTGTTACATAGTTGAGAGTGTATGGCCAAGTGAGGCTTGCATAACTAGATGTAGTGACAATAAATAATGAAATACTAGGGCAAGTTTTATTGGCTGTATTTTCAAACAATTACTGTTGTGTTGTCATTTCTGCAGTATTAACTGCAAGGTCAAATATTTGCTACAAAAAAATCATAATCAAAATTGTAAGCAACACAATTAACCTACATCCTAATTATATATTTTCATTTTATATCATCTCAAATATAATATCTCCAAAACATCAGTGGTATGATGTTGATTTGTGAAGTTATTCAAGAAAAAACATTTTGTCGTATCTTTAATGTCAAGATTCCTTATGGCGAACTGTCAACAAGACCATCAGCACATTATGACAACAAGCCTTTTCAATATTCCTGACTCTGCCTTAAATCTTCAAAATATAGAAAAATAAGTACCGTTTTTGCGAGTCATCCTCGTCACTGCTACAGGCTATAACCTCAGACGAGTGTGGTTTCGGAATGATGTTTTTATTGTGTGATGTTCTCCTCTGATTGAGTGGTTTTGCTCTGCTCTGTGGCTTTGAGTAAATATCTTCTTCATAGGTATCTGCAATGTATCAAAACAATGGTCTTCAGAACTATCAATATCTGGTAAAGAATCCCAGAGTGTTTAACTGTATATAAATATACAGAAGAACCTGGCAAGTGGAGCACCTCTGTAAATGGAACACCTCACAAGTGGAACCATGTTTTTAAAATCCCATGACCTATCTTCTCTATGTTAATGAACCTCTGTAAGTAAAAAACCTACCAAGTGGAACACCTTTTTAGTCGTCCCAAGGGTGTTCCACTTACACAGGTTCTCCTTTATATATAAATAATTTCAAAGATAAAATCATTGATATAATGCTGCAATTCACACATAGCTAGGCAAGGTGTGTCCCATTACAGCCAATCAAAACACAGTTGTTCATATAACTGCACTGCATTATACAATGTATAACCAACAATCCATCCAAGTGTTGCACAGTTATCAAGGTGACAACTTGACTCTACAGATTCACCCTATGCTTAGTGAGCGGACCTAATTTCAAGGGTGATGGTAAAGACGATGCATGGCGCCCAAACCTGGCCTGTAACTAGGTGCACTGATGCTTTCTTCGCAAATTACATCGCCATCGCTCGTCATCGAAATTCTGATCGCCGAATAGTAAACATTCATTTTGTATTGGATGTACATAACTAGAGACCGCCTTATTTCGCATATATGAAAAAATAAAACATATCTAGGTACATATATCTTAATATGTGACATCGATCAGGAATTATTGACATATTGACAATATTATGTTGTAATTTCTTGCGGTAAATTAAAATTGTATCTTTAAACGACTGTTTCATCTTAACTATTCGTTTTATTGGATGTAAAACAAACAGTATGCATAGTTTAACATCTTTCACTTCTAAAACAGCATAAAATATCACAATATCATCACCTAATGCTGCAATAATACGACTTAAAAGATTATGGTACTAATATTCTTTGGTTTTTGGGCGCCATGCCTCGTCTTACCATCACCCTTGAAATTAGGTCCGCTCACTAAGCATAGGGTGAGATTGAAATTAATATTTTGCCAACTATGCAACTTGACCCTTGCAAATTTTCATTGAAAATATATTTTAAGGTTAAGTTTTATTTTTTTGCATAATTTTATATAACAATATTTAACATACTAGGAAGGCCGTGGTAAAATTCAATTGTTGGCCTCCCATTGAAAATATATTCTAGTAACTACCATCTAAACATGTATATAATTTATCCTATTCCATGTTAAATCTCAAATGCAGTGAGATGAATTTCAAATCAGTTCTAATTCCCTTCTGTTCTTTGATATTTTTGTATTAATAATTTTATCAACAGTTTACCTTTGTCCTCATCTGCTATTTCTTTGTCAACATTTCCAAGGTTCATTCCAATATCATGAAAGGTCTCTTTGCCTTTGTTCTCATAGATGGGAGTGTCATCATCGAGATCTATAGTGGCAGCAGCCTTGTGTATCCTTCTTCGTGTCTTTCGTGGTTTCTTCACTATGGGAATACTCTCGTCACTATCAGAGTCTGAACTTTTCTGAAAGCAAATCCAAGACACCGATTTATATACTCTTTCCAATTACCCATGTCTTTGGAAAATAAATCTGATCCTCCATTCATATATTAAATAATCAAAGTGAGAAGAGTGATGACATTTTTGAGGGAGTGATGTCATTTTTTGCCCTTGGTTCATGATGTTGGAGATCGAAAAAATCTGACACTGACTGACAACATTTATTTGGAGAAAATTATGCAAATCGAGACAATAATTCACATTCCAAACTATGACCAAGACTAATAAGACTCATTTGATTAGCATTCATGCTTACATTTGCCTCATTCTGACAAGATATAGCCTTTGAACAGGGAGAATCTTCTTCGAGTATTTGTATTTCCGCCATTTTTGCATTTCATGACAAGAAATTACTATTTAATATTTTTATATCATAATTGATCAAAATTATATTATAATCAGCATATTTATTCTTATAAATTTTATTGAAAAAAATTATACATAAATTATACATCTTAGTCTTTCTAAAGTACATAAAAATCACAAACTTCATTTTGTAAAGTTGGCATAGTCTATGTCTTGTCAGTGTTCAGAAAAAAACAAAATCGATCGGGCGTAACTTATTCATGTTTATATTATATTTACAATGTTTTCTCTGTAAGATTAGATATCTGGTTATATAGAGAAGCACTTATTATGTCTGGAGAACTTGGTGATCTGAGCCCAAAGCAGGCAGCGACGCTTCAAGAAGTAAGAAATAATTAATTTCACATATTATCGCCCACGAATTTTGACTTTGGGGTCGATACCACTTACTATATATTTGCACATAGCCATCTTTAGATTGATGGCTATGCAAAACTTGATATTCCCAGTCCTTTATAAAGGTATTTTGTATAAGCCCTGGCTTATGTCTTTCGTCGATTACACTGTCTCCCGACATCAATCTAATGATGCCTATGTGCAAATATAGTAAGATACCACAGTGAACACTACATGTATCGTTCAATAAATCAGTTATTAGATATTTGATAGATGATGCTGACTGTGGTCGAAATTGGAGCCATATTTCTGTTATCAACTGTATATTATCCGTAAAATACCGAGGCTGTCCGTCAAGTCAGTTCAACATCAGTACGCATCACAAAATCACAAAACTATTTTTTTCTTCTTTTCACAACCTTTGTTTAACTAAACAGGACGTTTCTGATCCTGTATGGATCCTTTTTCAACTGTTACATCCAGCCAGGATCTTAAACATCAAGTTTAGTAAAATAAAGGTTGTGAACAGAAGAACAAATAGTTTTGTGATATACATGTATTACATGAACAGGTGAAGTGGCCACTTTTAATATACTTTACCAAAATAACTCAATATAAAAACACCATGACATTCATACATGTACACGTTGCTAATATTAATACTAAATTGAAATCATTTTTGTTATAGCAATCATTAAAGCTTATTGTCTAGCAGAATAAATGCTGATTTTACAATGAAAAACTATTTCTATTTTTAATGTCAAATGAAGGTAATAAATACCAAGCAGATGAATGTAATATAATTAATATTAACGGTTTCTAGTTATTGTATCCTTTGAATAATATTCTGAATTGAATGTTGTTCATTGGATATAAGAATAAATTTTTATTGAATATTCATTGTTGCAATATCAATCTTTTTTTGTTTGTGTTACTAATACTGTAGATTAGGTTAATTTTTCGCTACCATGGGCTTTCATTTAGATGGCGCTACTTAATTAGGCGATTTTGCCATTTTTTGAAATTTATTCTCAACTCATCTCCTTTCCTTCTACTCTTTTTAATAACACCAGGATTTTACTTATAAAAACGTGATTATTGTCCAGAAGTATACAGCGATAAACATTGTACAAAATGTTGAAAGGAACAGGAATGTTTCTAAAGATGCATGCCAATATTACTTATCTCAGAAATGACAGGGCTCTCGCCAGGCTTTTAGACTGTGGCGCAGCACCACACTCTATTTTGCTCCCGCCATACCCTATTGGCAAATCTTGACTGTTTCCACAGTCTAAACTTGACTGAAAATACAATAATAGCATGTAAAAGGATAAAACATACATGTAACATAAATTTGATTTATCACGATTGAACGGTTATTCTGAAGATGTTAGCACCACACTCTAAATATTTCCTGGGGAGAGCCCTGAAAGAATTATATGTCTAAATGCAGTGGAAGTTATTGAAGATATAAATGCATTAGTTCATTCAAATAAGAAAGAGGAAATCTGATTTTTCAAATTTATGCTCGAAAGTGTTGCAGATTGAAGGATTTTCCAAGAATAAAGTCAGATCTGTTGGACTATTTTGAAAAATGTGACAATATTCTCAGATAGTTACTTCTAACAATCATCTTTGTTGCATCTTTAATGAAACTCAAATTCTCTAAGATATGTCATTTCTGCTTATAATATTCAGCGACTTTTGTATTTTCAGTTTAAAGAAGAACTCTGTGATGTCATAAAGCCCCATCACGATGACCATTATTTACTCAGGTGGCTCAGAGGTAGGGATATAAGGAATATTTCTTTGGACTGAGTAATACTTTTGGAATATATAGAAAGCCTTAATTGAATCACTTACTTTCTTGCCCATTTGCCCATTTAATCACTTTCAATTTGCCAAATTGCAATAACTGTCATGTATTTCTATAGTGCAAAATGTTACTCTGTTAATTGTCATGTTTTAATTCAGGAAAGTCCCTAGTTGATTTTTATTCAACCAAACAATTTTAAAATAAATGTTTATTTCTTTATTGTTTGTTTGTTCGTTGGCTTGTTTATTTTAATGATGTTTTTTCCATTTCAGCTAGAGATTTTGACTTGAAGAAATCAGCAGATATGTTGCGAAGTGTAAGAAAGTTATATTTTAATCAATTCTATAACAAATATCCTAAAATTGATTCAAACATTACCTCAAACTGACCTCTTCACTCAAACTAACCTCACTTGTCAAATTTGACTATTCACTCAAACTTAACTCATCACTCAAACTATTCTTCTCTATCTAACTGGTACCATCTAACTTTATCCCTAAAAATTAACCTCACCACTCAAATTAACCTCACCACTCTAACCTCACCACTTAAACTAACCTCTTCACTCAAACTGACCTCACCGCTTAAATTTATCTCTTCACTCAAACTAACCTCACCACTCTAACCTCACATCTTTACTCAAACTGATTTCACTATTCAAAAATCGCAATTCTCAAACTCTATCTTACAGAACTTGAAGTGGAGAGAAGAACTGGGTGTTGACAGAATATTTGAAGACTTCAACCCTCCTGAGGTGTGTAGAATATATTATACAGGCGGTGTAATGGGGGCTGATAAGGAGGGCTGCCCAATATGGTGGGACCCCTATGGTTGCATCGATTTAAAAGGTAAGATTAGCTTACTAGATCCACTCACTCATTCACTCACTCATTCATTCACTCATTCAATAGCTGTAAACTGTACACTTACTTAGAATACACTTGCCTTTTACCATAACTGTTTACATCAAGTTTCCACTTTATTCTAAAATACTATTCAAGTTGAAGTTGAATTTCAAGATCAATTTGATACATTTCAACCACTATTGGTGATCTCTCATGATTGGCATTATATTAAGGATGGCCATTTTTTCATATTTCAAAAGCATGTGCAAAAATTCTCACTTTCCAGGTATCTGCTACTCCAGTAAGAAGAGTGACATTATTAAATACAAAGTCAGATGTGTTGAACAATGCTACAGAAAGATGGCAGAGCAGTCACAAAAGGTTGGTGCTGTTCTCTATTGAATACATATAGAGGCATTTCTTTAGAGAGGTAAAGTAACATATGTATTTGAGAACAGGATCGGGAATGTGTAATTTTATGATCCCCAGGAATTATCGTCCTCTTCTTTTCCATGAGTTCATACAGGACCTAATAAACACTTATTTTCCTTATTACACTTTCACTATTGCAAATAAAGGTCAGGGAACCATGATTTTATATGTTCACATTCTTCAAAATTATACTTATTTAGTCTCCCTATTAACATTCCTTACAGCCTAGCAATTTTTACCAACCCTTATCTTCTCTAACGTAGGCTATTGTAGCTCAGGAGTTGAACATTAGATTAGGAACTTAGAGGGCTCGGGTTCAAATCGTACATGGGGCATCCATTTTTGCACAGTTAATTAACTGGTGAAATCTTTCTCAGGGATGCCCTTTGGTCTGCTGCACTGTCTGCTGAAGTCAATACATGTAATATCCTTATTGACTAAATCGCTTTTTGAATCAATAAAAGTGACATCTCTCCTCATTTCTCAAAATGCCATATTTTACTAGGTCTTCGTCTACAATCTCATATTTCAGCAAGGTATTATTTGCATGTAGACTTTAGACCATTCTCTGCAATCACATATTTCAGCAAGGTATTATTTGCATGTAGACTTTAGATTCTTCTCTGCAATCTCATATTTCAGCAAGGTATTATTTGCATGTAGACTTTAGACCCTTCTCTGCAATCTCATATTTCAGCAAGGTATTATTTGCATGTAGACTTTAGACCCTTCTCTGCAATCTCATATTTCAGCAAGGTATTATTTGCATGTAGACTTTAGACCCTTCTCTGCAATCTCATATTTCAGCAAGGTATCATTTGCAAGTAGACTTTAGACACTTCTCTGCAATCTCATATTTTCATATTTCAGCAAGGTACTATTTGCATGTAGACTTTAGACCCTTCTCTGCAATCTCATATTTCAGCAAGGTATTATTTGCATATAGACTTTAGAACCTTCTCTGCAATCTCATATTTCAGCAAGGTATTGTTTGCATGTAGACTTTAGACCCTTCTCTGCAATCTCATATTTCAGCAAGGTATTATTTGCATATAGACTTTAGAACCTTCTCTGCAATCTCATATTTCAGCAAGGTATTGTTTGCATATAGACTTTAGACCCTTCTCTGCAATCTCATATTTCAGCAAGGTATTATTTGCATGTAGACTTTAGACCCTTCTCCGCAATCTCATATTTCAGCACTTGATTAGTTGCTTGTAGACTACAGGTTCTCGTCACTTCTCCACAATCTTATTTTTCAGCTTGGTAAAAAGATAGATAAACTACTAATAGTGTTTGATTTGGAGAAGCTTGGAATACAACATCTTTGGAGACCAGGTCAGTATGTTTTGTTTTTTTTGTTGTGTGATGAAATGATGTCATTCAACAATATCAGGTTAAATACCAACATGAGCAAATTTGAAATTAAGTATAATGATAGAAATATTTGTATTTTTACTTTCCCAAGGACAATTATTAGGTAGAATGTTAGCATAAATGTGTAAATATAATATTTGACATAATTACTGCATTCTTGAGAATATATGCATACATGTACTCTATATGTGTAGCATTTGCATGTAAATCTTTGTATATCATTTTACTGGCCTTGTTTTCTAAATGTTTTAGTTAAATTGTTAGAGCATGCAACAGTTTGGTATTAATGCTTACATGTTGGCTCTGTAATTGTGTTTGTTGATGGTGGTGTTTTTTGCCTTAGTATTTTGTGTTACCCTTATTCAAGTCATTTTTTTTATTTGATATCACATTTTGTTCTGTAATTGTGTTCTGTAATTGTGTTTGTTGATGGTTGTGTTTTGCCTTAGCATTTTGTATTACCCTTATTCAAGTCATTTTTTATTTGATATCACATTTTTGCTTACATATTTCTGTATCTTCATGTAAAATAGCAAGTCCAAACATTGCTGAAATACACCAGAAACAAACATTTTGTTGATTGTAAAATTGAACAAAATTTTGAAACATCTATTTGGTTTGATTAGGGAAATAGTCAATGAATGCTTCTGACCAATCAGAGCATAGAAGATGTTGATGATGTAACGATGTAAGTCATAATTGTTCAATGAAAGAGAGAATAATATTTACATGAAGATCCTTGTCAGAGTACAATGGCACAATTGTACCATGGCACAATTATGGTAGATTATTCCACCCCCCCCCCTTATTTGACCCATTGTTTTTGCATGCATTTCAGGTCTAGAAATTTTCAATGGCGTGTTGGAGATATTTGAATCTCGTTATCCCGAAACTACCAAGAATATTATTCTTTTTAATGGTAAGATGTAATGATGAAGGGAGTGAACCTCCAACTTGTGAATCTGCTATGGAGAATGGTTGCATTATGTCTCAGTCACATTTGATCTACGGCAACCATACGACGGCTGTAGCTTCCCAAAATCAAGAGAAATAGGAAGCACAGAATATGGGGATTAGCAGTATGATGTCGATTTTCTATATCGATTTTGAGAAGCTGCAGCTGCAGTACAGTCACCATAGAGCAAATGTGACTGATGCTTTAGATGTGTTTCATCTCTGCTTTTTCTTTATTCTAGTCTGCAATCTGAATCTCAATCTGGATTTAATTTGCACTTTTTAGGTAGATAACTGCACAAGCCTTGTTTGTTGTTTTCACTTATCCTCTCAGGCTCGTAGCCAGGATTTGCCAAGGGGGTTCACTTTTTAAAAAAATCCAGGGGGTTCACTTTCGACAACTTTGGCCAAAATCACTTGAAAAGTGCTCAGAATGGTGAAAAACTGCATGATTTCAAAGGAATTTCCGGCCAGGGGGCTTGAACCCTTGACCCCCCTCTCCTGGCTACGGGCCTGCCTTTCTCATGTCTTTAATACATATGCTAACTTTGCAGAAGTGTTTTCTTTGTCTTCATCTCTACTGATATTTCCAGGTATAGAACTTGCTCAAGCCTTGTTTGTTATCTTGGAAGATTTTTATCCAGAAACTCTTAAATACTGCTTGATATGTAATGGTAAGTTACTTACATCTTACATCTGTCCTTGGGGTGAAGGTTTAATCCTGTTTGACCCCCATCTTTTAAATTGTGCAGGATTAAGTTCTTTAGAATCTACAGTAACTGTATATGGACGATATAATGATAAAGTTTGTGTGCTATGTCCTTTAGAAATTGTGAGACTAATTGAGTGCAAAACAATAATTTCTCCTAAATCATAATCACTGGCAAATCTTTGGGGGGGGGGGGGGGCAGAAAAAATGCTGGGCCAAAAAAGGCCTAAAGGCTATTACTGGATTCTATTTTTAAGTTTAGGCCAGATTTTGATAAAAATGGGTCTGAGTATTATATAATATTGCATACTTTATTAGAAACATTTTATTTAAGTTTTTGATATCTACGAAACACTTTTTTTAAATAAAACTTAATTTAAAGGGCCATTTTATTGGGGCACCAACAAAATATTGTGATCAAAATTTGTCTTCCTGTATTGAACTAATATAATTCTGATTTTTGAATTTGAATCACTATTAGATGAAAAAAATTAAAGAGACATTGCATATGCATAAACAGTCATACTCCTTCATCACAATTTCTCATAATAACCTTATATTACTAATAAATCTTTCAAAAGCAATCATTAAGCTTATAAAATGTCTTGGAAAAGTACACGTGAAAGCAACTAATGGCTATCGGCAGTTACCTGATTAACCTACAATTTTATGGGCAACTCGATATGAATAGTGTCTGCCTCTGATTTCCATTCATATTTTATTTTATATATTTATTTATGAAAATGGGAGCTACTGTATAATAATCATGTTGAGATATGCACACTTATCGTATGCCAAGTAGAGTTTTATAGGGAGATAAGTTGGTAAGATATATCCCGTATCCTGATTTTGAGGTTTCCATATCCAGAACCTCCATATCTCCCGCCATATCTCCCGCTTCGGTGCATATCTTCCCGCTTCCGGTAAGTAGTGGAAATGCAATAAAATGGCTTTGCACATGAATGATTTGTTTATTTTTACACCTTGTACTATTGAAATGGCCATATGCCCCTGAAAACTCTACTTGGTATAGGATAAAGCAGTTATGTACGGTCGGTTCGGATATTGGGTTCATCCCTTGTGAGCTATGCACATCTTCCTTTGGTCCCTACGGTCCCTCAGGTAGATATGCATATCTCCCTCTGGATAAACCCCATATCCAAAACCTCCCAGTACATAGCCCTTATTTATTCTAAATAACAGTATAAACAACATCTCCCTTCCTACACTGATACTGTAGTTTGAAAACATTAAGATATCTTTGAACATCATTTATTTCCATATTATGTACTTTTTTACAATTTTTATGCTTAAACCTGGGTGGTATAATACAGGGTGATCATTAAGTTCTGGGAATTGGTCTGCCATTTCAAGATTTCTCAACCATTTGAGTTGAAATTGTCAGCAGGTGTACATTGTATAATTCTAAATTGACAGACAATTTTTCATATACATATCACTTCTACAATTTGTTTATTGTAATTACAAAAAAGGTAAAAGTGGTTCGCGGGTCAGCAAATTTTGACTGATGTTAATTTGAAAATTTCCTGCCAAAACATATTCATCTTGCCTAGATGGTTGCTTGAAACTACTGGTACTAGAGGCAGAACAGTACTCTTGAAGTCATTTATTCAGAAGTATTCTTCATTGCTGAGAGGATCATTTCATTTATGATTGTTTCCATTAGCCTAGACGCACATGCGTTGTTGACAAACTTAGTCCATAAAGATGTGTTTTCCAGTCCTCCCTTTGGTATCCCTTGAAGATTTGCTCAAGCCGTTGAAATCAACTCCTTATCAGAATCAAACTTATGACCTCTCATATAATGCTTTAGCACCCAAAATGTAGTGAAGCCTAATGGTGCTTCATCTGGTGAATATTGTCTGGTGAATATGGTTCAGTAATAACTTGTGTGAAACCTAATTCTTCAAGAGTAGTATGGGCAGCTTGAGTAATGGGAAGGAGCATAGTCATAATGGAAGATAACTCCCCGCTATTTTTAGTCATGATTGTGACTTTGAGATGCTGATGAATGATACGAAAATAAAGCAAAGTACACTCTTATATAACAAGACAGATGTTACTTTAGAAACTAAAGTTAGAAGTATTTGAAAATATAAAAAAAATCACAGAAATATGTCCACCAAATAAGTATTTATTAACCATACTTTTGGATTAGGCAAAATTTGTATTCATTTTTATTTTACTTGACCCGCTACGCCATTTGTCATGTTGCTATAGTAACAATAATTATCCATTGTGACATCAGATGACAATGAGACTGTTTTATCCAACCCAAAATTACATTCCCCATTTACATTGAAAATTTCAAGTAAATTGGTTGAAAAATAATGAAATGACAGATAAATTCCCAGAACTTAGTGATCACCCTGTATGTATCAAAAAAATTAACATAACATGTGAAATAAATGAGAAAAAATCTTATGTTTCAGCTCCTAGAATATTCCCGGTGATATATAACTTAGTGAAACCATTCCTCAGTGAGAATTCCCGCAAGAGAATCCGCATTCTTGGTAGTAACTACCAGGAAGAACTACAGAAACTTATTGACAAATCGGAGATTCCGCAATGTTGGGGCGGCACCAAGGTCGGCCCTGAGGGTGATCCAAGATGCAGTCATGAGGTATGTTATTTAGAATGAGTAATCTAAGCCCATTTAAAGGCTGGTCTAACTCATTTACAAGTAAGGTAAAGGAGGATTGAACCATAGATATGATAAAATTATTGAAAAAAATATCTGATTGTACATGGTTTAAAACCTCTCTATTCTAAATATATGCAAGAAGGTTCATTCAAACTCGGCACGGATGTCAGTGAACACACTTCTGATTCTATAATAGATTTAAATGTTGATTTTATCTAACAGTAAATATGTGATTTATTTGCCCAATATCAGAATACTATAAGTTATTGAATGATTTGAAGTGCAATAATATATTCTGTACATTTCAATGTCAGGATTTGGCTTTCAGTGTAGGCATCTGTAATATATTGTTGGAACATTTTGTCAAATTTATGCTTTGTTTCTATTTTAAATACTTAGATACTATGGGGTGGCAAAGTCCCAGAATCATACTACTCTCAAGTCAATGTCAATACTACAATGGAGAATATGACCAAGGTGCAAATAGGAAGAGGATCAACTTGCAGTATTGAAATAAAAGTCACAGCACCAAAAACAATATTAAGGTAAATGATTTTTTAAGTAATTTTAGATCATTTTTATGTGTGGTACATCATATGTGTAATGCAGTTTTATTGTATTACATTTCAGCATGCATAATGTTTAATTGTTAAGCAATAAGACAGAACATTCCCACATTGTATAATTCTCATCTTTATTTAATTTGGTGAGTATGAAATAGGAAACATGAGTTTGAATAACAAATGTTGTGAACTACCGGTATATTGTTGGGCATGTGGATACTCACCACACGAATCTTGTTATCAAAGTTCCAGGAAACCCCCTGATCCATTCAGCTTTTTACTAATTCAAGAGCAACTAGTACCAAGATCTGATTAGGTTTTGGGCATGCTGGGTAAATAACACGGTAGCCATTTTTCTCGTAAAAGCACGATATTTATCGCTGTGTGTCTTGTAGGTGGTGTTTCCAAACAGAAGGAAATGACATAGGATTTGGTGTATTCTACAAGACAGACCCGGACCAGCGTAAAGTGTCTCAAATGCAAACAGTGCTGACATCTACACGTGTTAACTGTCACATGGTTCCTGAGGACGGCAATGTTGAATGTACCCAGACTGGCATTTGTAAGTTGGTTTTCCTAAATGTCATATTCATGCTGGTTACTTTTTCAGTTTTAGAATATGGTTGAGCAGTTGTGTTAAACACATTGAATGTTTTTGATGTTTTAATATACTTTATTAGTGGTAATTTTGCCTAATCATTTAATTTGCCTATTTCCTAATTTTTGCCAGGTTCGGAAAATTAAATGTCGGAAATATTGTCTTTATAATGTTATCCAATGGGAGGTTTCTTGTCATTAGGAAAATTAAAATTAGGAAAATGATGAAATTTGACCATTCGGAAAATTAACCACTCAGATTAAATACCACTTATACAGTATTTAAGAGAACTTCTACTCAAATTTGTAATATTTAAACGCTAGGGATATCTGTCCTCTCACAATTGGTTTTTCCAATAAGCTAAATTTAAGTATCCAATCAGGTGAGAGGATACTACAAAAGAGAGAACTAATCCTTACAAGGCCATAATTCTACTTGTACACAAGACCTCTTAAAAATGTAAGCCTAACCTCCCTAATGTATTGGATCAATTTCAGATGTGTTCAGATTTGACAACAGCTACAGCTATCTAAAGAGCAAGAAAGTTCACTACAGCCTTGAGTTGATTCCTCCAGAGACTTTATCTGACTGCTCAGACCTAAGCTTCCAATCAGCAGAGGATATTGCTGCTCTGGTTTCTTAGTTTTACTCAGAAAGTACCATCAATATTATACCAACAAACACTCAGAGGCTAGCAAGCATCTTCAATTATTTAAACCAAGTACACAGGGCCCAACAAGCATTTTGGATTATTTAGACAAAGTAACACAGGGACCAACAAGCATTTTGGATTATTTAGACAAAGGTACACAGGGCTACCAAGCATTTTGGATTATTTAGACAAAGGTACACAGGGACCAACAAGCATTTTGGATTATTTAGACAAAGGTACACAGAGACCAACAAGCATTTTGGATTATTTAAACCAAGTACACAGAGACCAACAAGCATTTTTTTTTGATTATTTAAACCAAGTTCACAGAGACCAACAAGCATTTTGGATTATTTAAACCAAGCACCAAGATAACCCCGAGCATCTTGAATTATTTAAACCAAACACCAAGATAACCCCAAGCATCTTGGATTAATTAAACCAAACACCAAGATAACCCCAAGGCCCAAGCATCTTGAATTATTTAAACCAAACACCAAGATAACCCCATGGACAACAATCATTTTTGATTATTTGAATCAAATACACAAAGACCACCAAGCACCTTGGATTTTCAAACTAAGCACCAAAGGAAGAAACTTTTTTACCCAAAGAACACAAAGCATTTTGGTTAAACTATACCAATCATCTTGGATATTTTGATTAAGCATCCGGGGATTACCAATGATCTTGAATTATTAAATGCTTTACTCAAAGTACCACCTCTGATATTGTGATATATATTACAAATCATATCAATTTTATAAATGAAATTTGACACACAATACTACAGGATGCTATACAATCAATCAAATGCTTACAATACAAAACAATACAGTAACAATACAATTAGTTTAATACAACACACTAGATAATCGATACAATGCAATACAGTATAATACTACACAATATAGTTCAATACAATACAATATATTACAGTACAACTCAATTTAATACAATACAATATATAGTATATAGTATTTCACTATTTAATTCAATACAATACATGATTACAATTTAGACAGGATGATAAGTTATTGAATGATTTGAGTTAAATACAAAGAATATTGTGCCATTGAGTATATGTAGTTGATGAGTGAAATACATTATTTTGGAAGTTCATGAGTTTTCTGTATTTTACTAGAATTCTTTGAAGTTGTGTATATATATGATGTTTTAGATTATCAGATTGAAAATTATGTTTAAATGACAAAGCTATGAATGAAATGAAATGGTGACATCATGATGTCATAGTGAATTAGAGTAAATGTATGCCATAGATTATTCAGGGAGAATCATGTGCAAATTGTATATTAAACCATTTACATTTTTATGTCACCGCCAAAAAGTGGTGACATATTGTTATGGTTTCCGTTTTTTGTGACAGCAGTCAGTGATCGGTGGTTGGCATAGTGGATGGCGTCTGTAACAAATGGTGGTGACATTTTGCATGTTAATGCCTTGTATATAATTGTTTTCTTTCATCATATGATATGTTTTATGTGTGATTCAATGGCACAGATACTCGAGAAACAGGACCCATTATCAGATGTTACATATCATATTTTTTGTGTATTTTTTCAATATAATTATGTTACCACCAGATTGGTACTCAACATTTTGCATGCTTATGCCTTGTACTTATATTGATACTAAAAGTATTTATACACACTGACAGTAATACTCAAGAAACAGGACCCTTTATTATGTTACATATCATATATTTTGTTTGGGTAATTTCTCCAATATTATCAATATAATAATACTCTAGAGACTATTCGCTATTATAAACCTTTTGTGCACAACTACATGTACATCATGTGTGCAATCATATGTACATGTGTACAATTATATGTACATTTGTACAATTATATGTGTACGATGTACAATTATATGTACAGTGTGCACAATTATATGTTCAAGTGTACAATTATATGTACAATGTGCACAATATATGTAAACTTTATCTGATATGCATAATACATAAGCAGCCAATTTAATGCTTTGAGTATGGGTGGATTGTAAAAGTGACCTCACCTTAACCAACCAATGTGTTGTTACTTCTTAATGTAAATTGTAAGTGTACATGTACAGTATATGTACATACTGTAGCATTTGCTTCAAAACATTACCGATAAGGCTACAAATTGACAAGTGAAGGGGCAGGGGTTTGAAATCAAACAAAGCCCATTTTTCTTCTACAGGCCCATTTTTCTCCTATTAAAAGCCCATTTTTCCGAAATGAAACTTCTTTGTTATCATGAGACCCCTTATTTCATCTCTATCAGCGTAATCATGAAACATTCTGACTAATCTGACATGTATTTGGGAGTTAATTGATATCTCATTAATATTGAATAGTGTAACAATAATGTTACACATATCAACTATATACTGTATAAGTGGTAATATTGCCTAATCATTTAATTTGCCTATTTCCTAATTTTTGCCAGGTTCGGAAAATTAAATGTCGGAAATATTGTCTTTATAATGTTATCCAATGGGAGGTTTCTTGTCATTAGGAAAATTAAAATTAGGAAAATGATGGAATTTGACTATTCGAAAATTAACCACTCGGATTAAATACCACTAATACAGTATTGTGCAGCTAATATAATACAATTGTTTAAAGTGTATTCTTTACCTAGTTTATTCTATATTTTTTACATATATTTTAGTGTTACCACATATATAAACGGTGCATACTATTATAGCCACTGTTTTTGTGACCAAGTTGATCAGTGTCAGCATCTGTAACACTTGTTACACTTTTGTAAGTAACCGACTGGTTACATTTTGTCACATGTTAACGCGTCATTTATTCATTAGAAGCAGTATTGTTTAAGAAGTAACTTGCCTTTATATTAATGTTCAATATTATTGTTTAATAAAATTTAGTCAACTGAAATTGTTATCCAACATGTTTAATTTATATATCAAGATTGACATATTGTCAATAATTAGATATCAAAATAATTAGATATACAGGGTGTCCCGAAAGTATGGGCCCCCCCCCCATAGGCAGACATATTCCAGTGTCCTCATAGTATGTGTCATATATCATTTTAAAGCTTATCAAAAGTTACATTGATTTGCTAAGTATCATGGTTTAACTTCTGAATGGGAAAAAATTACAGGCATTTGAAAATTTAGTGTTTGGTCAAAATTAAGTTCAATTTTACACCAAATCACTAGTCAATGTGTCCTCCTGGGCCATCTTAACAGCAGCAATTATTTTCGGGTCGGAGGGATATTGAGTTGGAAAAAGAGAACGGTGAGGGTAGAAACTCTAAGGAAACTCTTCTAAAGTCCCTTAACAGGTTTTAAGAGGGTTATAAGATCCCACATCCCTATTTGAAGGGCTTTTAAGGTCATATCTGAAAATAATTGCTGCTGTTAACATGGCCAAGGGGGGACACATTGACTAGTAATGTGGTGTAAAATTGAACTTTATTTTGACAAAACACTAACTTTTAAAATGACTGTAACTTTTTCCCATTCGGGAGTTAAACCATGATACTTGGCAAATCAATGTAACTTTGGATAAGCTTTAAAATGATATATGACACATACTGTGAGGACGCTGGAATATGTCTGCCTAGGGGGGGCCCCATACTTTCGGGACACCCTGTATATTAGAAATGTTGATAGAAATACATATATAGTAAACCTGTCTAAGTGGAACACCATTGGTACCTCTAAAAAGTGTTCCACTTGGGAAGTGTTCCGCTTAGTAGAGGTTCATTTATCGTTAAGTTGGTCTTGGGACTCTGCAAGTGTTCCACTAACAGGGGTGTTCTACTTTTAGAAGTGTTTCACTTCACAGGTGTCACTGTATGGTATTGTGTTATTACGTACTTGTTGCCATAAAATAGTAAAAATAGATTATTGTTTATGATCAAAAATAGCATTTTATGTTGTAGCCATTCAGTGAATATTACTTAATATATTATATGTAGGAGTATTATATAAACTTGTTAAAATGTTTAAAATAAAGATTGTGTAAAATCCAAAATTCCTTTTTTGTAGACAATTTCATTAATGAAGATGCGCAGATACTATTGAAAGTTACTAAAAATCCTTTGTGATTTAACCAGATGAGTTACAGTTGTATATGATGTATTAAGGTTTGGTTTCTTGGAACACATTACTGTGGCCATTTGTCTCATTGAATAATAAGATAATTTAGTCCCTTGAACATCAGATGAAATTAACACTTTTTTGGTCCAGTTCAGCGCATGTAGCGTAAGATGATGGGATGTAACGAGATAGATTGAGAGTGAAATTTGAAAAATATCACAATTTTACTTTAGACGATTTGCACTGTTCATTCTATCTGTGTCTTTTTTCTAACAGTGCTTGAATTTTAAGGTCATTTTGTAAAGAATTGAAAAAAACCTTCTTCGATTCTAATAAAGTTTGAACATTAAGGTAGAAGTAAAATTGGGGTTCTGAGATCGCTTCAAACACATTTCACTCTGTAGTCTTTACTGTTCCTTTCATATTAATCAGATGCAGAGGATCGATCCCTTTTAGGTCCATTTAACCTGTTTGTTGTAAACATGCTCTGTTCAATATTAAGTGCATTATTACATTTGTCAATACTCATCGTTCTGGTATTTTCAAAATTAAAAAGTTCAAAAGGAACTCTTTTCTCTAAATTGATAGACTTACTTTAAATAAGACGTTTCAAACCACAAATATTGAGTGAATTAATCTATGGTGAAAATACATGGATGTGGCCTAAAACGTCTAAATAAAATACCTAAATATGTGCTCAGAAGGTAAATACTTCTCTAAAAGAAGACAGGTTGACCTTGTGTGACTATCCTTGATGTTAATGCGTTCAATTTTAACCAATTTTTTTTTACACGAATAGGTCTTGACATTTTTAGCCTCTGTAAGGTGAACGCCAGTCAGGTGTGACAATACTTAAATAAATTGAAGGAAGTAAAATCAAAACGTAAAACACAACATTAAAACATTACTGGATATTTGCAAAAATGCTAGAAAGGCTTTAGAATTGGGGAAAACATTCAAAGATGTTGAAACACAAGCAGGTATGTAAATAAGAATTTAAATTCAATACATTTGGTTGGAATATTGTACACAGATCTGAATTCAAAACTGTATTTTGAATGTGTTCCATTATACACTTTATTAACATGTTTACACGCATGTTTGCAGGTAATAAAATGTATTTGAATGTATAGTTAATACTTGTATGTCTAATTCTAAGTCATTCATAAATTAGCAGGTGTTCGCAGAATAAAAAATTGTAACAGAGAAACAGTGTTCATATTGAGGGGTGTTCAAAAATAGAAGAGATCAGAAGTACCGTGTTTTTACTCTAAAATTTAGGTTTATAAGCACACAGTCATACATCTTGTCATATTGATCCATCATGTACATACATGTATGACTTAAAGAATACAGTTGTTTAACAGTATGACTTCTTGTCTCTATTCCATTTTTAAATAGATGATACAAAAGTTACTTGTTTAACTGTGGGCGAGTAAGTCACCCCTCCCTAATTATATTCTTTATTTGTTAAATAGTCTATATAATAGTACATAGAAAAAGGGGGAGTGACTCCTTGCACTCTAATAAAGGTGTGCCTCTGATTACCATTGATTTGCTTATATGATGAATATATATGCACTGTATAAGGTAGTTCTCCGCGACTTATCATGGTACTTGAATCAAGGATGTAATGAGCCACTTGCACAGGGGGTTATTATGTCACCCCGACAAGTGGTGTATTGCATAGTCTCCAACTTTTTGTGTACGGGGTTCGGCGGGCAGCGGTTGGCCTGTGTTCGGTGTTCGGCGTCTGTTACAAATGGCAGGTGGTGAAATTTTGCGTGTTAATGCCTTGTAATGCACATGTTGAATTTACAACAGAATCGTGATCATCACGTGTTGAACAACCTTCATTTATGGGTTCATTCTTTGTATATGTCATGCGTAATATTTTAAAATACTTATTTTATTAAGGTAGATACATATGGTAAGCACTTTCACGTAACTTTCATGAATGCTTTTACCAGTTGTTAATGAAATCGTTAATATTTTTCAATATGGGGATATTTACACAGTTCAAAAACGTGACTCAGTACGTAGTTCAAAATCAAAATATTTCGCTTTAACTTACAGACAACTAAATTCAAATGATTTGTTCATAGAGTGTTTAACTACCTTAACTGAATCGACCATATTGTCTGGATGTAAAGTGCTGCCAAATTTTGCAATTAATCTGCTTATAAAATAATTTCACAATACATTTTATAAGCATACTGATTCCAGGCTATTTGGGGACAACTCTATTCAAGGAAGTTATCCATATAAAACAAATGGCATCAATATTTTTGGCACCATTTCACTTTTTATGAGCCTTTACAAAAGCTGGAATTTCTAGTGGGTCGTTTTATATCTTTTAAACGCTTATGTGACACCGTTTTACTGCTAATTGGAAAAGTAAACGATTAAAAAATCGCATATCGCACTAAATATACTTCATTGAAGTGGCCGATATTGCTTTTAGACTTTCAAATCGCAAACCCCATGGGGCTTTAATTATCTAAGAACCCTTTTAAGAACCATATGTTCTTATTTACAAATCCCAGATTTATAATAAACCTTTAAAATGTTACTACAGCCCAAAGTCAATAAGCATTCGATTCATAATTGATATAAACTTATACTCCATTATTCCTATTTATGTACGAGCCATTTAAACATGCCATTCTTTGCGATATACAAGGATATTTTTGAATAAGGTTACTATATATGTATTTATGCCTAGTCTAGGAAGTAGATAAAGCTCTCTTTTAAAGAGAAAAATCAAACGATAAAGGGAAAATAAAGTCAAAATAAATAATTCGACAAAAACTCTCAGGATTCTCGACATATTCATGGCTCGGTAGTTTTTAAAAATTAATTTCATAAAATAAGGGCATGTTATTTGATAATACTACACGAATGGAATAAAATGTGAAACTAGAAATATGGAAAAACATTGAGATATTTGAAGTGTACATTAGAGAAAATGATTATTTACGTGATTGAAAAGTAGGTACAGTTGGGTAAATACTTACAAACATGCCAAAGAAAAACAAGGTAAGAGATCATACCAGTTTTGTTTGTTTGTTTGTTTGTTTGTTTGGGTTCTGTACGATAAAGCCATTTTACGTCTTGCAAAAAATTAAACCTGTACATCACTCAAATGCAATTTTGGGTTGTTCCAGGGTCAACTGTAAGATTTTGAGCTATAATGTAAGAATGGCTGTGCTTTGATATAACGCAGGAAAAACAGCTTATAACCATGCAAATATTTAATATGGGCTCTCAGTACATATATGAATATGCACGGGGATAAAACGCCAAAACCTGTAATCATTTCTTGAATATAGATGCTTTCGATATTTACAGAATAGTCATAATACAAGGAATGGTAGGAGACGACTAGGGGCTGAGGGGCTAGCTTTGGTTTCTCAAATGTTCTATAGTTGTTTTCCATCGTTAAATTTTAATCCATTCAGAATACTCTAATGTAATTAATAGGGAATATGAGATTAGTGCAAAAATATACGTATACAGCACATTCTTATCTCTATTCGTATTGTTTTATGGCTTTGTAAAATGAGTTCAAGATTGAGGTTAAAGTTATCTAACGTATGCAACATTTTATTATAAAAATGACATCTTAGTAGCTATGATTGAGATTAAAAAGTGATGGCTAGTATGGCATTTATATTCCTCCGCCAAGCACTGTTATAAAGACAGGGCAAAATATGTTACCATGGCAACGAATTATGTGCCCGTAATGGGATGGAGGGGGTGTTGCTAATATGGCAGTGACTTGATACGGATTGTTTTTCTAGAATGATCCAGAAATGAGAGTGACAAGATAGTGAAATCAAACAATATTATACATATATATATAATAAGCAAATTGATGAAGAATGTGCAAATTCAACTTTATGCACTTCGTGGCATCATTTATCGCATCAATGGTTGTGTTCGACCACTTAATTTCTATAAAGATCGAATGAGAAATGGTTGTTGTCACAATTATGAAGTTTAATGAATGAACGTTTTCGATTCACATATCTTCGGCCATTTACGTAATTAATTACGTATCGCAAACATCGGGCAATTATTTGAAAACACGGAACAGTGAATTAATAACCAATGTCTCATGTTAAATACCTTTACTAGAAAATATTGATAAGACTAAATATTTTCACTTTTCACAATAGAATCTTGCACGCATGGTACAATGTCGTAATAACGCAGGTCCACATAGATAAGTATATATTTGTGTTCAAAGTCCGTCACTAGGTTTCATGGTTTTCATTATTTGTTCATTTCTTCAAGGACTCTCTAAGTTTATACTATTGCCATTAAATAGTGCCGAGTATATCAATTTTAAGTCCAGATAAATGTGACAGGCGACATAGACAGTCGGCTACATAGGCATCAAAATTCGGCTCAGTTTGAGAGTTTAATTAAGGGGAATCCCCACACGGAAGCATCTGGACATTGAAAGGTCAAAAGGTCAACTCTAGAATCGTCGGGAATAACTCCAAGGACCTACCTAGGTCGGAGGGCACTCTGATGCTCATTGCATCTTTCCGTTACACTAGAAATCTGAATGAGATGTCATAGGGTATCATATTGGCGAAATGTGAAGAATTCCATTGTTCAAAATCGTATCCATGGAAACGTAAAGGAACGTAACCATGGTGTTATAATTGGCATCTATTTGATTATATTTGACATGCCACTTTTAATCACTGTGTAGAAGACTGTATCCACAACCTGCAAAGGTATTTTGAATATTTGTGATATCCTTGACTTTCAATCTTAATATTATTGCCTCGGATAAGATTGATTTATGTACAATGGCAAATTTTATCAACATGGCCTTCATAATAGTTTAATAACACGGATTATTTTTGGACAAGTCACTAATGACATTGCACAAAATATGAAAAATAACGTCTTGTAACGAAACATGACAATTAATAACTAGAGGCGTGAAATAGATTAGACTATCAATTTTTTTAAATTGATAAATACACAAGTTGACCATATTCGAATTGGAGAAATGGCAAATATAACTAAGGATAATTAATCATGTAATGTTTCCCTTAATATTCAAACAAATACAATACTAGATTAAAGAAAACATTTAAGGATACATTATACAACAACTGCATTGTTAAAATTTGGCATGGATGACAATGGGAACATTAAAGTCATAGGCATAAAGGTAATCCAATATGTTCAATTAAATAATGTATATCACAAAGTTGTTTTAATACATATCATTAATGTATACCAACGATATGATTTTGTATATTTCAAATGTTTCATCTTGTGGAATTTATTCTTTGATGACCAATCGGCCAAAGGTGTTATTTATAGGTCACGTGTATAGTTTGAAAACATTGTGAAAACATTGTATAATTTAAATATTTTTTGTCACATGTAAAGAAATTTCACAGCCATATTTCGAAGTAAAGTCGTTCTTCATCCTCAGATATTTCAAACTATAAGTCAAAGTGGTCTATACCTTACACAATGCCTTTAAATCCTGGCATCAAAATTGGTACTGAACTAGCTGTATGAAACATATTACGACTGCGGTCTGTGAGTCAGACATAAATAAACTAAAAAAATAAACAGTTTAACTTTTTTATAACAAGTTTACTTTTACTATTTGAATAGGCAGCATTATTGAATACATTTGAAACATTTATAAATGGGGAATTCAATAGGGTCAGGGTATCGTAGTCTCAATACAAGAAAAAATGCCATTGAAAAGTAAAACTAACATGGCAACATCCTCATGAATAAGAGACTAGAATGTGGAGTAGCAGTCTTTTCTTTTTAATAAACATTCCGATGTTAAAGTTCCCGTTTCCTTATTTCATCTGACCAAGCATACAGAAGATATTGAAAATCTAAGAAATACAAAAATCATTTTCAGATAGCCTTAAAATCAAAGGAGTATCCTCATGTGAGGTATCCTCATATGAGATAGAAATGTTATATTGTGACAATTTCTGAAAAACTCCATCGCAACTCTCTATCGTTTTTCATTTGTATACATACATGTACTCAACATAACTCTGATACAGGCTAACTCCACGTTGAACCCAAATGACCGCTCAATGACCCAAACGATGATAAAATATTTCAATAGAAACATTATAATCTATACCACATTGATGTAAAGTATTTATATAAATCACACTACTATACCTTGCATTTGGCTTTCATGAGCAACCCATTTGGCTTATTAGTAATGATTATATATTTGTTTTTATTTGTCTGTTCCTTATTAATGGTTTATCGGTTGAAAGTTAGATGTTGATAAGGTACTTTCAAAAATATACTAAACAATCCAATTAGACAAACAAAGTATCTTATGCATTTCTAGGTGTTAGGTATGGTAGTGTGAAATAGAATAGGTAAGGATAAATCAAACTCAATTTGGACGAATTAGTGACAATTATGTATCGAAATCTGGCCCTTTAAAAACGACCTTATCTCACCTTTGATTGTGGTGGATATAAAAAAGGTCAAAAAGCGTGTACATATCTATTACATATGTACAACAATATCACTTCCTTAGATTTACACAGGGTGCACCAAAATGCTTTAAAGTTTAATTTTGCTGACCCCTGATTGCTAACTTTATAAATGCATGGTTTTAATAATGATTTCGCCTGGAGTGCAATAATTAGTTACATATCTCCGGTTTCAAGGCAAATGCACAAATGCCATCTCGGAGTTACTTTCCTTCCACAATCAGATTTTTCCGACCAACTTTTTTCTTGATAGAAAATCAGTTTTTCTTTACTCTTACCTCTTCTTAATTTTTTTAGTCCATTCTGTATGTACCGTTGCTATATATACAGAATGTTATATTTTACAGAATATAATATTCAGCATATTTTCCAGATTTCTTGCAAAATATGCGTTATTTCCAATCACAGATATGACTATACAGATGGGCCATTGATCCTTGAGGATAACCAATTCAAACAAGCTTGTATTTGTGTTATTGATTGATTTCAGTATTGTGTTGATTGATTTTATAATGTTGTTGATTGAATCCAGTATATTGTTGATTGATTTCAGTATTGTTTTGATTGATTTCGGCATTATTTGATTGATTACAGTATACTGTTGATTTATTTCAATGATTTATTGATTGTTTTCAGTATACGTTGAACCAGGGTGCCAGCAAGAATGAAACTACCCCTACTAGAGTCCGACGGACACACGGGGCGGTATCAAGTGATGTACCCCTCGGCACGCCTGTAGAGGTTGCAGCCCTACAAAAAGTATATACAATTCTAGTTTTTTAAAGTACATGGTGTTCAAAAATATCCGAACTCCAGTTCTCACATTTTTAAGAACTGTTTAATCTTTGGAATATGAAATCTGTAATTTGTAACAGTTTCTTTAATTTAATGCTGCGTTGAAATTATGAAATAATGTGTTAACTTTGTCAATTAAATTTAGTCTAACGTTTACACAAGAAATGTATCGTATTTTGATGATATAAAATATCCGATTATGGTATATGTTGAGTAATAGTTACTATAATGTATTTCAACTTAACACAATGTATAACGTAACATTACCTCAATGTAAAATAATGTAACGTAAAGTAACAAAACGTAACGTAACGTAACATAACGTAATGTAACGTTAAGTAATGTAACATAACGTAACGTAACGTAACGCAACGTAACACAATGTAACGTTAAATAATGTTAAATAACGTAATTAACATTACCTCAATGTAAAATAATGTAACGTAAAGTAACAAAACGTAACGTAACGTAACATAACGTAATGTAACGTTACGTAACGTAACATAACGTAATGTAACGTTGAATAATGTTACATAACGTAAAATAAAGTTAATATTATGTAATTGCAGTTCAAAATGCAGGTGTTGGATATTCTAGACCCTCGAGACAATGACTTCAAACTAATGAAGTGGCTGAAAGCCAGAGATTTCGATGTGGAAAAGGCAGAAATAATGTATAAAAATGTAAGATAAATGGTGTCAAAATTTTATTTTTATTTATTAATTCTAAAATAGTGTACAAGAACTTACATGAAAAGGGATACGCAGGTTGCGTATATTCCCCTACGTGCAATACATCCCATAAAACAGCCACTTCTGGATAACAATGTAAGAATACACGGTGTCCAATTTTATCTGTATTAATTTTAATATCCTGAGACAGTATACATCAATTAACATGAAAAAGGTCACACAAATTGTGTATATACTCCTGTAAATACACCCCATAAACATCCATTTCTTTAGAACAACAAAAATATCTTAATAAGAATTTTGAATTAAAAATACATGCTTTACTTTTTTATTCAGCATCTGGATTTCCGGGAAAAATACAAACTCGACACACTTTTGGATGACTACACCCCACCAGAGGTAAACTTTTTTCTTGGTTTCATGATCCGGGGTCTTTCTATAGAGCACACCATTGCTCACATTAGCTTTTCTTATCCAAAACGTTCACGATATTTCAATTCCTCTTACACAAGTAGAAACACAAAGGCCAAAATCTAAATAATGCAATCAAAAATTATTATATGAACCTTGTTAATATTTGTATCATTATTAAAGTTGAAAAATATGGCTAATTGGATATAATTATGATTTTCTTTAGGTTATACAAAAATATCTAACGGGAGGTCTACTTGGATATGACAAAGAAGGTTCTCCTATTAAAGTTGAGAAATGTGGCCAGTTGGATGTAATTATGATTTTCTTTGTAGGTTATACAAAAATATCTAACGGGAGGTCTACTTGGATATGACAAAGAGGGTTCTCCTATTAGAGTTGAAAAATATGGCCAGTTAGACATGAAGGGAATCATGTACTCAGTGAAACAAGAGGATCTGATTAAATCGAAGTTATACCACAATGAACTAGTAGTGAGAGAATGGGAAAAACAAACTAAAAAGGTGTGTAGTTATAAATATACGATGGAATTCAAAGCAATTTTCTCTCAAAGCAATGCAAATACAATTTCTATATTTTGTTTTCAATTACTAATGAAGGTGCGGTTTAAAATATAAAATGATAAACTTCTACAATGAACTTAAGTTTTACATTGTGTTGTTCTCCTATAGCTTGGCAAACATGTTCACGGATTGACTGTATTGTTTGACATGGAGAACGTCGGAACTGGAATGCTATGGCGACCAGGTGCGTTTAAAATAATTTAATATATTTTAAAAAAGTATCTTAATGTACGAGGGTTGTCCAAAGAGTCTTGAACGTTGTGCTTCTCATTTCATCAAATGTTGTCTATTCTCGTATTGTACGTATAGGTATGATTCTCACAAACAACTATAATTTGAAGAATAGCTGAAATGAAAATTATTGGTCAAGAATTTTGAATGTGCATTTCCTTTCACTGAGTCTAACAACACTTGGATTCTGAAGGTTTCTGCATATACTTACTACAGTTTGAAAATGTAATTAATCGTCCTTTAAAAATTAAAAAGAGATATTGAAGGGCATATTTTGGCTAGATTTAAAATACCATGCGTTGCAGGCAACAGTGTTCCTAAATTGTAAAAGTTTAATTTTTTAAATCATATTTCCACTCTGAAAATATAAGAATGACTTCATTACGAATAGAAAATATGTTTTACTGGACTAGTTTTTTGATGGTCCAATATGTTGCATGCTGTTCAATGAAATTGCATCTTTAAATTATCACTCTTAGGAATTCTGTATTTTATTTCTCAATGTTTGTAGGTTTACAGATGTATCTCCAGTTAGTGAAGACGTTAGAAGACAATTATCCAGAAATGATGAAACAGATGTTTGTAATAAATGGTACGTTATCGTGTAGTGTTCTTATTCGTGTACAAATTTCAGTTCTCGATCCCATACGAAATGTCCCAAAAATGGTTGTTATTAAGAATGCAACATTTATAACGACATACAGTATACACCGTAGACTACAGTTTCACTGATTTAAACACTATCTTTCTAATTTCTAAACAATGGCATAATGTTGTAGATGAAGAAATATGTTAACATGTGCTCCAAGGTTAAAAAGCAAAACTGCATTAAAAGTCAAATAGAAAATGAGCATTTGGATAAATATAAGATTGGTCATGAGAAAATGAATCCACAATATCCAAATAAGCTAGCATCCCCTTCCATTCCCCTTGCATTGATTCGTAAGTTAAATCATTGTGTGTTTCAATCATATGTTGTTGTTGTTATTTTTGTTTCTAACCAAATAAATGTAATAATAATTTTATTCTAGCACCTCGAATCTTCCCTTTACTATGGAAGGTTGCTCGACCGTTAATGAGTGAGCACACCAAGCAGAAAATCCAGGTTTTGGGAAGTAAGTGATATGTTTTACTAAAGCCCAGCCCCCCTCTTTTTGAGCCCCTACAAATGTATGGGCCACGAAATTCTTTGGGCCCTAAATTTGTTTCTGGGCCCACAGAAGGGGGAGGGGGGCATCCCTCCCTGGATCCGCCAATGCCCTTGATATTATTATTTATTGCTTAGTTGTCAGTGATTTGTGTTCTACGGTTTCTAGTAGATCTTATAGAAACGTATAGAAGTTCAGGCATTATGTCCATGCATTTTAGGCTTTTCAGACCGTTTTGAGAGAGGGTATCGATAGAGAAAAAGTTCTAGAAATGAATCCTGGGAATGAGACTTTTGAGAAACAGAATAATATGGGAAGGGCCGAAAGTGCTAAATACTTTAGATTTGAGGACAAACAATAAATTAATATATTTGTATTCAGTGTGGAGTGTGGTTTACCCCAAGCTCTTGTTATTTTCATCGTTTTCTCACCTGGTTGTGCTCGAGGCCACACGAATGAAACCACAATTCATCCCACACGAATGAAACCACAATTCATTTCTTCCATTTGTTAACATTATTTTGCTGCTTTTGAAAAGCAAATGTGATGTCAGTGCTAAATATAGGAACTTGTGCAAGAACGTAATATCACTTGTAGATCATTTGCCGACCTTTTTGTGCCCTGCGTGCAGAGTCTAGTTAAGCCCTGCGTGCAGAGTCTAGTTAAACTACACTCTGCCTAGTAGAGACCATATTACAGTTTAGTAGCCCCGCCCCCACGACGGGTACCGGTGACAGTTTGGGTAAATCACTTTTGACCTACGCGCTGACCGTCTACCAATCAGCAATGCCTTCTAATTAAATATGCGCATGTTATTGGTCAATTCTGGGCTCAACGATGACGTCAGAAGGAATGACCATATAAAGAACGTCGGTCAAATTTGGCCGACGAACACTGATTGGCGCGGTGAGTTCACAGGTTTATTTTAGTTTGAAAGAGTGAAGACGAAGCTCTCTTTGAGAAGTGAAGTCAAACGAATGCAAAGGGTTTGAAGACGAAGCTCTCTTTTGAGAAGTGAAGTCAAACGAATGCAAAGGGTAACCTTTTTGCTTCTTTCTTTGAAAAGTGACGTAATGTATTTTATACAAAGTCGCTAAATATAAACCGGTATCCTTTTGATATTTTGCAATAAAACTATCATGCCAATATAAACAATGTAGTTTTCTTTAGAGAATCAAATTGATATATTCAGGTGACTACAAGGAGGTGTTGCAACGATATATTGATGCCGACCAGCTTCCCGGCTTTCTTGGAGGCACAATCACAGACCCAGATGGAAATCCCGATTGCAAAACGTTGGTATGTCGAATTTAGCTTTAGTTGTCATACTTTTTGTCACCCTGTAGATTACCAGTCTTTAACCCGTACGTGTGCGAGCGCATAACTCTTTAGGCATCAGATTTTAGTCACGGGTAAATATATTCAATTTCAAGTGAACTGCATCATTCAAAAATATCATTGTAGCATGAAAGATAAATGTCACTTTACTTTTAGAACAATCTCTATTATATATGAACCAGGGCACAGGAAAAAAGTTTTGTGATTAGACCGGATTTCCTCTGTTGAGACTCATATAATTAAATCTTTGAACGTTATTGTGAAACAAGAGTGAGTGTGTAGAACCAACTTTTTAGGATTCCGTTATGTTTTTACCTTCATGAATGCTTCTTGAAAACTTTATTTTTGTAATGATTTTTCCAATTTGCATCTATCTTCCATGATATCAATATTGCGAATCAAAATTATTTTGAACTGCAAATTAGAACGAATGGTGTAATACCTCTGGAGCACCCCTCTGTGAATTATCCTATTGTTTTTGATTTACAGTTGGTCCATGGCGGCCAAGTACCAGAAAAATATTTTCTCAAAGATCTGTCGATGACTGATACGATGGAAACTGCACTTGTTCCAAATGGAGAAAAGTTACAAATCGTAAAATTCGTCACAGAACCTAACAGTATTTTAAGGTACATTCCCTCTTTATGTTTTGAATCCCCGATTCCCCAATAAGTGTTGAAGAACTTGACATGACCCCCGTATCTAGTACTTTTAAATTGTAGTTACTACATACTAAGTATGCTAAATAGATGAATCAAATAATCAAGTAAAACAATGCTTATTCTAATGTTAAATGTAATGGATGTACTGTGTGCTTATTTTGGATTTCTTCTTAAAAATCCAAATCACTCAATTGTAGATGGGAGTTCCTTACTGAAGATTTTGATGTCGGATTTGGTGTCAACTATATCCCGGAGAAAGGAAATAAGGTTAGTTTTCATTTTTATATTGTAAAGTCAATTAAACTGAATGGTGTATCACGTATATGATACCAGTTCATATCTGATGAACATGTGGATAACTTTTCAGTCACTAAACATTCTCTTTGAAAATTAAAACATTATTACACATGGCAAACACTGGCTAAAATCGAAAAAATGTTCCAGGGGTCAAGAAGTTGATAACAAGTAGACTTATTGATGTACATCATGTTCGCATTGATTGTTTGTTCAAGATGTTTTTCTCCGATTCGTGAGATACATATTCCGAGTATTGTGTTTTTTAGGTGAAACCGGTTGTCCCGATCAAGCGAGTTAATTGTCACATGGTGCCAGAGGACGGTAGCGTCGAGTGCAAACTTCCTGGCCCTTGTAAGTAATTATCTGTATATTTTACAGCTATATAATTATGATCTATCTTAAGTTCTGAGTCACCCTGTATGAGTATCCCTGCCATTCATATGGTAGTACACAGAATAAATGTCCGTTTACAATGACTGACTTCAAGAAAACGAGGAATAAGATGGCATGGTACGAATCTCATATATAACATAAAGATTTAAAACTTTTAGGACTTTATGAAATGTTGAATTTTTGTTGTTACAATTTTTGTTTACTTAAAATGAGATTAAATGTGTCTTATGCTTCAATCATATTGAAAAAAATTACATATACATAGCACTTTTTAAATATTACCATAAAAGGGAAAGCATGACATTGCTCATTTTGAAAGTCTCGTGTTTATACGACACAGAGTTGCATACTCTAGTTGAAAGCCCATGACATAACACATGCCAAATAACACATGTCTTTCAACACCCTCCCCCCTGACATGTCAAGGTCACGAAAAGAACCCTGGGTTATGTTATGTCTGCTATCATCTGATTGTGATTGTATGTTTTAGACAAAGTAGTGTTTGACAACACGTTTAGTTGGACCAGGAGCAAGACCATCTTCTACCACGTGGAGGTCATTGCTCCAACTGATGACGTCATGCAGAAAGAGATCAACGAACGAGTTCAAAACGGAACTTGGGAAGCAGTTGCCAAACAAATGGAAGTTACTAAAATTTAATGTCAAGAGGGTTGATTTAAATGTAATGCTCTTCAGAAGATGCAAAATTAAAATAGATTGAAAAGAACGGGATAGCTAAACGTCTGAAGTCACTATAAGATTAATGTAAAGAGGACTGATGTAAAATATGTAATGCTCTTCGGAAGATGCAATGCAATGCAAAATTACAGCAAATTGAAAAGAACTGAGTAACCAAGGTTTAATCTGACGAAGGCTATTTTTGAATGTGCATGGTGTTCAAAGATTAAATTCCGTGACTAATGGCCCTAACCCCCCTATCACACCAAACTAGTTCTTACCCGTTCTTGCCAGTCCTACGAAAACGTCGTAAAACGGCCTCAATCTGGCTGTGGTCGGGAAACATGTCTAAAATAATTAGCTACTTCGTTCATAAACAGTCTTCAATACGTCCATCTAATTCGCAGTTCGTTCAGGTCGCACCACGTCGTTGTGCAACGTTGTATAACGCGTCCCTTAGTCTAGAAGGTCATCATGACCTGATTACAGTACGGTATGGTCGCCATCGAATTTTGAATCGATTCAAAATTCTAAAATCACGTTCCCGTCTGAGGACGTTCATGAAGTTCGTAAATAGACCTTAGAAAGTTGCAGCTACGTTCATTCCGTTCGCACACAGTTTAAAACCAGTTTTGAAGAACGCAGTGGCAACTTGTTTGTTGTGATAGCTATATTTTTGCTAACTCGTTCATAAGCAGTCTTAAATACGTCCTAAGTCAGTTTAAACCCGTTGGCAATTAGTTCTACCTCGTTCTCAATACGTCCTCGGACAGTTCAACTCGTTGTAAAAACGTCCCTAGTAGGATTGAAGTACGACGGTTCCGTTCGTAGTACGTCCAGCTCGTCGTTAGTACGTTGTCACTCGTTCTAATTGTAGAACGTGACAACCACTAGAACATTTTGAGCAGTTCTAGGGGACCTACCCGTTCGAGTACGTTCGATGACGTTTGCAAATAGACCCCAAACGGTTCTTAGTACGTCCAGCCCGTTCGTACACAGTTGAAGCCCGTTTTAGAGAACGCAGTGAGAACTAGTTTGGTATGATAGTAGGGTTAGAAACAGTATTCGACCAAATTCAAAATAAAATGACATAAAATTTGTATTTGACCTAATATGGTAAAAATAAGTGAACCTATGCAACAATAGATACAATGTATGTATTTCATTACATGTATAAAAATAATATCGGGCAAGGTAGATTTTCCTATTCTTACTCTGTAATATCACCAAGTGATAATATAAAGTCGTGTACACATTACAATGACAATGTAATAACTAATAAATTCAAATATGAATTAAAAATTTATGATTAAATCATGACAAATACTTGCTCAATTGTATATAAAATGCTTGCTGTAAATTCTGTATATACCCAGCGTATCATTATGTAGCTAGCCACTTCGACAAAAGCAATTCAAGTATTTCATGATCCTTATTTTCTTGTGTCTTAAGGTTAAAACATTCCGGACACGCTACGTCAATATGTAAGCGTTATTGGACGATTTTCGTTCATTAAAAATACATGTAGTTTTACCACGATGTAGTTCTGAGTTTTAATTTACATCATGAAATGATTTCTCTGTTTTATATTTTAGATTGACATTATTAAATCCAGAGTGGCATATAACTGACTATATTATATAATGCCTAATTTATTTAAATTACAATATGGCGTCATACGCAAACAGGGTCATACATGTAGTTCGTCCAATTGACTAGCCCCTAAAAGTTGATGACACGTTATCATTAAATTTATTCTAATATAAGATGTTTTTCTTGTAATTGTAATCATTAACATTTTAAAGACAAATTATGCATATTCTTTATGAATATAGAATGTATTTAATACAATGAACTTACGTCAATGTTAATTTGAGTAAGCTATGTGTTATCAAAATATTGCGTTATAAATATATTTTTGTCAATTTTGATTTTGTATATTAACTTAAATCCTGTTCAAACTAAGTCCATTTATTAGTTGAATCTAGTAAAGCATGTCACCTATTGCATAAATGATGTCATTCTTACATTTTTGAAACCTTGTTTGTAGGTCTTTGTGTAGATTCAATCTGCTATATTGTTTTAAAAACAATAAAAAACACAATTGTTTATTTTCTGATTGGTTTTATTAACATTAAATGTCTCATGTAATGAAACACTGTTCTGTGTCACAGAAAATCACAGCCAAATTTACATTTTTTCTTTATAGCATACATGTACAATGTAAGTTCAGAACAGAATTAAAATGCAATTATATACAGACATGTACATATATATACATATATAGTGAACTCACATATTAATTTGTTTTAATAAAATACATTTTCTCGTATTCTATTTTTTATTGCACTGGTAATTGCTGTTTTTTGTTTCGTTTATTTTAACATTCATTGGGTCATTTACAGAATTTTTGTAGAGTTAAGGTTTTCTTATTACAGTAAAACCTGTGTTAGTGAACACATTTCTCTAGTGAACACCTATGTCTAGTGAACACCTCTTCTCAGCACATACTCCATTAAGTTCAGTATAAAATTGCCTCTCTGTAGTGAACACCTACCTTGACTTAACACATTTTTGTGGCTGCATGGGTGTTCACTGCTCACAGGTTTTACTGTAATTTTTCGTAACCATGGATACAATGATGTCATAAAACATGAAAAGTGAACTTAAAAATTCTGAACTTTCTAATTGTTTTAGTAAACCCCTGTTGAACAAGTTGGCTAATTTCTATGTTCCCAAAATCAGATTTAAAAATTCCAAGGGGACTAATTTTGACAATTTTGGCACAAAATCATTTGGAAAGTGCTCCAAATGGTGAAAAGCTACATGATTTTGAAAGAATTTTAGTCCAAGGAGTCAAGCCCCTGACCCAGGTTGTACAATGGTTGTATAGATCATTGAGAGTTCTATATTGAATGAACGAGATCAAATTGTCATAAATGTAGTTTTCATTTCATCTTGCATAATGCACATTTGGAGTATTTTGCATAATACTTTATTAGGTATAATCCTGAGATTGTCTTATTATTTGTCCAATATATATTACAACCAATCAACCTCTCACATGTATGACTGGTAAATGCATGGAACACAATTATCCTGCTCATTATGTTGCAAATAATAAAACAATCCATATTTACTGTAATTATATTCAATTCGGTGGCCCTTTTAGTTTGGTGGATCCGCCAAATTGTTAGTCCACCAAATTAAGTAGCCGCTAAATTCAATATTTCATATTTTACATGTTCAAAACAGCAAATCCGCAAATTAAGTAGAAGTACAGTTATATTTCAATGTTACACCTAATCCCTGCCAATCTGATGAGAGACTGTTGGTCTATCTATCCTATATATGTTCTCTGCCACATTGAAGTATGCCCTATATTCAACCTCCTGGGGGGTGGTATCCCAGTGGTAGTGACCCCCCTCACCATGTTCACTAAAGCAATGGAAGTGTTCGATACGTAGGTCTAGATCCTAGAAATATTAAAAGAATGATACCAACTTGAGAACACCAGTCTGAGCTGCCTTTGCTTGATACCACTAAGGTACTGATTTGATGATGACATATTGCTTTAGCTTGACAGTAAGGAACTGACTTGACTCTAATATTTTGATTTGGCTTCAGAATCAAGGTACTGGTTTGACTTGAATGTAAGATAATGCTTTGGCTTGATACTAAGGTACTGACTTGATTAGAAATTATTCGTCTAGCTTCAAAACTAAGGTACTGACTTGACCTGACTGTGCGATATTGCTTTGGCTATACACTAAGGTATTGACTTGTTTTACTATGAGATATTGCTTTGGCTTGACACTAATTACCGATTTGACTTGACTATGAGCTATCACTTTTGCATGTCACTTTAAGCCAAAGGTGTGACCTAAATTACAGTTTCTTCACTTGACTCACATGTACATGTATCTTACATTCCAAACATGAGTTAAGATAAGATTAGATGAACTTTCATATTACTATAAACTTTGTATACATATACGATACAAGTACTTACTGGGTCATGTGAAATAAGATACCCAAGACAGACTAGGGGAGAAGACATCTCATAGAAATTAAGCCATTTTTCAACTTTCTCATCTGAATCTAATGGTGTCGTTAAAAAGTCATTCTGAAAATAAATGTAAAATCGATGCACTGACAGCCTCAAAGACATCAATTTGGCAATTTAGAATCCAGTAGGTTTTACACTGTATTTGCATCACCTTGCAAAATGTCACCACCTGCCATTTGTTACAGATGCTGAACGAGGAATACTAACCACCCAACAACAAACACTAACTGCCGAAAACCATCCACAAAAAGTTGGTGACTATAACAATATGTCACCACTTCTGGTGATGACATAATAAACCCATGAATATAATTCAAACATTTCCAGGACAAAACTTTTAGGTCATGCCTAAAATCTCTCTGTCCACTAGTTTTGGGATAATTTAGATCAGCATTCAAGTGTATATTATGAGGTAATATAATGGTTGATTCTGTATTCACTCGTTCCCTTCTGTCACACGTGAATATATTATATACTCACGAGTATAACGATATACTACGACCATTATATAATCTTATTATCCAGTTGTATACGCTACCCAGTTGTATATCGTTCTAAAGAGATGTATAAGATGAGTGTTGGTTTTATATTGCAGTTATACAATGCTATTATACATTCATATAAAGCACTTAGGGTGGGATAATAACATGTATTTCTAGTATACATAGGAGAATGTACATGTAGATTACTAGGCTGACACTCCCATAAAGGCAATCATGTAAGTTACCATAATATGAATGTGTGCTTTCCCCTTCTCCACCAGGAAAGTTCCCCCAAGAGCCACTGGTTTGTCTCCGTACTGAGCCTGGAGGCCGAGTCTTGCAACGTTCATGAAGTTACGAACCTTGGAAGTTCCACACCTGACCTTGATTTCTAAGACCTGAAATATATTGAAATAAACATGTTAATTAACACTAAACTACAGTGAGCAATATCCTAATTTAAGTTACCGATTGGGGCAATGCCCTGTTTTTTAGGTGTACAACTACACAACACTTCACTACATTACACTACATTGAGCAATATCTTGATTTATCTTTCCTGGTTTTCCTGGTGAACAGAATAATTAAGCGACCAGGGCAAAATCAGTTTCTTAAGTATACCACTTCACTATCCTACACTACAATACACTACTCTAGCAAAATCTTCATTTACCTTTTCTGGTTTTCCTAATGAACAGAATAAGTTGCCCATTGGGGAAATGCCCTCTGTTTTTCTAAGTATACCACTACACTTCACTACACTACACTACACTACATGTACACTACACTGAGCAATATCTTGATTTACCTTTCCTGGATTCCTTGTGAACAGAATAATTTAGCCACCAGGGCAAAATCAGTTTCTTAAGTATACCACTACACTATCCTACACTACAATGCACTTCCCTGAACAAAATCTTCATTTACCTTTTCTGGTTTACCTTATGAACGGAATAAGTTGCCCATTGGGGCAATGCCCTCTGTTTTTTAAGTATACCACTACACTATCCTTCACTACAATACACTACTCTAGCAAAATCTTCATTTACCTTTTCTGGTTTTCCTAATGAATTGAATAAGTTGCCCATTGGGGAAATGCCCTCTGTTTTTTTAAGTTTACCACTACACTACACTTGACTACACTACACTACATTTACACTACACTGAGCAATATCTTGATTTACCTTTCCTGGATTCCTTGTGAACAGAATAATTTAGCCACCAGGGCAAAATCAGTTTCTTAAGTATACCACTACACTATCCTACACTACAATGCACTACCCTGAACAAAATCTTCATTTACCTTTTCTGGTTTACCTTATGAACGGAATAAGTTGCCCATTGGGGCAATGCCCTCTGTTTTTTAAGTATACCACTACACTATCCTTCACTACAATACACTACTCTGAGAAAAATCTTCATTTACCTTTTCTGGTTTTCCTTATGAGCAGAATAAGTTACTCATTGGGGCAATGTCCTCTTTTTTAAGTATACAACTACACTACACTACACTGAGCAAAATCTTCATTTACCTTTTCTGGTTTTCTTTATGAACAGAATACGTTCTAATTCGAGTAATGCCCTCTGGTTTTTTAAGTATACCACTACACTACACTACACTGGGCAAAATCTTGGACTCACCTTTCCTGGTTTTCCTTGTGAGCAGAATAAGTTAGCCATCAGAGCAAAATCAGTGCCCTCTGGTTTCTTAAGTATACAAGAGCCATCACTGGGGTCCACTTTCGATATGTGGGTGTTGTTTTTTGCATCTGCCCCTGTCTTTATATTGGTAACCATCTATACAAACATACAACAAGGTCACTCTTATCACAATGTTCAAAACTGTTGTAACCATATATGGTGAATGAACAACGAGGTACATGTATGGAACACTGTTGTAAATGAAAATGATTAAATAAAGATATTGTGACAGGCTGATTCTTTAATATTTGCATTGTAACTTGGGGGAAAATACCTGTTGTTTAATAAAACAGCCTGATCAATGAATCAACTCAGGGGATAGAGAGTGAATTTGCGAGGGAATTACCCCAAAGCAAATTCACCCCCTACCCCCTGAGTTGGCCTTGGTTTCCTGACAACAGCTGGTCAGGAAATCTTTTTTTGAGATTTTGCAATTTTCACAGAAAGTATCCTCAAGGCAACAGGAAATTCTTAGAAAGAATATATATTTTTGCCTGTTGTGATTGAACCCCTTTTTTATCAGGCCCAGGGGGTGTACATTTGACAACTTTGGCCTAAATCCAATTAAAAAATGCTCAGAATGGTGAAAAAATGCATGTGGGAGGATCAAACCCCTCAAACCCCCCGGCTACAGGCCTGGGGATGAAACATTGTATTACCTCACAGTTGACACCCTCAGTCTGCCAGGGACCCGCCCCAGCACCCACCAGGAATACATCATCAATCTCCACTTGCCTGGCCACCCTATCTAGACTGTAGATCTAGAAAAACAGTCAATTATATGTTTATTTACAATTCATGCATGCAGTTTTAATTTCATGATTTTTCGAACAAAATCAGTGCTTGAAAAAAACTTTGTAAACTGAAAAACAAATTCATATATTACATTTTGATAACCTTGGATATTAGACTGTTATATAAACCAAAGTGGTTTAAACTTTATATGGGGCCTTTAACAGTTCACAGGATGTATATCAAGAGTAAGGCAGCTCCAGCCGAACACAATGTCCAATGTATGTTGAACACCTCCATTTTTTAAAAGAATAAAGGTGGACCGCCATTTAATTGATTGAAAGTTAAGGTTTCTAAATTTTTTCAAAAGTGTTTTTTAGGAGCAAGATGGATATTACCAAATGTCAAAGATCTAAGCAACAATGATTTCCAGAAATTAGTGATCCAAACCACATGCTATTATTTTCATGTACTTCAAAATTGAAGTTTGGATGATCATGTAAATGCAAAATATATATAAATGTACTGTACCTTAGATCTGTCCACTAAAGGATGAAGATTGGGTACACCCCCCACATCTGTCACTGCAGTTTTACCACATAGACCTGTGATATGATTTTTAAAAAGTTGGGCAGTGAAAATGGAAAGTATAACTAAAGTTCCTATACAGTGTATTTTTCTTTCTGATAGCAGGGGTCTTTTAAAGACTTATTTTCAAGAAACACAGGATTATCATTTCATAAATCAAACTTTCTGGGGTAAATTTCCAAAAGTTAGTCCCAAATTTTCTACAATTAAGTTACAACATTTACAAAAAATAAACAAGCCAGGTTGCAAAATTACATCAAATTACAAAGTATGATAAAGTAAGGCTCCCTGAATCTATATTTCCCTTAATCTTTTTCGTGCCCACCCACCCCACTTGTTTTGTAGGTAGAGAGAGTGGGTAAATTTAGAATGACATTTTCTTACCTGGAGCAGCTAGATTAAAGGGGGACTGGGTTAGGTCTGGGCAATCAACCACATTCACACTAACACTGGAGTAGTGCTTCTCATAAGCATTCTGTAAAACTGCAACAATAGCAAAAATTGTATTCTGTAAATTACTGTATACATTTTTTCTGGGCATAGATGGCTCTGCAATTAGGAAGGATTGAGGCAGATAAACAAGGCCACAAGGCTATGATGCATAAATTACTTTAATTATTCCATTTCATTTAACTTCCTGAACTTGTCAGGAATTCTATAGAACTGCATGTTGCAAACTCATTGACAAGCTCATTAAAAGCTCATCGACAAACTAACTGCCAGCTCATTGTCAAATCTTTTGCAAGCTCTTTGACATTATCTGTTTGGAGCTCATCGAAAACATGTAGTGAGTTTCTTGATATACAGGTATGTGTTTCATAAACAGCTCATTGACCAACCTGTCGCAACCTCATTGAGGGGAGGAACATGGAGAGAAACTCTCTGCACTGGCATCTGTCTGTCTGTCATCTTTTTACCTCAGTTATGTCCTGTATACCTGGAATTGAAACAAAACTCTGGGTATGAATATTTGAGGATACTTCTTCATTGCCACTTGAAACATACACGAATCATAATTCCCCCCACTCACTGTATATTGTATGGAAGTCTTTTTGAATCTTAATTTTTAGATTCTGACAGGCGTTCCTACAAGCTTTAAATTGTGAATCAATCCCATACACCTGTAGCATATACTGATGTCACTAGCATAGCCAGGATGAGGCAGAAAAGGCGCTTGCCTTATCACTTTTTTAACATCCTTTGAGGAATATTTCTCTTTCAATGAAGATGTAAATTAATTGTACAGTATAACATTTATTGATTTTGGAAAATTGAATTATGGAAATTTTCTCATAAGATGACTTTCCCATGTTGGAATCCTATAAAGTAGAGTAGCCAGGATTAGGCAGATGAGTATCCAAACCCGTCTGGCCCAGTTATCTACTCCCGACCTCGTAGATCTGGGCCAGACAATGTCCAATGCAAAAAATGGGGTATTTACTCCGGAAAAAACACACTGGTTTTTCAATGTATAATACGTGCTGATAAATGAATAAACATCATAAAAATCACTTACGTGTTTGTTCCTTGTATCAAACTTTGTATTTATATTAGGTTTCCATCGCTGGATGACGGCTAATAAATAAGAACGAAACGTCTAAACGCAGCAAAAAGAAAAATTCTTCTGCAATCTGTTCGTGATCTCGTAGAATATCGAGAAGTCTCGGCTGCTTATTTCGTTCAGTACTACATTCCGTCAGTTCAACAAATTGAAAAATCGTATTTATGTCCACCATATTTCTTTCCAGTTTAAATACAACACAGACACGTCTGTTTTATAAAGTAATCAACGTTTTGATAACAAATCTGCTGAACAAATCGTAATATTTGGAATGTATTGATTCCCGGGAAATGTATTTTCATTCCATGAAAGTTTAAAAACCATCGCGTCACACTCGTATTACGTCACATAACGTGACTTTATTCGGTGCGGAGAACTGACGAAATATTGACGAAATGTTGTGCCCATTTCAACATCAATATAACAAACAAAACACCACATTTACGCGTAAGTTATGTTCTCTTTATTTCAAATAAATACTTGGGTTTACATGGTACCCGATGTTTTGGTTGGATGGCTAATAGGGAATGAATAATAAGTGATGATTCAGCGACATGTTTTTTCCGGAGTAAATCCCCCCTTTTTAGCATTGGACCTTGTCTGGCCCAGATCTACAATGTCAGGAGTAGATAAATGGCCCAGACAGGTTTGGTTAGCAGATGATGAGGTGTTTGCCTCGTCGCTTTTTAACAAATTTGGAAAATATTGTCTCGTTGCATTTCTGGGTACGCCATTGGATGCTGCTACAAAAGATCTAAGCAGAACTGTGATCTATCTTAGATAAATTCTTTGCTTGAATCAAACTCAAGGGTCCATAGCAACATACTGAACACCCCTGGCTAAAGCCTCGGCCAGATCTGTTACGTGCAATAGAAACAGTTTAGCAGAGCAGAAACAAATATTTAGGCTTTATTTGAAGACATTCAATACGAAAAACTAACGCTTACATTTTGCAAGCAACATGGAAAAGGCATTGACATGTATCTATTAGTCCACTTGAAACACATAAAAGCAAATGTCACGCACCAATACTTGCCTAAAAGCAATTTAATAGAGTCCGCAAGTGAAGATGTGTTTAGGGGATGGAACCGGAAGTCTTTAACAGCTGACAAAACTAGTCGATCAATATTTATTCTTATTTTTACTTTTTATAACGTATCTTCCGTTAAAGAAATTAGTTTTCTCAATATGTATATTTTAATATATTATTAAATATTTATTTACGCATATTGATTTGTAGATTAAGATGAATTTCACTATTTCATATTTCTTCTTGTTGATCGAGTAGATGACAGATGCAAAATGGCGATTTGCTCAAAATTAAAGATTTTGAATTTTTCAACAAATTACATCATATTTGCTTATATCTGAGTAAGCACAGTAGTTTTGACATGCAAAAGTATTCCAAATAAGACGTTGATAGTAAATGACACGATATGGACTGAATCATGGGTCAGAGTATAGTAAATATTCCATTTTTACTCAGAGGACATTTGAAAGATTTCAAAATAAAACATTTAAATTTGAATCTACTTTTCAAGCAGAAACATTTTCATCAGAATATCAGGTATTTTACTAGACAAAGCTATTTATTTGGGCGCTTATCTAACGGTGCTGGGGCAAGTCTTTACGACTTTGCTAAACGCCACAAACCAAGGATGACAAACTCTACCATCATCGGTGATATTGAGGTGAGAAATGACTCTAGGCTATTACCCTAAAAAAAAGCTTAAACACAAATGTGTCCTCGAAACAGGAATTTGATACAATTGGTCTTTAGCCTTCGATTAATTTTATAAAGAGTGAAACCAAGATGAAAGCTAACCGTCTGAGAGGATGAGGGACTTCAGAATCTGCAATATCTCAATCTGTCAAAACATTACATGTACTCCACCCTTGATACGAACTTCGAGTAAATGAACAATGAGGTGTTAAAGTAAAAATGAATGTAGAAATGAAAAGTGGTGTTATAGTTTTACCTCCTCACCCTACTCTCATATTCCTGTAACTTTCAATTTTCAGTTTTTGTAAAAATTATATACATGTAAATGCATGATCCAGTTTGAAGAAAATTTTCATATTACTGTGTGTTTTTCAGATTTACCCTTGGTCAATTTCGGGTATAGAGACTTCAATCTCTATTCACAAAGACAATCTCAATGTAGCATTTGACATGGGATTCTCTCATAGAGAGGCAGTACGATGTCCCTACGTTTTTATAAGGTAAAATACAATGAAACATGTTAAGTGGAACACATTGGTAGCATGACAACTTTCCACCCTGCACCCATGTCATGCGTAAAGAATTTCCCTTTTTAAAATGTGAGAATGTAATTTTGAAAAAGTAGTAAAACACTTGCTAAATATATCACCAAATCAATTGCATTTTCCTTGTCTGACTTTGAAATAGATATATAATATTTTCAGTAATGAAATATTTGTATATTTTTCAGTCATGGCCACATTGATCATATAGCAGCCATACCACAGCATGCAGCGAAGAGAGATCTCTATTCCATGAAACCTGCCACGTATTATATGCCAGGCTCACTAATTGACAGCGTTAAAAAGATTTGTGATAGCTTCTCCGATATGCATGAACACTTAGAATCTTTGACTAATATCAATCTGCAACCTATTGAGCTTGGGGAATCCATTCAGGTTTGTCTTTTAAATAATCAGTTTTACAAGTTTCAGTGCTGTCGAGAGGTATATAGCTACGGCCTCAAAGTAGATGAGACAAATTTAAATATGTGAGGCTAAAATGACGTTATTACTATACATGACTACTACACATAGTAAAACCTTACACTTCAGTTATCCAATTACTTTCAATATGAACATTTTTCTCTCATTTTCAATTTTTTATTGTCCTATTTACTTCCTTATTAAAGTAACCAGCTTGAAATGTGAACACCTGCTAATCCGAACAGTTTTGGCTGGTCCCAGTCATGTTCTGATGAGACAGGTTTTGGTGTACCACTATGGGACATCTAAAAATATTTTTTCTGTAAAACTGTAGCTTGTAGCTTTAATTGTAGCTTGCTAAAACAAATGTTTCAAAAAGAGTTTCTCCCATTAGCATAAACAAATTGTAGTTGCCCTGAGGCATGGCCTCACGTGTCAGATAACTGCAAGCTATAAGATTTTCAAAATTTCATGAATAATAAATCGATGCCATCATTTCAATTGCTGAAGCCATTTGGAAAATGTTCATCAATTTTATTTTTTGCACTACACTGTATATGCATCGATGAGCTGTACCCATTTGAGAAATGTACTTTGATAAATACTCCTTAAAATGTATAATCAAACAGGTAGTTTTCGCTGAATACATTCTGAAAATTGAAGCTGTACTGAACCCTAATACTGTTGTGAATTTAGAAACATATTTTGTTTGCTTTATACCAGTTTGCCCCTAATTGGACAGTGGAGCCATTCGCTACAAAACACCGGGTTGAGAGCCAAGGTTATATACTGTATCACCAGAGGAAACATCTCAAAGAAGAATACAAGAAGTTATCTAGCCAGGAGATTGGAAAACGGGTCAGAGCAGGAGAACAAGTGCATAATGTTGTACGCACACCAGAAATAGCATATACAGGTGAATTAGTCTCAAAACCATATTAGTATGTTAAATACAGTGTATGTACTTGTACAGTAAAACCTGTCATAGTGAACACTGGTGTTTAGTGAACAGTCGACTTTGAGACACATTTTAAACAAGTGCAAAATATTACATGCAAGCGCATAATGTTACATGTAAGCGCATAATATTACATTCAAGCGCATAATGTTACATTCAAGCGCATAATGTTACATGCAAGCGCATAATGTTACATTCAAGCGCATAATGTTACATGCAAGCGCATAATGTTACATTCAAGTGCATAACTTTACATGCAAGCACATAATGTTACATTCAAGCGCATAATGTTACATGCAAGTGCATAATGTTACATGCAAGCGCATAACGTTACATGCAAGCACATAATGTTACATGCAAGCGCATAATGTTACATGCAAGCGCATAATGTTACATTCAAGCGCATAATGTTACATGCAAGTGCATAATGTTACATGCAAGCGCATAATGTTACATGCAAGCGCATAATGCTACATGCAAGCGCATACTGTTACATGCAAGTGCATAATGTTACATTCAAGCGCATAATGTTACATGCAAGCGCATAATGTTACATGCACAATGTTACATGCACCCCAGAGAATATGGCTCATGTAATGTAATTTCTCACCTTCCAGGAGACACAATGTTTGATATTTTCCACAACCCTGACAATGGAGACCTTCTCAAAGTGAAACTCCTGATCACTGAGTGTACATACATTGACAATGAAGTAGACTTCAAAGGGAAGACATCAGTTGAGAAGGCCAGAGAAAGAGGCCATACTCATCTCCAAGAGATTGTAGTTAATTTGGACATACTGCAGGATGTACAGAGTATTATGCTTGTACATTTCAGTGATAAATACTCAAGTAGATTCATACAAGAGACTGTTATGCAATCGGTGCCAGCTGAAATGAGGCATAAAGTATTCGTGTCAACTTTAGCTAAAGAGCTTTTATGACATCATTCATCTTTAGTTGGATTCTCTTTGTCTTATCACAGTGGTCTCCCCAGCATTAAAGCAGGTGGGTGTAGCACCAACCTGAGATTTTGAAAATAGTCTTGCACCCAACTGAAAATCCATTTGCACCCACTTGAAAATGAGAAAAATCATGAAAATGTCATATTTTGACCAATTTTGGTCTGAATTGTAAAAATGAGAATTTTGCACCCACCTGAGAAAAGATCCTAGGGAGATCACTTTATCAACAATGTATTAAGTCTAGCTATACAAGCTCCTTTGACACAAGTTGTTAAGAGTTGATAGTCAGTAGATAGATTTTCAAAGTCCATGTAATTGGAACATATCTACATTCATGGATTTCCTCCTTGACCCTAGACATACTACTGCTAAAGTACAAATGATTTTACAAAGCTGAAATAATTGACCACACGGACACATTCATAAGTAGTAGGCTAGTTCACAACTAAATGGTGGCTACAGGAAAATGTTAGGGAAATATTACCCATACTTACATTATGGGTATTTAGTCTCATCAAACAGAAGTGCCATCGGAAAATCTGAAATGCTTTTTAAATTGTGTTACTTAGCATAGGGCCAATTATGCCTTTGATTTTTATGTCATGTCAATGTATTCTAAAATGTAGTCAACACAAAACGTTTATTTATACTATTTTATTGAAACAATTCATGACTTTACGTTTGTCAATTTTGATTGTCTTTAAAATGGAAATAAAAACTGATTTAAAGGTAAAAAAGATATACTTGAAAATTATTGTTACAATTTTGTTATTATGTCACCACCCCAAGCCGTAGTGACATAGTATTATCGTCTCCAACTTCTTTGTGGACGGTGTTTGGCGTACGACGTCCGATGTTTGACGTCTGTAGCAAATGGCAGGTGGTGACATTTTGCATGTTAATGCCTCGTTATAAGATTGCTTAGAAATAAATAATCATTAGGCAATATTTTGCCGGGAAGCCACCGTTCCACATAAAGAAGAGAACAAACGCTTTAAATGGGGAATTGACCTGTCAACACCAAAGTAGAAATAATATCACAACTCTAGCCCGTAACTCTCTCGACACTGTTCAAAGAGATCTTTCAATTAAGGAAAATAAAGTTTATCCGTTGTCAAAAGCTAGTTAAAGAGGTCGTTGTGATTTTGTATTTACATGAATGTTGTGCAAAATACATGGTCATTTTCTTTGAGATACTTACTAGCCACGTTTTTGGAAAAAGTTTTGAGACACTCCCAAAAGATTCCATCATTGCCATCATTAGCGAAATTTTAGAGAGAGACTTTCTCAGTAAGAGGAAAACATTTTGGTGTCTCTTGATTGGATACATAATACATGTATTATATATCCAATCAGAAAATATCCCAGGATTGAAAGCAGTTGGTTGAGATGACTTGGTACTGATGCTATCGTGCGACTTCCAAGAAACAAAAAAACGTATGTTTTTCTACAATGAATGATAGCGTTTGCTCATAATTTTATTGATGTTTAGCGTAGTGTTTAAGTTAGTATCAGACAAGGCGGCTTGAAGTCTGAAATGCTGTAATTTTCTTTAGCGATCCTTATCTTTTCGCACAAGCAAAACTACAAATTTGTCAGAAATTCTTTATTGGAAGTGTTTACGTATGAAATATAGTTTGTTTGACAACTGTTAGCGTTATCATGAGCGTTCTCCGAAATTGGTTCTGGCAGACGACAAATTGTATTTTAGGGGGGAAATTGTCTGAAGCAGACGAACTGTGCAAAAGCGACGAACACCAACATCAGCAAATTAATCTTACAAACGCTTATTTTAAAAACTCCCTATGCATGAGATTTATTGTGTTCACGTAGCAAAAGTGGGAAAACGTGCTATTTGCGACTATTGATGAAAACAGCTGATATACGTAAGGATTTTAGTTTTGATTGGGGCGGCAAAAATTAATTTGCCATTTTTGGTGTCTTAGATAAAATGGCATCTAACAGTAGAACGATGACTGCCGAAAATGGGTAATTATAGTTTTGTCTTTCACTTCAGTGTTAACCAGAATCTTTGCTTGAAAATAAAATAGCAACGAAGAACCCAAACCCTACAATGGCAAATAAGCTAAGGGCTTAATAACAATTTAATCAATAAAGCGAGCCACGATTTCAATGAACGCACATTATTTTCGAGACGCTGAAATCAAAAAGAGTAATTCTTTCATAAATTCTTTCGTAAATTATTTAAGAAGTTCCAGGCCCGTAGCCAGAATTTTCCAAGGGGGGGTTCACTTTTCCATAAATTCTGGAGGGGGTTCACTTTGGCAAATTTGGCCAAAAATCACAAGCCAAAATTAGTCAGAATGGTGAAAAACTGTATGATTTTGAAATAAATTTTGGCCAGGGGGGGGGGGTTCGCCCGAACACCCCGAACCCCCCCCCCCCCCCTGGCTACGGGCCTGAGTTCTAAAATTGTATTTGTGTTTTAAACAACTTTAATACATGTACTAGTAATAGGTTATCAGGTGGGGTCGGACGTCTCATTTTGAAAACCTTTCGTCTTTCTTTACATTGTTTCTTAAAGTGATGATCTACGCAAACGTGTAGTGTTTTTGACAGAACGTGGAGTTCAAAGACCCTCCATGAAAAACACACTATGCGCAACAAACCGACGCCGTTTAAAACATAACACCTGGCGTGTCCGTTCGTTTCGCCTTAAGTGAGAATCATCGCACTCTTAAGGCCCCTGCTTTCTTGAACATAAAAGGAGACGAGTTGAAATGTTTTCAAAAATATCTTGTTTTTGTCATTCCATGTCATACTTGTTTTTAAGAAATCCCATTGGATTCTGATTTTATTATCGAAGATCATCCTTCGATTTTTAAGATTAACTAATATCAGGCACAATTTTCAATTATAATGGATTGAATGTTTCATCAATGGTAAAGAACGTTAACATTTGACTAGATATCTCGATTCTTCTTCCAGAAAAGTACATTTAGCGTAATAGTGACACTGGTATGATTTTTAAAAGACTGCTCCATTCTTCACGATCAGCGGTCACTGTCTCATTTGATAAACTTCTATGAAGTTTCTATTATAGACTCTTGGTTACTATACTACTGACCATGGTATCTGTAAACGTACACTAAATCTGAACACGGCGACCACCAGTGATTTGTTACATACGTCTCTAAGTAGAACAGATAGGGTAATTAGGACGAGGGTAATTAATCAATTACCAAATAGATTACCAAAGTCATAAATAAAATATTACGTTTTTCAATCGAATTTTATCTAAAGTATAGTTACTTTTGTGATATAACACTTTTCGCAATTGACGGCTAACTTAACTGAGATAAATTGTATCCGTTTTTCCCCATTCATAAAATCGCACACTGATCATTGTTTTATCCTCAAGGGCGTTTAGAGAACATTTCTGAAGATTTGCGAGGAGATTGGGATCCTACTATTTTGGAGATAAGTGTATTATTGTATGGATAATTAAATCCAATAGGCATTTGTTTGATTATATGAGTCTAGTAATAGTCTGGTGTGTGCAATGTTTTGTACGTACGATAGTCCTATCTCTGTAATTGAAGACACGGAGTCCTTTCTTCTGGTTTCAGTAACAATGTGTCTAAATGACTGAAGTAAAAGGTTGGTTTCGATGCGAGACAGAGAGTATCCGACCAAAACTTCTGGCATACTAGAATAGTATTATTATATGAATCTAAGTAGCCTAGCTGTCTCCAAGCGAGCCCTACAACCCAGAGATGAACAGCGTGCCGGAAGCCATATATATCATTAACTATTTTGTGTCATTAGTCACTTGTATCTCAACCCTTTGTCATCAACCATTTGTACATTTGGCCTTTTCTGCCACCAACCGTTTATGTCATCAACTATTGTCATCAAACAGTTTTGTCATTTTTGCCATCCTTCACTCGTGTCATCAACTATTTGTGTCATCAATTATTCTGCTATCGGTTATTTATAAAATCAAGCATCTGTGTCATCCGTTGTCGGCAACCATTGTCGTCATTTGTATTTCAAGATCTTTGTTTTACAAAACGCGACCCTATTTGTAAAACATTTTCATGAAGAAATAACCATTGAAAGTCATTTGATCTAGTTTTGATTGCACCGCCATCTTTCAATTCATTTCATATATTTTCAATAACGTGATATTAGTACAGAGTTAATATAATGAGATCAGCATTATCTGATCAGTATCTTCCTCCGAGCGCAGGCAGTCCACGATCCAGAAACTCTTCTTTCTCTCTTTGAGAAAGTAGCTCTGTGAAGCTCTTTCATCTGAAGATGGATCTTAATTCATAGTCCTACTTCTACACTTTTTTTGTATCTCTTGGATATACATGTAGGGTACTCTATAGCTATTTTAATGTTTTGCACAATAATTCTTAGTACGAATAATAAGATGTATTTTGGATTAGAACAAGGCGAAATGATCAAGTAGATTCAAAACAAATTTCCGGTAAATATTACCTGATCATAGCGATTAAAATGGTGACCATAATTTGAAAATAATAATTAAAGCTAACTAAACACACCAAGAAACGACACTTGTCAAAACACCCGCGCCGATTTCATCCATAATACAATGAGAAATGCCCGAAAGTCAACCCCCCCCCAATGCCTTGATTTGTATGACAAACAATGTATAGGAATCTGTCCAATGAATACTGAGATAATATTCACTTCTTCAAAGAGAAATGAAGGTAAGCAGACGACAGATGAAATACAAGTGTAATATGAGGAATGAGGCAGAACCAGAGACTCTCCAGGAAAGTGACCCACTGACAACCTCTTCCTAATTTATTACCATTAAGACTGTGTCTGGTTTTGATTCGTTGGTTATAAAATCTGGATTTCAAAACTGCCTACGTCTGCGTGACTGTCATTTTATTAACAGTTGTAAATAAAGTAAAGTATCACTTTCAGAACTGAAAACAGCATATTCTTTGAGTGATCGTGATGCTATGAATCAAGTGAAACGGTTGCCTGGAGCCAATAGGGTTGGGGGGGGGGTAGGCGGTTCTAATTTTGCAACTACAAAAACAGAAGCAGTAATATATCACTTGTTGTTACAAAGATTGTCCTTCTAGTGCTATATGACTGCTTGGGTCTCTCCATGTTTTCCCAGGTTTTTGCAGCCTTCTTATAATTACTGCCAAATTCATCCTCCGGGATTCATTCACAATGATGAATAATTTGATTTGATTATTTGAAATTACAGACGGACAGCATGTGATCTTAGGTTCTATATCACAACCCTGGGCCTAAAAGGTTGGTACCTAATAGGATAAATAGGTTAGCATATCTAAAAGCGTTAAGTCCACAGTTTGAAAGTAAAATGGCAAATAGGCATGAAGTAGCAATAATAAATGTAAAGATGAGCACACCAATGGTCAGCCGACATTTAGATACAAGTATGCACAAATATAAAATCAGTAATATTGTATCCATGGATAAGGTCTGGGGCCAAGGAATAAGAAATGAAAGGTTCCAAATTAAATATATTTTATATAACATGTTGAGTTGTTTATTTATAAGTTGTGTACTGTATTTGTATATTCTCCAGACAATAGACGAGACTAAAGCTAAAAACGATGGGGAATTATAGATCTTAGTCTAACCCCTGGAGTCTAACACAACAAACGTGATTTTAGTTTTTTTATTACTGCATTTCCGGGCCTTAGAATACGATGTTGCATGTCACCACCCGAATGCCTGCATATCTGTAATTTTCATTAGATTAGCATTTACTCTAAAAACATTTGATCCTTTCTATCAATTGAAAAAATCCGAACTTTTATGTGGCATAGCTACATGTACTCTACGTTCCTGAACGTTTATTGATTCTAGAAATATCCTCTATAGTCTGGATTTAGAATGCTTAGCAGGTGAATTTTGAAGACTTTTGCATCGACAAAAACTAAGTGTTATTTATGATTTTTCTTTTTCATACATTCGTACACCCCCCTCCATAAGTTTGGCAACCTGAAGTTTAATTTGAAAGCGTGATACCCATCCTATTTACATATATGTGAGAACATAAATCTTGTTTCTAACTTTTTCAATCGGTCGAAAACACTTTTTAAATGATATCAAAATACATTTGGTGAGTTTATTAAAATCGTCAAACAAATAGGCTACAACTAGTATTACATGTGGTCCGAAAGTGAACTCCTTGTCAAACTTTTGGAGGAGGGTGTACTCCTGATATGATAAGGCAATACAAGTACATGGTCAAATTGTCTCCGATCAGAGAGGAGCTCTTTGTAGAGATACACACTACTTGATGATAGCGCGCTCCTACTTCCCAGATCGGACGTTTTTCACTTATAGACACAAGTTTAGCCAAATTAACTTCACCTCACTTATGCTATCTCTAACGCTCTTCTATACTTCAATGGAGTCTACTTTGTTTGTTAGTATAGAGATGAAGCTTTCTAGGTTCTAGATACATCTATCACAACAGATATTGGGGTCATTACATTACATTAGGACTAATTACTCAAGTTAGACAACTAGAGATAAGTCCTCGAGTCTAAGAATACGCTCCAAGTCTCAGTGATGTAATGTAAGCTGTGCATTGCATTGAGGGACTTTGTGGGAATCATTTGTAAAGGCACGAGTTGTTGCTGAGGATTTCAGTCTCATAAGCACTAGGGCGCTGGCCCCGGGGAGACCGAAGTCTCAAAATATTGATATTATCAATGACGCCCTTTGTATTTGTAATCATGGGCGTAACGATTTTAACATTCAGACGTTTATCAAATAAAACTGCAAATGAAGTCCAAAAAATGATGTACCTCATTTAACTTTTTAAATTGTTTTGTTTCATATTTTTGTCCTGGTGACGCTCTTCGTATTGTACTACATCGCTTTGAATTGCATTGTATGATGCGAATTGCATTGCTTTTTACTGTATTATATTGTACATGTATTGCCTGCATTGCATTGTATTCTATTGTACATTATATATTGCATTACACTATATGCATTGTATTGAATCGTATGGATTGTATTGCACCATATTGCAATGTATGTATTGTATTACATTGTATTGTATTATATTGCACTATATCGCACTGAAACAATCAATTGTTGACTATTTTTCGGAAGCAACTGTGTTATGTCACTGAAATGATTGAAATCAAATGTGTATCTTGATGCACTTTAATACAATGCAGTGCATTACAATACATTACAATGTTACACAATATGATACAATTTAAAATGCAGTCTTGAGTTTAATGTGTGGCTTAGAAATGTTACCCATCATGTTTTCGAAAGCACACATTTTAAAGTCATACAACATGTCTTGGTTCGATCGTTTCTCAAAATTGTATTTCTCCTTCCATCTCCTCCCATTTCTCTATCCAGTACTTCTTATCGAGTAACTATTGAGAGGAAAAGTTACACGTATATGAGGGAACTTGAACGTAAACGTGTAAATATCATAACCCCGGGAATGTTGGGGACCTTTTCACAACTGTTTTCCTCACACCAACACACTCAATTGGGCAAACCTAGGATGAAGAAATGAATAGTGCTACAACATGTCTTACTTCGTATATATTAAACTTGTATTTCTCCCTCCAGTATCCAGTATTTCAAATTTCTAGAAAATAATTTCTAGAAAGGTTATGTTACACCTATATGGGAGAACTTTAACGTAAACGTGTAAATGTCATAACCCCCGGTAATGTTGCCCACCTAAAGTCAATTGGTTGAAATGGGGTTCATTTCTTCATCCTAGGGCAAACAAAGGCCAGCGAGATTCCGTAATTGTACACGTTTCACGTACAGGTTCTTCAAAACAGTGCTAACTTAACCTCCCTATTGACTAGCCAAATCAAATCATTCATAACATGGTTTTAAGATTGTGCAACATTGCATAGCTATTTTTTATTCAATTTCATTGATTTTATACAATACGCATGTATACAATATTATATAATATATACATTATACCCTGTCTTCCATGATATGCTCTACATGTGTTACACACCAAGTACAATAATCTAAATAGCTTCTTATGTACAACTAGGCTGACTGAATAAGTACGCACTGCCATGGGGTAGCCAGGATGCAGCAATAGGCGAGGCAAATAAGCCAAGATGAGGCAAATAAGTTAAAGAAAGGTAAATTAAAATAGCCGAGGAAAATATGACATTATACTCATCTAGGATATTAGTAATTTAGTCTAAAATTTCTAGATTTTTTTTGTAAGATTTTGATCACTTGCCTCGCCTGCCTCATAGCTAGCAGAAAACTATATTATATCGACTAACTATTATACCAACAATCTGAGTCTTTCATATAAAGTTTTCTTTTTTGTAGGCCATCCATGTATATTTTAGGGAGAGGTGTACACTGTCTGGTAGATACACGACTAGCAAAAACTCATTATCCTGTGTTAAAACCCTTTCGATAGCTTATAGTTTCAGCTATAAAGGGTTAACCCTTTTTGTATGAGTCTTGATCTGGGGAGTTTTTAGTTTCCATTCGAAGTGAACTCTGTGAGTGTCATATGGGCAATCTATAATAACTATTTAGGCATTAATGTCTGAAAATTATTATGCATGTAAATTAACAAATACGTATGGCAGCCTGAGTAACACTGACAGCATTTAATATAACAATAGTAACTTATCAATTAACATTTCCAACCGGTAGTTTGACGATGATAATGGTTATTATGAGAATGGTATGGTGTTCTATAAGTGCTGTCTAATATTACGCAACGTGTACAAGAATAAAGGTCCATGTGCAGTATGGCAAGTGATTTTAGACAGTCATATCTTTCACCATGAGTAATTTTTATTAAAACAATATATTTTCCTTCAAGTGGAGTACCCATGATGATAAAAATATCAATCGGACAATTCGAAAAAGTATGAATAGGGACCCCATGTCAACATTTTTTCAAAATATTGAACCTATTTACTCAAAAGAGGATCTCCCTTTTCTGATTTTTATTGCATGAAAAGATTATTCAACAAGGGGTCCAAAACATCTTGAAAAAATATTATTGTATTGAAAGTCTAGTTTTGAAGATATTAATTTTCGATGACCAAAATTATGCTGAAAACAAATAAAATCACTTGCCATACTGCACGTGGTCTTTTTGCAATATGACATGTCATTATATTTTCCACCATGTTTTCTGTGTAGTTGTTGACTATTCTACTTGCATATTGGTTAATACAGTTTTCCCCTTCTCGGCACATCTTTTAAATTATTTCTAGTATAATAGGTCAGTCCAATATATACATAATATTGCATAAAGAGTGCAGCAGCGTCGCTTCCTTATGATTGTGACGTCACTTTGTTTCAGATTTTAATTGGTTATCACCTTGCTTCGTAATTATTATATCCTATAGGGTTGGGTCGAGGGTATATACAACTGGTCCCATTCACCCTGCTGTGATACGCCGGGTAGTCCATATTCCGACTGTAAGGATTGGGTCTATATTTCGCCGCGGAGAAATAATTGTCACTGTACATGGGATAACTTTGGAAATAAGTGTCTGTTGCATAAGTTGTCTGTGGCATAAGTTCAGTAGTTGATATTCCTCCGCTTTGGGGAGATCCCATTGGACTAGTTTGACCTTCTTGTTTTGGCTCTGAAAAAACAAAAAACAACATTGGTTAAAGATTTATGGCGACATAATTTCTAATATCCGCCTTTTCTCCATATGTATTAATTAAGTCTGCACGTTGTCAACATTTTATTAGTGTTTAGTTTTTACACCAGGTTCCTGATCCAGGTTCTGGTTTGACTGGGGAAGAGTTACACACAATTTTGTTTTATGGAACAAAAACAGAAATACACATGTATTTTGCATTATTGTTATTGCATTTTCTTGTAAATGAACAGCTCCATAGATTTCTAAAACATCGAACGTTTCCTTACGAATGCCAACGATCTGTTAATTCAAAATATTCACAGTTGCTGCAACGCAACATACATGCTCTTAATATTCATAAGTTTAAATTAACAACATATATGTATCTAGAATTTATAAAATATCAAATGATCGACGCCCTCAAAATGGATCGAAAAATGTGCTGTAATACTACGAACAACCTATGATTTATGAATTATGATACTCGTGTTTATCCAAGAACGGATAAAAAATTTCTATTTTGACATGATATCCTAGGTTACGAAAATCACAGTAACTAAATGAATAAACGCACGGAGCACACCGCGTCTCGAACTCGCAACCTCTTGGTGACGGCACCCAATCGCCTAGCCTGAACGTGCCTGGCGCCTAAGCCCTCTCGGCCGACTCGACAACCCAAAAAAGGTTAGTCATTCAAAAATTGGCAAAACTTACCTTTATCGCTAAGGTTTGAAGAGGACGATGACCGCGTTCTGTGCGTGAGGCCCAGGAGTTGTAGAGAACTTGGTCGATGGTGGCTGCGTGGCTTTTGTGTGGGAGACATGTGGTTCAACACTTCAACAACACTGGAGAAAAATAAAGGACAGCATATTATGCACTGTTGTAAAATAAAGCACAACATATTATGTACTGTTGTGAAATAAAACACAATATATTATGCATTGTTGTAAAATAAAACACAACATAATATGCAACGACGACGCCCATGACTTACAACGTCAATATAAAACAAGGCATCACCATGGGCAAAATAAGACTACCTACAAATGATTACTTTAGTGTAACAATACATCCCCGCGGTGTATTGCTGGATTGTAATAAAAACAATATTTTTCAAAATAAGATAAGTGAGAGAGAAATTATATTCCATAAGATATAAATAATTGTTATACAACATTTTATACAGCAAAGAATCAATTAAGAGTTGAGATCCAAATGTTAATAGTTTTAGAAAAACGAAGTTAAAGGAGGGGGGAGGTGAATCAATGGTAAAAATGTTGCTTTTTTGAAATTCAAATTAAAGCAAATCAAACTATTCAAATTATATTATAGGGGGAGGTCTGGAGATTGATAGAGTTCATTTCTTATATCTCTAAAAGCAGTTTCGTTCGTTGCGTACATGTACATTGTACCTCACGACGAGGCATGATTGCACTGAATGAAATACTAGATTTCATGTTCATTTCTCTACAAATATCAACATTTGGACTCAACCTCTAAGTCGCATGCAATCATGAAAGAACCTCACCAGTCATCCGGATCACAGTCCCTAAAGCCTTTAGCAAATGGATTGCTCGCAATTTTTAACTGGGTTATCTGGAAGTAAAATATACAACACTGAAACTCAAAACTATAAAATAAAATTACGATACGATACCAAGCGACAAGATACGAAACTACAAATATAGCATGCTATATTACATTTAAATGTCATTTAAAATTTTCGTTTTCAAAAAACAACACGTGAATATGTAATTTACATGTACATTTAGAAAACAAAAATTACAGAAAAACACAATTATCCGTATCAAAATTAAATTATAAATATTACAGATTCACATCACATCAAAAACTACGGTATGTTAATTTAGAAGAAAAATGCTGTTGTAAGACAAATGACTGATAAAGATGTTGCCGAAAATAAACGATGTGGTTTTCATTTAAAGTCCATCTTTTATACATCAAGCTTGCGGCAATAGTTGGGATTTATGTTTCTAGTTTTACAATCAATTGTGTTAACATGTAGAGCAATACAGTATGTTTCCATCGAACATTAAAATTAAAATGATCTCCAATATCTTCCAAAATATTTCTAACTTTTTGGCAATCAATGCGATAAGTTGCGCTTCACTGTTAATTGCATTGTTAGTTATTATGGCAAATCATCATCAATACAGGTACAAGAAGAAAACATCGATTGTATGGAGCCAAAATTTAATAAAATAAGAAATAAGTAAAAATACCATTAAAATGAGGGACAAAATATAGAGTTTCCAATAGCACTTTGGTACGTTTCATATGTTTAGTCTGTACCAAATAAGGATGAACATTTATAATTTCTTAATTTAAAAAAGCATTTAACTTTCGTTGGACAAGACGCTAAGGCATTTTCACACAGCAAAAACGAAACATGAAAACGATAACCTGTTTCAGTTTCAAATCAATGTACAGGAAGTGAGACAAAGAAAATTCAACAAGTGATCAATCAAAGACCTGTCCGCACGATCTCCCTCCTGCTCCTCGTGCTCAATAACCCTTTGATGAATACATCAATTCCAGCTAACATGGATCGCAAAATAAACACACATGCTCAGAAATTATTTCAGGCTTTGCAAGTAGAATAAGATGTTCACAGTCGTGAAATAACTAACTGCGAACAAGACACAAGGAGAGTTAAATTAGCATTCATCTTTGATCTGTTTCAACTCGACCAAGCTCAACCACGAACGCGGCTGTATCATTCAGATTGAATGTATTGCCAAATGGTTATTTCCTTTTTGAATGAGAAATTTAGGAATTTAGGTTCCTAGTTTCAATTTCAGAATCAGTGTTAGCTTGTATTCGTGAATGCTACTTTCGGGTGTCGGCGACCGGATTAACCTACTATTTTAGGGCAACTCATTAAAATATGAATAGTATCTGCTATTAATCCATTCATATTTAAATGATTTGGTCATTAAATAGTAGGTTAATCCGGTAGCCAACAGCCGAAAGTTGCATTCACGAATAGCTATTTTTGATAAAACATGTGATGAAAACAAGGCAAACATCAGGTTTGTAATGTTTCAAAAACTCTAAAACGTTAAGAGCCATCTTTTACACATCCTATATAAATCAGTAACAATGGACAATCTTAGAACAAAGAAAAGCTTTAACTTTTGATAAAGACCATGACATAACGATATTCAAACGAGACTGTGTCAGAAACTGAATATGGCCGAGACGTGCGACAAAAACCACAAACCCAAATAACTTTATATGTACTGATATGTATAATCTACGTTCTACCACAATCAAAACCAAGTAACAAAGCTGTTATTTTGCTCATTCTAACTGAATATGAGATCAGATCCAATGTATCAAATATGTAAAAAGACAATTGTGTTGTTTTTCATTTTCGTACTGCATACAAATCGGTACCCCGATCATATGTGCTCATATACGATAGCTCAGAAAACTTTGCAAAATCCTAATATTTTTACGTACACACAGGTCTGTTTTGTTTGATTTTTGTGGCTTGCTCTTGTGACCAAAATATGGCCTAACAGCAGGTTTGAAATAAATAACTAAGTTGTATATTTACCCTATGGTTTTGATATGCTGTCACTGCCGTAAACTTTGTTTCTGGGAATACATAGGTTTTGAAGTTCTCCAACTGGGTTGTGTCCTCTGTTTTTGGGGCTACGTAAACCACATGGAACCGAGGCTGGTATTTGTGCATTGAGTTTAATATCATCTGAAAAATATATTAATGAATAAACACAAGGAGCACACACGTCTCGAACTCGCAACCTCGTGGTTACGGCGCCCAAATCGCCTAGCCTGAACGTGCTGGCGCTCAAGCCCCTAATGTATTGCAATGTTGATTGAAGTTACATAAAGAAACAACTCAAACAACCAACTGTAATAGACACCGACAGAACCCGTAACTATACATTACGTAAATGTCATGGAAACTGATGTGTAAGGAAGACAAATGTTTGACATGAAGCACAATAAATCTTGAATCTTTATTTTTGCTTTATGTAATTTAAAGTCCCAAACCTATATAGTGCATAAAAATCAGTCCTTAGACATAATAATGATTTCTAATAACTGTCACATTTTAGATAAAATTTGAAAGCTCTAAATTTTTAACTTTGTAACTTCTCCTATTTATACCTTTGTAACACTATTTGTTTGATGAACCCATTTGGAACTATTTGAGAACTTAATTGTGATTACTAATATAAGTTCCTATAAATAAGTAAGATTAACTTATTTGAAGGAATATTTCATTTCGGACTGATTTATTTTATATTTTTGTTATCAAACGCCCTGATATATCACAGATGTACGTTTGGAATTTAATTGTGTACCGCGCATGCGTCATCAAGTTTGGCACGGCGCATATTTCTGTCATTACATAAGTAAAACAAAAGTTTAATATAAACAATCAAGCGAACCATCAATATTTATCCCTTCTCTAAAATATTAGCTTTATGTTTATAAACATTTGAATCTCAATTTAGTCGTAGGCGTCAAGTGCAATGAAAAATTACAGGATTTTAGACCATGATATCAATTTGTACCAAAAATAAATTCACTCCACAATTCCAGATAAATACTGGATATATCTCGAATTGTACTCAACTATAAATCAATTTACTGATTATTTTTAGAGCAAGTTTTGTTTTTAATCCGTTTGGAAGTAACATTAGGCAGTTTACAAAATGTATTAATTATTGTTATCATTGACTCGTTTATATTGTTATTTCCTCATGGATAACATCAGTTTAACATATAAATCGTGAATGATATCCTTTACTTGTGCAACAATTTCAATAATTCTATATTAAGATAGTCTAATACAGACGACGCTCTCTTGGTTCCACGACAGTATACTATTAAAAATCTATTAATTAATAAATATTTGAGTCTAGGAGCAAGTCTACCTTCAATAGTTCAAATTACTTCGTGAAGAAACAATTACATGTAATTTTGGACTATCACGAATCAAATATAATTCAACGCATTAGGACTACGACAATATATTTCTATAAACTGATCGAAAATATGAAATATTTTTTTAAGTGGTAGGTTTTCTTATACGAAAATTTTAAAATAAACGCACTATTTAAAAAGTATACTAATCCAAGAGCTGTCTTATATGGATGCAGTATACTAAGTGTAAAAAACTTTAATGTCTGCCGTATTGGTATATCAATCCCATCCCCTCTTCAAAAAACAAAAGTCTTGAATTTAAACTACAAAAACCCATAGTTTGATCATATGAATATCTTACATGTCCGTTGTCGTCCAACTGATTATTTGTAAGCTTGAGTTTATCAAACGAAACTATTTGCTTCATCCACTGAGAACCTTTCGTTGGGGAGTCAGGATGGACGTGTATCCTTCCCGGCATATGAGGGTCAGCTTTGCCCGCCACTACCCAATTAGAACTGTGGAACGAGTAGCGATATCGTTTGTCGTCAACAGGAACAAAGTCCAACATGAGCATATAGTCCGACATTGGGTCAAGACCGAATAACCGCACTTGGAAAGTCGGAAACATCCGCCTGAAAATATAAAATTTAGATTATTATTTTTTATCATTTTTATTATTCCAGGGAAAATATATTAAGACAAAGGTTACATATTTAGTTATTATATTGATGTCGTGTATTATTTTACAACGATATAAATTTAAACAATTTTGGCATTAACGGGAAATTCCAGTACATAATAAGTTTAAATATTAATACATGGTCTATTTGAAGATTGGTCGAATTATCGCTAGTATTGATATCAATCATAGAGATTTTGACAGGTTCATGTCCATTTTCTCGGACTTTCAATAACTTGAAAATATTTTCAAGCAATCAAAAATAAGAATCTGAGACTATGTAATCTACTGGTTTAAAAATCTAATTTCATTTCTAACTTAAACTTTAACTATCTACAAACTAAAACTGTGCATGTTAAATATAGAGAGTCATAAAAATTGTTCTTCGGATTTTTTACTTGAGTCATGATGCAAGATTTTACAATTAAAAACATTTCTTAAATGCTTTCATTTAACATTTAAATAATTACTATAAATTTCTATACTGCAAGGGATATTGCTATTCCGTTTGCAAATATAGTCCTTAAATTTCTATAAAATGCTATGATTGAATAATTTCATTAGTTCTATTTTCCAGTACCTTTCATGTTTTTTTCAATTTTCTAGTCCCTTAAACACCGTTCTCGATAATCCAAAGTTCAAGCTGATAATTTCTTGCTTTCTTTTAACTTTTGATAAACACTCGCTATGAATAAGTTCCCATGCTCATTTTACAGTTTTATCTGAGAGCAAAATATGGGTAATTTTATTAGGTGACGCTATGTAACTATAGAATCATCCATCAATTAATGGACACGTCTGGACAGGATCTATGTTTATTGGTGCTAAATAAAAGTATAAGAATTCACCAAACTGCAACCAGATCCTACCGTGGGGATACTTACCGATAAGGCGGAGTGATATATTTAGGTGTGGCGGACTGATATAGATGTAAAGTGACAAAAGTTTAGGTTAGATACAATTTGAAATGAAAAGTTCAAAGGTGGAATGGATAAAATGGGATCAGGTTTACAGAGAGCTATTGTTTTTTAGAGTCTGACAAAAACCATACCAGTGTAGGATCCAAGAACGCAAAATGTCGTCTGCTCGCGCTTATTTCATCAAATTTCTCTTTAAAATTTGAATAAACTATTTAGTTTGAATGGATTTTTGCACAATTCAACATATAGCTGTTATGTCTATGTACTTTGATCGATTCAAATTTCCCTCTTTTAAACGCTATTTCGCATTTCAAAACATGGCCACCGTGAAATTTTACCCGCGAGACTTCTCACGGATAAGACGGACTCGATCCCACACATATCGACTCACACTTGCCATATTATGTCAACTCTCAGAAGACACTGTTTACATCCCATCAATTCGTGAAACAAATATACGGGCAAATATAGCACTAAGATGCCTTGAGTATTGAGTTAGTCATTATACAACTCCAAAATTTCTTTCTAAAGATTTGACCCATAGCGCAAGACAGCACCCCAGACAACTCAAGCATACATGGCATTGAAATGTTTATTGTAATTGCATATTCAAGACGTAATGTTACATTACAAGGTGGCACTGATATCTCAAACTATATCATAATGTGTGGTCAAATGCCAGGGGTTTCATAGGGTTCCGATTGGACGTCAGAAATTCACCACTGATTCACCTGTAAGCATAGCACTAATTAACGGTAATTGAATAGAGGGTGGCTTGTTTTTAAAACACTTAGACATATGGCAAATGTATGAAATGTTGGTAGATAAATAAAACATTACCAGGCTAATGTGGCGTAGTGTATCAATTCGCTTTCGCACTGTTTTTAACGACAAGCACATTTCTGTTGAAACTTTTCCTTTGAGACTTTTTAGACAATGTGGAAGGCTTTTCATAAAAAATGATGCTCTTGCATATTTTTAGTCAGTATCTGTTCGTCCAATAAATCCCAACTCAACAAATGCCAATTTCAAATAGGGTGACATTTAAAATAATATGGTTGGATAGAATAGATGGGTGGGGCATTGGTAGAATTGCCCCTTTTAAACGTGCTTATAGGTGGACATCGTACAAATAATTAACATACACAATGATAAACAAAATGTAGTCATTTCACCAAATAAGCTGAATTTTCGATTTCTTCAGTTATCACTTCCTCACCTTCCTGCTTTTGTGACGATCATCTCCGTCCCCAATCGATCAAACTCCGACCACAACGTTTTCATCTCGAGCTGCGCGGTTACGTTTGCTAACTTTGGATGGACAGGTTTCTTCGGTTCATCCGACTCCTGTCCGGCCGAGCCCGGGCCACCGCCGCTTGTTGTTCCCGTGTTGACGGTGTCATCGTCGTTCTTAGTAGGAACGCTGGTTGTTTCTGTCTTGGTGGCAGCGGTGTCAGTAGTAAAAGAATCCAGGGATTGGATGCATGATGTTGGAGTAGTGTCGCCGTATCTGGGCGGCTCCTGGAATGGCCTCCCCGTCCCTGCTTGTAGTAGACATGCTGCAAAGCACGCAATGCATAAAGTTGATAATTTATCTGTTAAATGAGCACTTCACAAATCAGAACTGGACTACACTGTTACTCATGTATCTTGAATATAGGACACTTGACAAAAAGTGCACTTTCTTACCTGTACAGGTATGCCAATTATTCAAGTTTAAGTTGTATGAAATATGCAAAAATGATTGTCCAAAAATATCCAATGAAGGAAGTTATTCTAGGAACCTGTAACCAGAAAACATTTCTACCAGAATATTTAAAAATTCATTGTATTCAGATGAAGTAAAAATTGTTGGTAGTTATACAGGTGTTTTGTGTGGAGATTTTAAATTGAAAATTTAGAAAATCTCCATTTATAAAATTTGAAAGCACTATGATTGATGAAATCAATTGTAAACATAGTTGAAAGTATTCCATATATCTGAACAACGGTGTATATTAGATATAAACAATTTATTAGAGTGATGAACATTCAGAGAACAATACGTAAATTTCAGGCTGTATTTTATTAATTGCGTTTATTTCATCTATTGTTTTCATCACTTGTTTTTTTGAAAATAATCAAACGTTTAAAATTGTATTGCTTTCTTTTAATTTTCTAAATAGGCACTTTAAATGTGTTCAATAAGATTGTTGCTATTTCTCATGATTTTAACTACTGAATTCAAAATTGGTTCTTTTTCTGTTCCGGTCACAGCTGCAAGAATGATATAATTCGTAAACAGAAATCAAGAGCAGTGATCAACAATATTCTGTTATCAACTTATTTGGAACGTATGACCATTCATTTATAATAAGTTAATATTATACATGTATTCTCATAGTTTGTAGTTCGTTTTTAGTTAGAGAGTATAGTTTGTACATGGACTTATGTGTCATGCTTTGGCCTTTTGTCAATAAAAGACTGAAAAGAAAAGAAAAAATTAAAATCATCAATTGATCATTTGTTATAGACAAAACAATGTTAGATAAATAATTCACAGTTTTTGAGTCATCATCCTTTCCTTATTTGTCTCCAATTTTATCAAATGTCCAAATGTTATCGCTTCATTTTTGATCTTCATGATGTAATACAGCGGTTTATCGCCGATACCATATAATGCCGTCACCCTACACCACGTGAACAATCGCAACTATTTGAATATATGGATCTTCGAGAGACCCTCGACCTTTCATTTATAAATGAGACATCGATGCCCCTGTAATATCAAAAATCCCTTACTGTTACATTATAAGCCTGCCATATTTCAAAACGTAAAATTCCTTCAATACATTTTGAGTTAGCAGTGGGTACATTGTCATGAACTTTGCATTGGAATGGTCAGGTATATCCAAAAAGGAAGAGTCCCATGGTTTTAAATGAAATATTTAGAGTAATATAATAAAATCCGCATGTGGATGATGAAATCTTAGTTCCGGGCCTTGTCTGAGCATTTGTCGGGAATGCAGGCAAGAATTCAGAACATTTGTGTTGTGATAAGCGCGAAGAACAATTTGTGTAGTTACACGTCATTAGTAAGTTCTCCTTTAGATACACCATTTATCTTTTCTTTCTGTGAAGCAATAATTCAATACAGGATTTAATTTTTGTTTTCATTTCTTATTAATATCGTTATTTCGTGGTTGTTATTTTTTCTTTTTTTTATTTAAACTTTAATCTATTCAGTTTTACCAATTTCATATTTGTTTAAGCAATATTCTTCAAAGTCAGTTACATGTACTCGTATGTGTGCACACTCACACATTACAACCATACAATACAACTTTACAAATCACAACCTGGTACAATCTAACATTGTACAACCGTGCATGATGTAATCAATGTTACCCTTTATAACGCAACGGATGAATGCCCTATCAAAGTTCAATGAACTGAAAACGTCAAATGATGATACGGTAGCACACTTTCCACGATTGCGCACTTTTTGTGAAATATAAAATAAGTCATTCCAAAAACTATAGTATTCGGGTGAAGAGCAGATACAACGTGAAAAATTCCAATAACTTTTTATTATTTTGGTGAAGTGCAGATACAACGTGAAAACTTCCAATAATTTTTTATTATACGGGTGACGCGCAGATACAACATGAAAACTTCCAATAACTTTTTATTGTTCGGGTAAGGTGCAAGATACAACGTGGAAACTTCCAATAAGTTTTTATTGTTCGGGTGAAGCGCAGATACAACATGAAAACGTCCAATAACTTTTTATTATACGGGTGAAGCGTAGATACAACATGAAAACTTCCAATAAGTTTTTATTGTTCGGGTGAAGCGCAGATACAACATGAAAACTTCCAATAACTTTTTATTATACGGGTGAAGCGCAGGTACAACGTGAAAACTTCCAATAACTTCTTATTATACGGGTGAAGCGCAGGTACAACGTGAAAACTTCCAATAACTTCTTATTATACGGGTGAAGCGCAGGTACAACGTGAAAACTTCCAATAACTTTTTATTACGGGGTGGGGTGTAAGACTGTAATATACAACGTGGAACGTTTATTTTAAAGGCGGGCAACATTTGTAAATTTTCACCGGTATCCATAATGATAAATGGAATATCGGTACAGAAGGAAGCTAAGGATTATATCAAGTTTAACATAAGGACCACTTGGCTCGATAATTCCAGTGCTATAATTATCGAAACACTTATTTCATTACTTCAATACTGTTTTTACTGTGGATGTAGATTATAATTGACATACACAGACTTGAAATATACAGAAGCTAAAAAGAAGTAAGACAAACCACAAAATCTTTTCTCAGTTTTAACCTTAAATCCATTCTACGAGGGCTGATTAATAAGTAAAGGATTGGTGTATGAATTGTCTCCGTGCATGTATCTGTATAAAGAGCATTCTTTACTTATTTCAAGCATTCATCGTACTTAGCGTTAATTAGATTTAAAATCAAACTATTGTAGTTTCTCTCTACAAGGAGTACAAACAAAGTGCCATACACTAAATAAATCTATATGGCGTGTACCAATATACGCATACCATATTTTCATCGTTTGATTTCGGAGGGGAAGGGGCACCTTGCTTTTGCAACTTTATGCAAAAATATGTGGATTCAAGGTACAATACATGTATGTCCGAAGTGGCTGGTCAAGATACCAAAATTCACGGGCAATACCATCCGAGTTGGCTGTCTTTACTCGAGAGTTTAGAATTTTGACTCATTTACCACACTTCTCTATGTTGACGATCGATATTCCTAATATTTGAGATTTGCTAAGTGGCATTGTAAACTACTTGTAATGATCTACGCACGATCAGGAGAAGAATATAAAAAGCTCTAAATGTGACTCGTGGTTACAACGTTTTTCTTCATCTTAGACACGATCTACAAGATTGAATCTAGATATTTCTATACCCGTACGATGATTTATAGCTAATATATTTCTTTAAATGCTAAATGTTTATACTCATACTAAAAATACTCAAATAAATATACTTCTATATACGCTGATTTGCTTATGTATTTTTATTAACAATGATTGCTAATGTATCTCTATAAACGTAATGACTTATATATTCTATATACACTTATAATATTCTTTACACGTATTTCTACATAAACTGATAAACAATATTTACCCCGATTGTTTGCAATTGTTTGTACATGTACGTCTGTTTTCTATACATGTTGATCTTTTATGTATTTCTAATTTTCTATATAGACCGATTGTCACTATAGTTTTAATCCCAGAGTCTGATTGAAGTGAAGACATCAATGCAACCACCGTGCATAACTGACCTACGAATGTATTCTTGCATGAGGACTTTGAAAAATTAGACATGACAAGGAATAAAAATGTTTATCTGATTCTGCCTATTTCATGTATTGAATTGATTTTGCAAAGCGATTATAACTGGTGGGAATCTAGAGTCTAGTCCATCATACAATGACTGAACATTGAAGACCTGTCTATTATTTTCTCATTAGATTTCTCTGTCATGCCTGTTATTCCAATCCAAGAATCCTGCCTTCCAAGAATCCTTCCTTTATTTTACAAAATTCTTTGAATTAAAGGTTGCGAAAACACTGAGATTTCTCAACCCTAGCCCTAAACATATTCCTAAACCCTAAATCCCAATCCTATTCATAACCCCAAATCCTGACCCCTAACCCTAAACCTTTCAAATCTCTAAAGAGAATCGGAATTTCGCTCGGCCATCTCCGAATTTGTGGTTCCGATGCTCTCCATATACTGTATAACGTTCTGATATTCTATCAGATATACTAAAGTATCCAAAATATAAACTGACATTTACCCTCCACAATTCCCTAAAATCATTTCAGCCGAAATATGATGTGTTGAAGCAGTTTTGGATAATGGTGGCAATATGGTGAATGAGGTCAGGGTAATTATCAGTCCTTTAATGGCGGTCTGATGACCAACAAGTGCCCTGACGAGTACCATCAACACCAGGGATATCCACCCGAAATACATTAAAACACAAATACCATTGGTCAGTTTGAGTCACATGACCACGTCGCCATCATTGAAATATATCGTCCATCAATATAATCACCTTGATTAGTGGTGTATTTACACTGGGAAAAGTGAAAATTACTTGAGAAAGTGCGAAGTTTGTTCACGAGGCGTGTCGTATGTTCACACATTGTCCTTAAACATATTCAATTACTCTATGCTAGAATCGGCATGTATTTTATTGGAGAATTCCTTGAAATTTAGAAAATTTGCGTATTTGTTGCATTGAAGAGCATTATTTCAAAGTCGCAAAAACAAATTAAAGTTAAAATATTTTTGCCAAAAGCTCTGGTGGAAATGAAATCTATAATAAACGAGAATGCAAATAAAAAGTATACTGTTCTACTGAAAATCAAAATGCGTGAAGTTAAATACCCATATATTATTTGACCACGTGTATGTATTATGCAAATAGTCATTTGTTCCTTTGATTCATGCCATTGAACATAAAATATCTAATGATTACTTACAAGGATGAAAATAACAGTTATTTGTCTTCTAAATTAAGAACTGTTTACAATAATTTGATAAGACAATTTAAAATTAAAACGGATCCAATACGTATGAATAAAGCAAGTCTCATCACTTTTATGATTCAGCTTTAGCTAAATCTGGTGCATTTTACGGGCTGTTTTTCCCATTACATTGACACTATAATTACTTGAGCATGCAACTCTAAACAGATCAGACAGAGTTTCCGAAGTCAAAAACAGGTTTTGAGATAAGTCGACTTAGAACTCATTTTATATCTATTAAAGATATTTACAAACTTTAAAACAGATCCTGAAAACATTGGAAACAACGATCCAAAACATATGAAACCTATCCTAACTGAAATGAAATAGAACCGTACATCGGTAAATTACATTTTCGGTAAGATCAAAGGCTGATATTGTTTACAGGTGCTCAGTAAGTAAACAACAAGACACTAGGAAAAACATCGAATATTTATGAAGATATTTTCCTTATAGCAATTTAGGTACTTTATATTTCAATTTAGAGTTAGAATTTATGCCGTGTATTTATTTATATAAAGATCATTCGAAATGTTCTCTAAAAAGTCCAAGAATATCAATGGTAATTAAATTCTTCAAAATTTGAGCTGCATTCGTAATTGCACCGATAATTATTTTTGCTGCATTTGAAATCAATTCATTTCAGTTTGTAACTAACACGAGAGCATATTTTTAGAATTCTCAATAATTAAAATCAGTCTTAAGTTGACCAACCTCTGACATTTTAGAATTCATTTTCATTCAACATCAAATACTTTAACTTATATTTGATCAGTATTTTTTAAAGAATCAAATTAAAACTAGATAACAACGTTTATACTATCTTAATTTTTTGGATATATTATAGTGCGCTGATAACTTAAATTAGGTTTATTTGCTTGTTTGGATGTTACAGTGCGTCAAATCAAATTAAAATTATTATCCTGAAACGATGGCTGAATTTACATTTGGAGCCAAACTTGTCTGTCGTGCTACCGGATTACACAATTGTTCTCAGATCTTCTTTCCAAAGTCCTCTAATTAAACCCAAATGAAATGTGAATACCATTGCTCTACAAATCATTATGACGATGCTTATTTTAGTTATTGTGTCTTTAAATTAAATGAAATACTCAATTTTCTCAAATTTCTGTTCAATTTAGAGATTTATCCCGACGTCTGCTTACACTACAAAGCTAGCTACCTTTTTGGTCTAATATTTTCGCATTTTGAATAAAACTATTGTAGGATTTTATCCGTAGGTGTTTATGATTGATTCCCAAGTGTGTGCTATGTGTTTGGGTGGTTTATTCCCATCCAAGTCATTATTTCCAAGGCGACAGCTTGGACCTTCAATAATGTAAACACAAGTTGTAAAAACACATTCCTCACCTTTCTAACGTTGGGAAAACCTATGTGAAATGCTGTTTGGAACAGTATTTTAATTTTTCACATTTTCACACTTCTCGATTTAGTAAACAAAGTTTATTTATGAATATATTTGTTTGCTTTTGTTTATATAAAAAGAGAGTTAGGTAGCATACGTAATAGTATCTGGTCAAATGAAGTATTTTTAAATTAACAAATAAAGATATTAGTAGCTATATAATATAATCTTGTTAAATGAAATAAGTTTTCTAATTGAATCAGGTTAAAATCAATTGCTCAAATAATTATTCAAGTAAACAAAACCTGCCATCAATCCATACTTATTATAATATAAAATAAAAGTCTATCTATCTGAATTGTAAAACTAGAATAACCGAAATAACGATATATATATTATTTGTAACACGAACTTTGGAAATGCTATAAAACGTTTCCAAAATATGGCAATCTAAAATATTGTATTATTGAACCTTAAAATATCTTACATGTAAAAAAGACGGGAAATTGATACATATTTCAACAATATAATTGTCGATTGACTACAGAAGTGTATAACCAAACTTGGGTTTGCGGTGCAACACATCAGATGGTTCGCCACATCCAACTGTTCTCAATTATCAAAAAGATTTGTCAAAACATATGATTTATGTTTTTCCGAAACAAACCACATATTTCATAAAAGATTATCAGGAATTTCAAGGTGGAGTTTTAACCCGTGAGTAGTGAAGATAATACTGGTTTCGGCACAGCAATTTTTAGATGAACATTTGGGGGGCCAATGCCATTTTAATTGTAAATCCCAACTGTGCCGTTATTTCGTTCTCATTGCAAATACACTAACTTTGAATGATAACAGTTTCGGATCAGTTGAAAACTTTTATCGAATAGGATAAATACTAGGAGAATGTCGATAATTTTGTAAATTGAAACGATGACAACTTATGAACAAACATTTCAGTGAGTTTGATAATTTTATAAACATCACTTGGTGAAGCCAGTGAGCAATGTAGAGTCTCGTTGAAAGCTAACATCCACGCATGAATCACATCATCATTCACGTATGCGACAACCTATACCCGTGTGTTAGCTCAAAAAATTAATGAAGCACGACCGTTTATTTCATTTGGCCAGGGCTATCTTGCCAGATAAAGCCCAGCTGATTAAATTCTATTTTTCTTCTGACCCGTAGCCCCCTTGGTATAAAATAGTATATGGCTCTAGGTGTTGTATACGCCAGAGATTTTATGTAGCATGTAAACTCCAGATTTGGAAACATTTTGCGGCAATCTGGCCTGAACTTTATCTAGAATTGTGACAATAATTTGTAGGCAGCGTTAAAATTCCGTAACATGAACCAAAAGGCGTTCGAAAGCCGCCATTTAAAATATAAAAAACAACTTCCATGTTTTGAGATCCTAAAAGTAGGAATAACGAATATTAACTCACTACAAATGGTTTACGCAACTCGAAAACACATTTAATTAAATAATTCATGATTTTAAGTATATATTGACCCCCAAATTGTTTTATTTTATTGTTGAATACGCAAAGCTTGGATTTACACATTTCGTCATTAAAAAAGCATTAATCTCACTTTGAGAATGCAACATTGTCGACCTATTTATGCAAACTTGTAGCTTACCTTCCATAGTTTTCATTCCGGGTGTAAATCCTGTCTGAGCCCCCCAGTCGAAGTAACAGTCTGTTGAATATTGTTGTGGGACAACCCCATACCCCGAAACTGACGTCATATCCTGTTGTCCCGTGAGTGCGCCCGTAGACATGAGGTTCGCAATGCTAAATGATGCCGCTCTCGGCGACAGAGGATCCATGCAAACAGCAACTACTCCTACCCTCACAAAACTTTCAATATCAGTTCTTCTCAGATAAAACTTTACTCGTATCGCCACAAATTAGTTGCCTTAACTCACTGAGGGTGCAAATTCTCCGATAAGTCCGCCATAAAAATGACAAATGGCTAGACCACGCGCTGTTGCTTGAATAGCAGCTCTTGTTTAGCCTTATCTCTGCTATTTGATTCTTGCCTAGCTTGATACTAGTTTATACTAATTCATTTCTTGTTATCTCATCAAGTGAACCAATGATATGCCTACTTCTTATCAATTTGTGACCCCTAGGCCGTACCAGAGCCTGAACCACTCCAACACTCTCCAGGAATATGCAACTTAACAAGCCATTAATCTCCGGCATACGCCACACAATTAGAAACACTTCCCCTGCACGGAGAAAGTTATTTTGGCGGCAGATCCGAATTAGCCAATCAGAATCATACGCTAAAACGAGGCGGTGATTGATATGTCTGACTGGCACAAAAATCCCAAATTCTGTAAATTAATGTTTTGGTTTATGCAAAAGTACAAGCATAGCCCTGTCTGTTAATGTTGTAAAAATACTTGTCAATCTTATATATCCTAGTCAGTCATCCTGTTGATCTAGGCCCCGGTATTTAATGATAAACTATATAAGCATTGTCTGTTGTACTGTTATAGTACTACATATATACACTATACAGTCCAGCTTATTTCTTTTTTTGAGTTACTGTGTGTTATATAGCTAGTTCAACGTTTTGAAGAAAGTCATATGAGAATAACATGACACATTTGGGGTTTTCATTTATACTTTGACTTCATTCGCCCCGGGGCAAGGCAATGCGCGAACGATTACTTTGCGTACAAAGTTACGTATTTGTCACCCAAGCATAATATAATATAGAATGCAACTATGCATTAATCTTTATCAACAGATAAGTAATATTAATTTATTCATAATCATATTAATATTTTGCCCTTTCTTCTACCGTTTCAGCCAGCACTCAGGACCTGTCTTTCCTGAGAATGACATTTGCAACGCTACATATATATATAATATATATGCGTATATATGTTTCCCTTGCATATTATGATAATATGCAAATTGATGTGCTAGGCAAACACTTAATCATATAAATTCATTAAACAATACGTAAAATATTTAGGAAACAATAATTGGCCGGGAAAACAAAATAAAGTAAAAAATATTTTGTAAAGAGACGCTCTTGGCAGCTGAGTGAAAGCAAAGGATAAAGTTAAAAATTCAAAATAGAAATAATGTTACATCTAATCTAATCTAATCTTCTCGAATTGTGACTAGTACATGTGATTTTGTATTTTCCATAAATTGCTTTAAATTTCCAATCCTTTCAAGGTGAAATCATGCAATATTTTACTAAACTTTCAATCTTGACCAAAAATTATCTACACTGTGGTTTTTTTATTAAATGATATAATATTTGTTGTCTTTTCTTTGTTCCTTTGTGTAGGTATTTATTCTGTATTTACTTCTTCTAATTAAATTATATCATTCAACAATTTATTTTATTCATTGGCAGTAATGTTTGGGTAAAATATGGTACTATCTTAGACTTTAGCATTATAAATACAGCCAAGATTATTTTAAACGATTTGAAACAATTTTACAAATGTTCATCTGATTAATTGTCATTCAAATAATACATTCCTCAATCTAAATATCTTATTAATTGAAATCTAACTCTTGGATGGAATACTTTTAAAATAATAACTTCAAAACTGCTTGAATATGGAGATACGAAAAATGATAAGCAACTTATCGAAACAAATTAAAGTTAATTGAAGATAAATAACCATAGAGCACGAAGTTGGCTTGTATTTCCCTATTCGCCCCTTAGGCTCTTCCACGGCTCGAGTCGACATTTGGAAATAGTTACTATAAGCGCTATCCAGAGAGCTCAGTTTACAATCATATCAACACGGTCGAAAGATACAGTATCAATGACTTTAAAAACCACATTTGCAGTGATACATATCAGATTCGAAACACACAGTAGCATTCTCAAAGAAGGTTTAAAACATTCTTAGCATCTTTTGTTTATTTAAGGGAATAATTGAATTAGACTGGTTTACACTGTGTTAATTAAACCTGTGTGTTTGTTTGAAATACGGCAGGAGATCTAACGAATTGGTTGCTAGCTCAGTATGAGTGCTCTACCACAGGTACCAGGGTGCCATATGTAGCAACATCATTTGGAAACAAATTGTTTCAACTTTTAACCAAATTAGATTTCAAGGATGTTCTAAGCCATGATACCTCCAAATCAAAGTGGCAAATGAGAAATAAAGAAGGCTCTTAAAATAATACAATATGCGGCTGTTGAAGAGACCTTTAATAATAACTTAACACATTTATAGATTAATCATGAGCGTTCAAGAGAAAATTCCATGAAAGCCCATCGATTGATTTCGCACGTTCTTAAAGTTTTGTGATTAATTGCAAGATTAAATTAAATGTTTGATGTAAAATTTGATATATAAAATAACAAATAGACAATATAATTAGTGAAAGAATTCGATATAATCACCATACATTGCATCACATGTGCTATACAAATATCCAAGAAAGCAAACTGTATGTTGTGACACTGTCTGGAGTTGATACTATTACGTCCAAGAGTCTGAAAATGACACTCCCTCTCGGACAACACTGGACATTCCTCCTGTCAAAATATCACAATTTTCACAAACTCTTACAATTTTAAAATACTAAATGAAATAATAATGATGCCATGAGTAAGTTACAACGCATACAAATGTGCAGTTGACACTTGCAAGTGTATAGAAATGCAAGAAAATAAGACACTTTATTCAAATTTTAAGGAGATATGACATGGATTAGTAAGGCCAGGGAGAAATTTCGTGAATGGGTTGGTTATTTATATAGCGTTTGGGAGACGCATGGGAGCTGGGATCATACCCAACAGTTACCAGTTTGTTAAATTCGGCAGAAAATGAGATCTTATCATAAGATTAGAGTTGATATTGATAGGCTTGCATCTTTGAGAATTGTATCGGTTCCCAAGATGGACGAAGAAGAATAACATAAAACCTCACTCAGTTTGTATTTTAATTGGTTCAAATGTGCTTCGCATATGGCTATTTGTGGATCATATAACAACATATTTTTTAATTAAATCATTTATACACTTGGTAAAATAGTGATCCAAAAGGATTATTTCCAAACGTTAATACTACTGATTTACTATCATATCGCATTTTCATTTTCTGTCGAGTAGCGAGGCTAATTTGTAATTTATGATCATAACTTTCAACATAAAAACGTGACCCCCATAGACTCACATTTGAGATATTGTGTGGGGCTAATGTTAACATGTGTGTCAACAAATTACTTACTCGGTTTGTTTTTCATTCACGCTGGTTGGCGGGAGCCTCGATTTGAATGTCGTCTGCGCTGCATAACTTTGGCCGATGATTGAAATATATGTGTTTAATTTTTCACGAATTGTGCCACGATATTTTAACAGTTATATATTTTCAGACCCGTGTCAGTAAAATAATATTTAAATAAACGAATTTTATTGGTCAAGAATAATTTGTAACACTGGTTATTGTCATGGGTGTGTTTTATAAATAAAGAAATGTACAGGTTGGTTGCCTAACCACTCATTTCTGAAAAAAGATTGGAATTTTATTGGTCAAGAATAATTTGTAACACTGGTTATTGTCATGGGTGTGTTTTATAAATAAAGTAATGTACAGGTTGGTTGCCTAACCACTCATTTCTGAAAAAAGATTGGAATTTTATGGAGTTAAGTTAAAATGTGGTAAAGCCAATATAAGAGAATAAACACCTACTCTCTGGCCAACATTTACCAGCATTTGCTTTACCAGGGCATGGAGACACGTTGTTTATAACCTGCGGAATCATTAACTTGTAACGCGATATGATATTTGACAGTTTGATACAGAACAAATACGAACTCAGCCATTCAAGCCTTGGTAAATATTTAAGCAGTGTTGAAACGTTGCATACGAGTCGGCACGGAGTTTTTATCGAATGAGACACTTTTCCATTTTCTAGAGCTGGCCCAGAACTTTTCTTTTCATACATTCCCGGCCCATTTTCATAATTTTGGAGACACAATAGCATAAAAGTAATATTTATGCAGTGTTTTAACGAACGCATTTTTATTCATTAGTAACTATGTACCCTTTGTCGAATAAAACGATGCGATCATTTTTGTTTTTTCTGTCAAGTCACGTTGGAATCTTGGTTTATCAGCTGTGTCTTTTACAAACACTCTTATCTGAATTTACACAAATTGTGACCGATTCACTCCGTGAACTGTGAGTTCTACAAATAAGTATTTTAGTGTCTAAATTAATAGTTTTTACGAAAATAAATTCCATAATCTATCTTATCGGAATATTAATTTAATATTTATTTCATAAAGGAATGTTTTATTTCAGAGTTTTGTTTTATTTCATTTTTGTTTTGACCTAGCTCGCGGTAGCCATTAATAAATTTCACCTCATGAACATACACATATGTTCGTTTATTTATCTTGGAATTTTGTCACAATTTCTGTCGTGAAAAATAGATGCTTTTGCTCAAGCGTTCACATAAATCTTCTTTGTAGAGGGCCTGTAAATAAATGTTCGGGGTGGTCACTATAAAGAACATACTATAGTTTGAAATGTTTTCGGGTCGTGAGCATGAACGTGAATCTGAAATATACAAACACGGTCGTTCGTTTGCTTGGAACAGGACAAATGTGTCAAGATATATTAGTCTCATTTTTAGGGAAAATCCAAACCTCAAATATCAAAAGTATTTTGAATTTTTTCAGGAAAAGATTTCAATAATTTTGGTGCATTTTCTATCAAGTATTTTAACTTACTACTTAGCTAGTTTTCTTGAGACTGTTGATAACTCAGGGCGCGCTATGTTTTTACCAGAAAAATTGAAACGTTGATTTACATTAGTCAGAGGCAGCTTTTGTTGATTTCAATGGTTGACAAACAATATTACTATAGTAACAGAGAAACAATTGAAAATACATTTTATAAGTATTTTGTTATCAGTTTATGATGATATATCCTTATTTCACACTCATCAATGAAATAATAATAGAATCAAAATACCATACCCTTATAAATTGTTAAAAAATCCCGGGACATTCAAAAT